TGACATGACCCCAATGGAAGTTCTGGTCCGGAATAATACGAAAGAAATGATCAAGATGAGCCTAGGGATCTCGTGTAGGGATGTAGCTGGTGAAAACTGCATCGAAGGTGAAAAGTCTACTGTTCTGTGGGCTGGTAAGTTCATTATCTTTTCCCCTTCACCAGCTGGACTTAATCTCGACAACTTATGTTACCTAGCCTACACAACCAGACCATAAATATGCTTTGTGATCAAACTCTGCAGGGGTCCTGAATGGGATAACAATGGAGGTTCCGCCGCTTCAAGAATCAAAACATACATTTTCGCTCTACTTCCTGGTGCCAGGAGAGTATACATTGGTAGCTGCAGCGGTGATTGAAGATGCTAACGATGTCCTCAGAGCTCGTGCTAAAACTGATTCGCCAGACGAGCCTATCTATTGTCGAGGGCCTCCTTTTCATGTGCGCGTCCTGGGAACGGCATGAGGGTCGCTCTTGGCTTGTAGCTTTGGAATCTGGAGTTTGTAGTGAGTTCCATTTTTGTATGTAGCTGTTGGCTTTGTATACCATGCGGTCGTTGTGCTGCAGAATGCTTCTCTTGCTCATAAAAGTTACTGCCCAGTAGAAGAAAAAGAGGCAAACATTGGACCAGGGGCGGAGCTAGCCCATTATTAGGGTGTGCAATGGCACACCCTGAGGCCTGATTTGGAGCACCACAAAAAATAGTAGTACTAATAATGAACACTAAACTCAAAATCTTATTGTTAATTCGCAAATTTTTAGTATCAAACCATGATTGATTATATAAATTAATTTAACCTACTAATATCTACATTAATACCGTCTATTAAGATGGTTATGACGTGCGGATTATTAGAGAAAATCAATAACTTTGTACGACAACGATAGTTAGAAGATAAAATTGGTTTCTGTCAATGTATTTGCTTATGTTATTTTTTTTTAATGCACCCCCTTGAATGAAATTTTGGCTACGCCACTGCATTGGACCATATCCTGAAATTAGGAGCGTTGAAAAGTGCAATTCCATTATATCCCTCTATGAAAGTTTCATCATAGTTAATCTCCAACTGCGTTGAGGACTTGCAGGTTAAAATTAAATAATTGATCTCCAGATCTGTTCTTTATGAAGGTTCAAGCAAATAGTAGCTCTTTTTTTTACAACATATTTCTTTCTATACTAACCTTTAAAACAGGCTCACAACTAGCGGCTCACCCTTGCAATAAATGTTGTATTGTAACAAATAATCATAATATGAATATATGGATCGGTATAATAAATACATTTGACATTACATTATTTGATTTATTTGGTTGTTGAGTTGTAAGTACATACACATCAAAACAATTGAAAAACCAATTGTATATTAGGTTTTTATTGTCACCTTAATGCTTTTGTAATCTAAATCATATTAATATCATTATAACTGCATCAATTTAATCCACTTGCAATTGCATATGTAGTTTGCATATGAAATTGCATCGGCTGCTAGCTTGCAGATATACAATGAATTGCTATATTTATTCTACTGGATTTACAATTACAAAAACCATGTCACGTCATCTTGCAATTGAAAATGCTAGATCAATGTGGATGCTTTGAGGTAATGGTATAAGATTCATAATTAACTTTTTCTCAACAATTTAAGTTTTTGGGATCAATTGGTTCTTTACATGGTATTAGATCAAGTTTGGCCAAGCAGTCGTGTGTTCAAATCTCCACGACCCCAAATATAACATTTTACTTAAACACATGATATGGTGTCCTGTGCAAACTTCAAGCTTATGAATTTATTTTCGTTTCAGAGGCTTGTAAGAGAGTGGTATAATATCAACTTAAGTTATTGGATATGATTTTATTTAAACATACGATATGGTGTCCTATGCAAACTTCAAGCTTATGAGTTTATTTTCGTTTCAGGGGCGTGTAAGAGAGTGGTATAAGATCAACTTAAGTTATTGGATATCATTTTATTCTTGACAATGTTTATCCTCTACTTTTAATAACCACTAGTTCTTTTTGGTAGAATAACCACTATTTTTAATAAAACATACATATTATTGATATATATGAAAATAAAACAGATTCAAATATAAACCAACAATCACAATTTTTAGTTGAGATTGTACAATTCATTTTTTTATAGGCGGACATACACAAAATAATATATATATACAATTTGGCACTTTCAAACATTGTATTCATACATTTTTATACCTAGACTTTGAAATTTACATGCATGCCCAAGTTTATGTGGACTTCTGGTGTGCTTTAATAAAAGTGTGATTTGTTTTATGAAATTTTTTAGATGCTTTAAGTAACTTGTGATATGTTTTAATAAACTTGTACAATTCTTGATGTGGTTTTTGGTCTGATTTAGAAAACATGTATGTTTTAAGAAACTCGTGGTATGCTTTAATATACTCATAATATGTTTTACGAAACTTGTGCTATGTTTTAATGAACTTGTGGTATGTTTTATGAAATTTGTGTGCTTTAAGAAAATTGTTGTCTATCTCTTGAAATAAAAAAAATCATAATAAATTGGGTGTTAAGATGCTAATCATTCTACATGCTAATAACGGCAATGAAGTGGAAAAGAAAAATTAAAAACGAAGTGCAAGAAGAGAAGAGAAAGTGGGCTGAGTGGGCCGTTTTATTTTTCTCCATGAGTGGGCTTTTCCCAGTTTGTAAACAAAAAAAGGAAGTGGGAGATGAGAAAGTGGGCTGAGTCGGCCGTTTTATTTTTCTCCATGAGTGGGCTTTTCCCAGTTTGTAAAACCCTAAGCCCTGTCCCCAACTCCTATATATATTTCGCCCTCTTTCAGCATCCATTCATCTCAATGAATCCCATCAATTACCGCCGCTCGCCTGCTTCTCCACAGAAGAATGATCGAGAGCTGCCGCTTGCTTATCTTCTCCTTTCTCAATTTCTTTTAGTTTTTTCATGGTTATCTCTGTTCTAGCTTCGTATTTCTTCCTTTTTTCACAAATTATTCTGGTGTAGGAAACTTCAACCTGGTGGATAAAAGCAGGGATCTGTTTCCTATGATGAGCAGATCTCTCGTAAACCTCAGGAAGATCAGTTGTTCCTTGTTCTTGGGTGAACCTGTGTTTTTTTTACTGTGGCTCAAGGTTCAGTAAACGATGATACATCTGAAAATTTCTTTCCCAACAAAACTTATTGTGGTTATGGTGTCGGTGATGATAAATCCAAAGGCTTGTTTCTCAAGAACATTCGCAGTGGCCGCCTAAAGCTTTCGCCTTTCGCCGGGCTTGAGAGCTTATGCTGTTCATCTTCCTTCCTTGGATGTCTGAGACTCTGTAAATTCTCCTTTATGATTTTGAATCTGGATTTTTCTCAATTCGTTGCATTGCAGGCTCAGCTGTGGTTTCGTTCTATCGAAGGAATTGTCGAGACCAAGTTGGAAGATTGCTTTACTTTCTTTGTGTTTCTGTTTAGGCAGCTGTGTATAGATTGGTTGTTCATCAATGAAGATTCTTGTGTCTACAATGAATAAAATCCGTTCAATTGCATGTTAGGTATCATATTTTGGAACATTGTCCTGTATTCTGGCAATGATTAATGAAATTTGCGAATGTTGCATGAATTGGGCTGATTCGTTTTATATGGTGTGGAGATGTTCTAATACTTCATTCAGAGGATACAAAATCAAACTACTGCACATCCGACTACAAGTTGTTACCTCTTCTTTTCCTTAAGCTCCTGGTAGACCCCAAATTTGGAGGACTGCAAAAGAATAACACTCAATTTACAAATTTGCAGCTGATATCTGCTGCTGCACTAAACTCTGCTAACTGAAGACTGAGCTAACTAACAAGCTTGTTTACATCAACACTTGATTACATACATCATGCAATCGATTCGAGAGTTACCCACTTACCCTCTCTAGCCACTTCCAGTGTTCTTCTAACTGATCTAACAAGCTCACTGTTCTTCCCACCATAGACTCTAGTACATCTCTCTCGCCATAGGAAACCTAACTTATCATCAAATTCCACATCAGCTTTCCTACAGTTTCATTTGCTCTGTTGCCTGCAAATCTCTGAACTGCGAGTTGAGGTAGTCTACAAACTGAGCATAATGTGGACAGAGCACCTGAATCATTTGGAGGCAGCACTTGAGTACATTATAGGAGTAAGAGTAATTGAAGAAAAGATGATCCCTGGTTTCCAGCCCTGTGCCACAGATCAAACAGTTATCATCCCTCATTGCTTCAATTTGACCCTACTGGTAGCTCTATCTTTTATAATCAGCCATGCATCAGTGAACTTTATCCGATGAAGTAAATGACGAAAGAACAAAACATTCATGGGTGGATTGTGTACGGAGGCTCAAAAGAGAATGGATCAATACTATGAAGTCATGCTTCATTTTGCAATCCCAAGAATTACAACCTCTGAAAATACTATTCCAAAATTTGAGATGATTGACTACCCTCAACAACATAAAGAAAATCACACCCCTATTTGGCTTGAAAATCCACATTACAGTCCTAAGAATTTGAATCTCAACCCTCTTTAATTTTCCTGCTTGCACCAAACCTTTGCAAAGATCTCTAAAATCATGGTTGATCCTAATAAACTTATCGAGATGTCCAAAGTCATCATAAATGAATATGAAAGTAAATAAGTAAATATGGTGGTGTATTCGGTGCACTCACTTTTTTTAGTGCATTCATAATCGTTATTCTATTCTAAGCAAACGATTCATGTAAAAATGATGGTAATGGACACGTATGATATGATGAACAAGAAAATACATGAATTTGTACAAAAATCATTCAATATTTACTTTAATTTCAATGATTTAGGGTTTATGGATTTAGGGTTTAGGTTTACAATTTGGGGTTTTAGGTTGGGATTCAAAATTTAACGTCAAGAGGTTAGGGCAATGGATTGATTAGTTATGATTTTATGTTATATCATTGTGTTACACTACTTCTACTAATTAAAGTTCAAATTTTGATATACTATGACCATTTTTAGAGTTGGGTGCACTGAATGCACCCAATAAAATGAGTGCACCGAATTAACCACCAAGTAAACATGTATAACTTTTATATTTTGCATTTCATCGGCAATATTACATCCCCAATCAAGACACCTTCTGTTCTACAAACAAACATTCAACTGAAAACCCATCTCCCACAACAATCCCTTTATTCACGAGCCCCAATTCTCATTATTAATATATATAATCACGAATGAAAAACTTGCATATCTCTTCATTTCACGAGCCTTCTCTTCACCTTCACCACTTGAGCTTTGCCGGGAAATACTGCAAAAAAAGTAACGGAAAAAATGAGGTCTTAGGTACCAATGCTAAATAACCAGACCGGTTGCAGTGAAGATTAGGAAGTAATAGAGCAATTAATTATTTTCGTAATTGATTAATTAACGTACCTTCTTAATGAGGGATTCATAATATGGCTTCACCTCCTCAACTTTGATCGGAACCTTGCTCTTGCTGTACAGGTCATATTTGCTGTGTTCATAATGTGCATTCATGGATTAGTAATAAACAATTAAAAATAGAAACTGATCAATGATTAAGTAATTTGAGGCTTATGTTATATAATTACTTGAATATGTTGAGCCATTTCAAGTTCTCCCTATCTTCCTCGTTCATCAAGTATTTGTACGCATCGCATTTGTGCAGTGCTGAACAATATTCAACATAGACACGGAATCATCAATAATGTTAAACACGTTTCACTTCTTATTAATAAATAGCGTTAATTGTTTTGCATTAGAAATCCCTACGGTAGAATGAATGGTAGCGGATGATAAACAAGCCAGCCGATGGCAAAGTGGTACCGTTTTCCTTCGCAACCTACAACATTAACAAGTTAATAAATCATTAATCTATCAAATTAAGGTAAGCAAGTCCACTAAAATCTTCACGATTTCGTGACGAAGAATGCGTACCAAATACATGTAGTCGTCATGGCCCCAAGTCATCATCACATTGTTAAGACCACAACCTTCACTGTAGACACCAAATTTGGTGTTGTACTCTGGATTCTTGTAGTCTGGGTTTTCCTTGAAGTGCTGCAAAAAAATAATTAACCGAAAAAACACACCATTCTATGGATTAATCATTCTTACCCAACATATTACAGCAAAAATAGAAGACCATATTCATTACAAGGAAATGTTTCTATATGCACTATAACCAACCTTGTGGTGAACAATGGTCTCGCTGAAGCCACAACCTACCGGATATGTATCACCTGCAAACAGAAAGAATCGTTCGAATATGATATTTTTAGAAAAAACACCAACACGAATTGAGACGTGGAATCACACAATCTATCGAGATCATCTCATTGCCGGATTATGGGAAATTAGGACGAGAATGTATGATCAATTACCAACAACAGCCCACTGAGGCAACCCTCCAAAGTTGGGATGGATCAGAATCTTCCCCAGATCTGGATCAAATCAAAGACATTAATAGTAATCTACTAATTAATTAGCAACAAATCGATGGATTAATTATGTTAATGAAAGTTGTAGGGTAGGGGGGATCTTAGGGTTTAATTAGGGTACAAACCGTGGATGAGAGCAGTCAAGTGAAGCCAATCTTCATTAGGGTAGTCCTTCCTAATGGCTTCAGCAGTTTGCAGCAAATGCATAATCTGAGGCTCATCCAGATCAGGATCACTGTCGTCCACTATGTTGTTGAGCACCTCACAGCACTCCCAGATGCTCATCTCTCCCTTCTCCAGTTTCCCATACTCCTCCCTCATCTTCTTTACCTGTACAAATTGGTACACAAATAAGAAATTGATCCACTCACCAAAAGAAAAAAAACCATTAACAGTTTTTTTTTTGTTGTGTGGAGGTCATTGATTTATTTCATCACGAAAATTATCGTGTAAACGGAATTTTATCTTTCAGTGGTCGCTTACGAATTCAAAAGTCTGATGGATGTGTTGTTGACGGTAGAGTTCCTCGACAACCCGGTGCCTTGCATTGTTTTCATTCTCATAATCCCTGTCAAAAAACAAAAACAAAAATTAATTAATTTTCTTCGTCTTAAACCCAGCTAATTATTATATTATGAAAAGGTGATGAAATATTTTTTTTCTTCTTCTTCTTCATTTTGCTCTTTTGGTTTTACCTGAAAGAGCGCCCAAATGCGTTTTCTTCCGGTACCGTGAATTCACCGTTGGAGACCAACTTATCGGCCTCAATATCAACCAACTTTATCTTCTTTTCCGCTTCAAAACCTTCACACACACATTTTTTTAACAATCAGGAATCACAAATCGACGAAACAATTATCCTCGTTCAAAAGAAGATTGTAAACAAAGATGGATATGTTTTGAGGAGAATAATAACGTTAACATGTACATACCGAGAGTGGGCTGCTCCACCACGAGGACGGATTGGATCGTCATTTTCTAGCTGATACGAATGAACGAACCACCGGAGATGAAGAGGGAGAGGGGGGAACAATTTGATGTTGAAGGTGCTTGTTGTTGAGAGATGAAGGGGGAATCCAGGATATTTATACTCCCCCTTCCATTAAGCTTTTGGAACTGTCCTTGTTCTTCAATTCCTCAACTTTGGGGGTCCTGGAAAACTAATAATTGAAACAAACTGTACTTAAACCAATTCTATCCTGAATGACTAGGATTGGATACGTTGCCTAATCATAGTAATTAATACATAACCATCAATCTATCTTTTGTTTTTTTTGCTTCTATTGATCCTCCTGATCAATGGAGAGAAGAAATTATAACGTTTTGGGTTTGGACAGTTGTACTTTTTAATATAATTATTGCCATGGTGATTTTTTTTTTCTTGGGGGGTTTAATTTCATGAGGCGTTTGTTGACATATTTGGACAATTGGTTTCCGATTCCATGAACTGAATTCAATTGGGTTGACTCAGCATTGCGTGTAGGATTGATCTCTTTTTTTTTTTTAAGGATAGAGTTTAAAACGTGCATCCTATATTTGGTTAACGCATATGCATATTTGTTATGGTGGGTTGGATTAGATGTACACTGAGATGTGCGATCAAGTCAGAAATTGAGGGCTGGAAACAAAATTTTATAGAAAAAATATTAATAATTATCTATTATATTAACCACACAAATATCAATAAACTTATGCAAAATATGAGTAACATAACTGACAAAGTTTGACAATGCAAAATCTTCCAAAATCATTGAAATTAAGGGATTAACATGAGTTTAACAAAAATAATTAATAATGGAAGGAGCAAACTGGCACATTTTAAAATTCGTTTGCCGCAAAGGTTGCTGGCGTAGGAAAGAGTGAACAACACGTCATTGGTGTGTTGGACCTGGATTTGAATAAGTATATGCGAGCTTCTGGCCCAAATGGGAGCAGGGTTTGTATCAAAAATATGTGGCCAGGTTATGGGCTGATATGGTAGATTGTATGGACCTTACCTTGTTGCCCTATTTTACTTTTGGGCCAAGCTTATCATTAGGCCCATGGCTTGATTTCGCTTTTGACTATCATGGGATAGGTCAAGGTCAAGGTCTGCCATCGGCCCATCGCTGCCAAAACTCTCTCCAGCCTCCTCCACCTTCTCTTTGTATTATTCTGCTGCTATTTATGTTTCCATACGTGTGTTCCACCTCTAATTATTGATTAACATGTGAGTACCGATCTCAATCTAGTCAAAATATAATTAATTTACAAGAAAGAAACATGGTGGTTGAAAAATCAATATCCATCCTAGTAAGATCATTTTGTAATCTGTGAAAAATAGCCAATTAGGCCTCGGTTAAGAGATTGATTCTCTCTCTAGTTTCTCTTTCTAGGGCGTCGCGATTCCGATTCACCGTCGGGCGTCCCGTCGCGCGAGCTTCCGTTCGACACACGCTTCCATCTCCGGTGGTTCTCTCCTTCTCGGCGCAACCTCTGCTGTTTGCGATGTCATCCATTGGCCAGTCTTGGGCAGATTTGTTTGGGATTGCAGAGGCAAACCGACTGGTGTATATCGAGCCAGAGCTTGTTGATGGAGGTTTGCGGATTCCGGAAGAACTAGTGAAGGAGGGAGAAGCTCGTTGGAAGAACAGCCTTGTAGGTCAGTTTCTCCATTCCACACCATCTGTGAAGCAACTTCAGAGCTGGGCGAATCGGTTGTGGGGAAATTCGGGCATTGTTAGGGTTTCGAAATTCAGTGAGCAACTCTTCCTGTTTCAATTCCCAAATGCGACCGCTGCGGATTGGGTCTTCACCAGTGGTCCATGGCACTTCAACAACGACATGTGTTTCCTTCGGCAATGGTCTCCTGGAATTAGGGCTGTCAATTGCGATTCTACCATTCCTATCTGGATTTGCTTCCAGGATCTCCCTGTGGAATTTGCTACGGGCCGCATTTTGACTCGTTTGGCTAGTATGTTAGGTCGGCCTCTCTGGTTTGATCAATCGACTAGGCTAGGGAGAAGGATGGGGTTTCCTAAGGTCTGTGTGGAGATGTCGGTTGATTCTTTGTTTCCAGAGAAACTGGAATTGGTCCCTGATCATAAGCAGGCTTTTGAGGTGGGGTTGGAATACTGTAATAGGCCAATTGGATGTAAGAAGTGCAGGGTTTTTGGTCATCAGTGTGAAAGTGTTGAAGAGGTTTGTGAGGAAGTTCAGGGCAGTCAAGTGCACGCTGTGACTGAGGGGGCTGGTGTTTCCGGTTCTCCTGGTCAAGTGATTCTGGATACAATTCTGGCCTCAAAAGGTAAGGCACAAGAATCGGCTGAAGCGGCTTGTCGAAATTTGAATCTGGCTGTGGCAAACTTGGTAAAGTCTATTGAGCAGGGGGTTATATCTGAATGGCAGAAGTCAGCTGTGGAACTACCCACTGAAGGTGAGCTCAAATCGGCCATGGAAGGGTAGCACTCTTCTTCTGTTGAAGGCAGTGCAAGCACACCTGTGGCCAGCAGGCATCAAAGTTTGGATGTGGACTCGTTTGAGGTTGGTAACATTGTGGTAAGCAGCCCAGTCTTCCCTACTCTGGCTGATTTTCCTGTTCTAGAGGGAGGTGGTAAGGGGAAAGAAAAGCAAGGTAAGAAGGGGCCAGGGCGCCCTGCAAAACCGAAGAACAAAAAATGATAGTTCTGGCTTGGAACATGAGGGGATTTAATCACCCCGCCAAGCAGAAACAGATCTTAGATGTAGTTGCTCAGTTTAATGTTGATGTGTTTGGAGTAATAGAAACAAGGGTTAAAGAGGAAAAATCAAAAAAGATTATAAGTACTACTTTTGGTAGATGGAATTTTGCTCACAACTATGAGCATTCAGATCTTGGTCGAGTATGGGTATTCTGGAAGAGGGATTTAGATTTTGTAGTATTGGAGAAGTCTGACCAGTTTGTTCATGGAGTGGTTCGAGGTGGGATTTCTGTGAAGGTAACGTTTGTCTATGGCTCAAATGATGAAGGTGAGAGATCCAGAATGTATCACCATCCTGTTCTCACCCCTGATACTCTTCCATGGGTGGTCTTGGGTGATTTCAACGCTATAAGAAGTGTTTCAGAAGCTTCTAATAGCCCGAGACACACAAATAGTATGGTTTCTTTTGGTCAGTGGATGGAAGATATGGAATTGGAGGATGGCAGATTTGAAGGCCCTTGGTTCTCCTGGACTAATAGGCAGGGTGAAAATCCTATTGCTCGAAGGATAGATAGGGTTTTAGTAAACGCAAGCTGGTTATCTACTTTTCCAAATTATATGGTCAAGTTACTCCTGCCAGGGCTATCTGATCACTGTGGCCTGTTTGTAAAAACTGATTCCCTCATAGCTTCTTTGCCAAAACCATTCAAGTACTTCAAGAATTGGGAATCGCATCCTCAGTACAAGCAACTGGTGAAGGGTGCTTGGGGGACAAGTTTTACAGGTACTCCTATGTTTGTAGTCTATCAGAGGTTAAAAGAAGTCAAACGAAGTTTGAAAAGGCTGAATAGAGATTTCTACTCTGAAATTTCAGAAAGGGTAAAGGAAAAGAAAAAACAGTTGGAGGGTTTGCACCTGATCTCCCTTACTTCTCCTTCTACAGCAGCTTTCCAGGAGTTGAATGATTGTCAAAAAGCTCTAAATATGTTGCTCCATGAGGAGGAATCATTTTACAGGCAAAAATCAAGGGAGTTGTGGGTAAAAACTGGGGATCTCAACACTTCTTTCTTTCACAACTCTGTCAAAGCTAGGCAATCTAGGTCAACTATTAGGAAATTAGTAGCTGAGGATGGGACAGTGCTTACAGAGGTACAGGACATGAGCAGGGAAGCAGTTTCTTTCTATACATGTTTGTTGGGAACAAAGAACCAGGAAGTACAAGTTGTTTCCAGGGAAATGCTTGCACAACTGTTAGTTCACCACCTCCCTTTAGATCAGGGGGATCTTTTGTGTTCTCCAATGACCAGTGAGGAAGTTAAGGCTGCAATGTTCTCAATGGATGGTGATAAGTCTCCTGGACCAGATGGGTTTACAGCAGGTTTTTTCCAGCATAATTGGGAGATTGTGGGGGCTGATGTGACAAGAGCTGTATTGGATTTCTTCGGGACAGGGAAGCTCCTTACTGAGGTAAACTCTACTTATTTAGCTCTTATTCCAAAAGTGCTGAATGCTGAGTGTATGAAACAGTTTAGACCCATATCTTGCTGCAACATACTCTACAAATGTATTGCCAAAGTCCTAGCTAATAGATTAAAAGAGGTGCTTCCTTTAGTTATAAGCCAGAACCAGTCTGCTTTCATTAAGGGGAGATTGATAAGTGACAATGTGTTGCTTGCTCATGAGATGATTAGGCTCTATGGCAGAAAATCTATATCTCCTAGATGTGCTCTGAAAGTTGACATTATGAAGGCTTTTGATAGTGTGGATTGGTTTTTTTTGGAAGAAGTTATGCATGTCATGGGGTTCCCTAGCCAATTCATTCAGTGGATTAGAATATGCCTGCATAGCACTAAACTTAGTGTTTGTTTTAATGGGAGCCTTTGTGGGTATTTCTCTGCAAAAAAAGGGCTGAGGCAGGGGGATCCTTTGTCCCCCTACCTCTTCACTATCTCCATGGAAGTGCTCTCCTGTATGCTGAATAGGGCCTACATGATTAGAACCCTTCCCCCCCACCCTCAGACACACAGGATAGGGCTGTCCCACCTTTGTTTTGCAGACGATCTGCTAATTTTTACAAAAGGGACAAGTGAAGCAGTGGAAGCTACTAAGCAGATCCTTGATTTGTTTTACACTGTGTCTGGATTAAAATGTAATCCAGCAAAGAGTGAGGTTTTCTGTGCTGGTGTTGATGCTGAAACCCAAGAACAGATCACTTCAAGAACAGGTTTTGTAATTGGAAAGCTCCCAGTCAGGTATCTTGGTGTCCCTTTGGTAGCTGGAAAATTAAATTCCTCTGATTGTGATGCTTTAGTGAAGAAAATCACTGCCAGAATAAGGGGTTGGAACGTCAGGACTCTATCATATGCTGGAAAGCTGCAACTAATCACAACAGTCATTTCTAGTATAACACAATACTGGATGGGCATTATTCACTTGCCAGTCAAAGTGATTAAGCAGGTAGAAAAGCTTTGTTCTGATTTCTTATGGGATGCTGAAGATGAGGGCAAGAAGGCAAAAGTGCAGTGGAAATTTGTGGCGCGTCCAAAGAAGGAGGGGGGTTTGGGGTTCAGGGATTTGGGGTTCAGGGATCTGAGAAGCTGGAACACTGCCTGCCTCATCAGGCATTTGTGGGCTCTAGCGTCTAATTCCTCTTCATTGTGGGCTAGCTGGGTTCGTCAGTACCAGCTAACCTATACTTCTATCTGGGACATCCCATCCTCTATAAGCTGTTCCTGGGCATGGAAGAAAGTCTTGAAGACAAGAAACTATGCAGAGCAGCACCTTTCAGTTAGACATTCTGAAGTGTACTAGGATGGTAAAATCATGAGTAAATTCTCAGTGAAGAAAGTTTGGGACACTCTTAGGCCGAAATATGACCTAGTGCCTTGGTATAAGCTGGTGTGGAAGTCTCTTTGTACACCTAGAGATAAGGTGATAGGGTGGCTTATTATTCTTAACAGAATAAACACGTTAGATAAGGTGCAGGGGTGGAACCAATCTGTCACTAATACATGTCCCCTTTGTGTAGCTGCAGCAGAATCCAGAAGTCATCTATTTTTTGGCTGCTCTTATTCTCAGAAGATCCTGCTGACTGTTTTTCACTCTCGAGTTCAGTTAGGAAGATGCTGGGAAGAGAATCTGGAGATAGCTACAAGACAGTTTAATGCGGTTTCCCCAAATTCTGATAAAGGTCGACTGCTCTGGATGATGGTGCTTAGTGAGCTATGGCGAGAACGATGTAGGAGGCTGTATGGAATGGAAGCTTTGAATGAAGTGCAGCTGCTGAAGAAGTTGCAAGGGTTGTTGTCTGTGCTCAGGGGTGGCTTCCCTCAAATTAGTTTGGCTATTTCTGAGGATGAGATTAGTAGTATAGTTTAAAGCTTGTATGGGTTCTCTTTTTCAAGTTTTGCTTGTGTGGCTTGAGTAGGTAGAGAATTGCTCTGTACATTTGACGGTTTTGGGACCTTGGTACCAGTTAGAATGGTGATTTGCCATTCTTTCTTGATGAATACACAACTTATTCATAAAAAAAAAAGATGGTTGTGCACTTGCTCAAGTGTTTGATTGTGAGAGAAAATATGTGTACAAAAAAAACTTTTTCTAATTCGATATATCCAATTAAAGAATCGTGAAATCATGTATTACACCAACTAATTCATCACACCGTAGTTTTCTGTGGTGATTTGTTAACCTTAAAAGTAAGAATTACAACATTGATAGTCATACTCCACTAAATAATCCCCGACGAACAACAATCTAGCTAATCTTTTCGGGTGTGGGTGGATGGGATCTGAACCTTTTAGTTTCTTTTAAGTTATTAATTAAATAATTAATCATTTCAGATATCTTGGCACCAGCTGGGTGATGATTATTGATTAGAATCCCTTTCGGTTGTCCTCACAGATGAACTGTATCCTATTAACATGGGCCAAAAAAATTATGACAACTAATATATTCCATTTCCTCACTTTGATTTGCAACAACGACTAATTATTTTCCAGATGTCTCTCCTTTCGTACAACTAATTATTTACTTGTTTACTTAATTCCCAATCGACACAGCTTTCAATGCAATTGACGTTTTGATTTGGTTCAGAAAAAAATTAATCGCTATTTTGTCTCTTGTGTACTTCCAAGATTTGAACCTGGAATCATGTCAGGCACCGTTCAAGGGGGTGACATTTGTTTTCTAATAAATACCTTTGCTGCAATAGGGCTAATTAGTAAGAATGAAACATAATTAATTTGGGGTTTTGGGAGTAGGGAAACAATCTAATTTGGATTTTACAATGGGCTCATGATCAAAGTTCTTGGATCCAGTAATTACTACACTCACCAGATTTGAGATATCTAATAAGGTATTTTAGTGCACATTCTTTGTTACTTTGATTTTACATGATTTGACCTCATCAACAATTGGTTGGAGCGAAATCAACAACGTTTTGAAGACATTGAGATTGATGTGCAACAGTGTGGTGTTCAAGATCTGTCACATGATTGGGAACAGATTGTTACTTGCAAGCATTTGAGAGATTTACACCGTACGCTAGATAGATTGGGTTCTCATGTTTCTTGATCTGTTGAGTTATATATAACGATGATATTAATCGGTAAATACAATTTACATTTTACAGAACACTCTCCTCTTCCATGCGATTCACATGGATCAAAATCTTTATAATGTATATGGTAATTAAGCTCAAAGAATACTCTTTTCATATACAGATATTACATTCGGGAGGGTAAGTAAATATTTATAAAAAAAATTAAGTTAATCGGTCGAGGTCCGGCGAACAAGAAAAAATAAAGCAACAAAAGACGAACAACAGTAATCAACTAATCATGACTGAGGTGTTTTATACACAAGAGATCATTCACGTGTCCAGCTGCGAGGCGGCCTTGGTCGTCACGCCATTGGATCCGCCCGAAGGCGGCGGCGGCGGAACCGCATACCTGGCGGAGAAACCGGGGTACCCGCAGTCGTCGGCGGTATCGACGCCGTCATCGAAGTTAAGCGCGTAGCTCTGCGCGTCGTACTGAAACTGCATCTTGGACGGTCTCTTGATCCTGCCGTTAGCTTTATTCGCAACCGACCCTACCGCCGCCCTCACGGTGCCGCTGAATCTGCGGATGAAATTCTTCCACTTGGGCCCCGCCACCAGTTCCGACACCTCCCTCGCCTTCTTCAGCTTCTCCGCCACCCACCGCCGCCCGCCGCCTCCCCCGCCGCGGGGCTCTTGGTCCTCGGAGGAGTGGCGATCTTGGTTGACCTGCAGCAGGTAGGCGTGGGACCCGGCGGATCGGCGGCCGAAGCAGCGTGCGGGGAAGCACAGGCAAAAGGACGGAGAGGCGGCGGCGGAAGATTCATCGAGATCGTCGGATTCGTAGTCTGGAAAGCGATTTGTCGCTGATGGGGAGGCGCCGTCGCTGCTGGCGGCGGCGGCGTGGTGATCTTGGCTTGGATTGGTTACCATTGGAGAGAAATTAAGAGAGATTCTACAATAGAGGGAGACGGCAGAATGAATGTGGTAGCGAGACTAGGTTTTATAAGGAGGGGGAGACTTGATTTGATTGGTAATTTCCATTTTAGTTTTGGGGGCTAATTAGCCGGTTGATTGAATATGGATTTATTATATTATTATTTATTCCTTTCCGTTTGCGGGAGTGTAACTATTTTGCATTTCCGTTTCCGATTCGGTCGCCGGCTGAGCTAGCTAAACCGATATGTGGCTCAACTCACTTGTTGCTCATTTAATTTGGCTGAAAAGTCTAATTGGAATGCAAATTTAATATATATTTTATGTCACTCGCTAATCAGTATTAATTTACTCTAATTTGGCTAAAAAATCATGTTTGGTATACGCGCATAATTTAATTAAATTAGAAATTTTCATGCTTTTTAATTTTCAGCAAAAACAATATTCATTAAAATCTATCAACTAAAAATGCAAGTGACAAAATTATTTTCTAACCAATAAGACAAAGCCAAAAGACTAAGTTTGAAAAGAAACTAGTCAGACAATTTTAAGTTCCATCTTCTAATAATTTTCATTTTAACCCAATTTATTTTGAACCAAGCAAGGTTGATCTCTTGAGAATGGAAATTAGAGTTGCACAGAATACAGGGTTTAGGAGAAACTATATACATAAGGTTTATCTATCTATCGGCAAAAGAGGAGGTTTAGATGTGCAAAATCTGTGTATTGCCACCAAATAATATATGCATAATTAATTTAGTCAACAAATGAGAATTCAAAGCCATTATGTTTCACCTAGGTTGGGTGTTTGATACCTCACATTTGCTACTTTTGGTTTCTTAGTCTGTTTGTATTTTTTTTTTTTTTTTTTTTGAAAGGCTGAGCAATTTATAAAGTCATAGCTAAAGTATTTTCCAACTTATTAATTTTAAGGATAGGATGTGTTACATTTGGATGCGAAAATGAGGTGTGGAACATGACATCAATTTCTCAATTATGAAAATAGGATGTGTTATACAACACTGAAAAAACATTATCACTTTTGTTATTTCTTACCCAATTGATATTGAACCTATCGTACTATGCCTGAAATTTATAGTTTAGATCTTATTTTTTTAGACTTTAATCGTCTTAAAGCATACCATTATCATATATATTTTTTCCACTTGATCATCGCCTCAGAGAGTGGACTTTTTAATTAGTTAAAGACCTATGATATCTGGAAATTTCTTTCCGTAGCTCAGAAAGCATGGATGGTTCGTAGTTATACAAAGACCAACCGGACCGAGGGAGTAGTAAAGCCTGGGTATTAGCTTTTGGAGGAAGACAATTACGAATGGCTCTTCACATTAATTAGCTTGATTAGTTGTAACGATTTTTTATTATTATGATTATAGACTAAGAAATCCATCCGCGCCCCAAAAGTCAAATTCTGGATCCGCGCCTCCGGAGAGCCATATTGAAATGTGCCAACAATGAACACATATAGCACATATAGCATGGTGCAGGTGTAGTGTCACTCTCTAGCTAGCAGCTTTCTGTCTTTATTTTGTTGTCGTTCCTTTTACCTAGCTATAGCTAGGTCCTTTCAGTAACTAGCTATCTATCTACAGCTAGCTATAATATGTAACCAGCAGCAACAGAAGGGATGAGCAGCAGCATCCAAATGTCGACCGACGTATGATCGTCGTTGTTTCTGTCTATGTCGTCGCCGTTGACACAGTTAGGTGACAGCCAATTAAAAAAAACAGCTGGTGTGCAAGCTAAGCCGCTTTCTATCTGCTGCACCACCCCGCAACGTTACCGTTTTAATAATGTTTAGATCCATCCTTGTGTAGTAGGAGGAGCCAGCGGAAATGGCACACACAATCATTTGAGAGAGAGAGAGAGAGAGTTGGCCGAAGGAATCAAAATCTACCGAACGCCAAGGTGCGGAAAAGGGGCCCACTGGCAGCCGATAATCAATCACTCGGCCCCGGCAGCCGCGGGTAGTTGAAAGAAGGCGAGATTGGTGGTGGTGCGTATTGGGCTCGTGCTTGCCACTAATTCAATTGTGCGCTCCCAGGTAGGGATGGCAATAAAACCCGGACCCGCGGGTACCCGCCCGACCCGACCCGGTCAAACCGGGTAAAATCCGTGTTGACTGGGTTCGGGTCGGGTTCGGGTTAAAACCCGGTGGCTGGCTGGGCGGGTTGGGTCGGGTTCGGGTTTGGGGGAACCCGACCCGTGGATACCCGGATATAGGTAAAACCCTAATATCTCTAATGTGATTTGAATTGAGTCAGTACTCAGTCGACCTCCTCCAACCCCAAATTTTGGCCGCCACCAAACCTCCCAGCAGAGTGCAGAGAGCAGCACGCCGCCACCAAATCCTCCCATCTCCATTCCCGTCGCCGCCCGAATCGGGATCCCGTCTCCATTCCAGTCACCGGCCGCCCTCCCCCTGCTACTCCTCTGCTCTGCGCCTCCAAGTCCCCACCTCCCCGCCGGGCGCCGACAGCCGACGTTCGAATCCATACCGCGCCGCCCTCCCTCTGCTACTCTGCTCCGCGGCCTGCGCCTCCACATCGCCGCCTCCCGCCGACACCAGTCCTGCCGCCCTTCAGTCCCGCCGCCCTCCTCCTTCTCCTCTGCTCTGCGCGTAGTCTCCACATCCCGCCAACGCCGACGGTCCACACCCGCCGCCCTCCTCCTGCTTCCTCTGCTCCGACCCTTCCCCTGGTGGGTGTAAGTGAACTCCCTCTCTCATTCTAACTAACGCATGGGTGCTTGCTTTTTTGTGCATATTACTCACTACTCTAACTAGTTGCACTGATAGAATGTGCTAGCTCATCCATGTTGTAATATCAGCCTTAGCTTCCGTTCATCTGGTTTATGGCCGAACCAAATTGTATTGGTGAGCTAGTTGCCTATATTCTTATTCTGGACACAAAATCCTTACCATCTCGGAGTTACTTGGTAGTCGGCTGGTTTGACCCTGCCATTTGTTCCTAAAGACTAAAACAGATTGGCAGACGCTCCGAATAATACCTAAGTTTGGAGCATTATGGCAAGTAACATGGTCCCAAAATTTTGTGTGAATCCATGCCATCTGGGAACTAGATGATTATTTGATTATTGTCTGGTTTAAACCTACTGTTTGATAATGTGTGAACTTGTTTTGTTGCTCCGACCCTTCCTCTGATACTGTGTGAACTTGTTTGATAATGACTGTATGCTAATCTTCCTTTCTTTTCTCATTATGAAGTCTTTTCCTTCAAGAGTCTGGAACTTGAAAGTTTCTGTGGCAGTATTTGTACAAGGCTAAGAAATGTTCTTATCTGTATTGTATCTAGTGAATGAGATAACAACACCATATAATTTAATGATATATATCCCACTATGATATTTGTTTGTGATTTGCTTGAATTTTCTAGAATGGTATGTTTAAGTATGGATAGTTTGTGTTACGAGATTGATGCTTAATTTTCTAGAATGGTATGTTAATTGTTATTTTAAATTTTTTATCAAAAAACCCACGGGTACCCACGAACCCGCGGATACCCAGCGGGTTGGGTTGGGTTTGAGTTTTTCAAACCCAGCGGGTTTTACCCCGGGTTTTTTTGTCGGATAAACCCAGCGGGTTGGGTTTGGGTTTGGCAAAACCCGCCCCAACCCGACCCATTGCCATCCCTACTCCCAGGTCTCAAGGGATTTGATTGGCCATCTTGGCTGGGGTTCGGTAAGTGGGGCCCATTCACTGCTAAATAATTCCACCTTCCTTCCAACAAACTCTCCCTCAACCAACAACAAACCAAAGTCCACTGTATATTGATATCGTCTTGTAAATTTAATCGACCCCGGCCACCACCCAATACAGTGAGACATGATTTCAATCAACTATGGTTAATCTATACGTCATGCTTAAATTATTGTAACTAAGAAGCAATCAAACTGAATTATACTTTGCAACTCTCACTAAGATTTTCTATTAATTTCTATAATAAAATATAATAATAATAAAGACAAAATAAGGCCCGCGAACACAAAAACTGAAGGAAAAGCCCATACACATACACGGAAAGTCCACTAAACAGCTGTCCAGCCTTTTTTGTGAATCAGCTGGAACAGCATAAGGCCCGCATGGGAATTTCCGTCGTCCACCGCTCTTAATAGGCCTCAGGGGGAGCCCGTAAGGTGTTAGCAGTATATACGGCTTGGTATTTGGTATGTGTTTTAGTATAGGAGTTCGGCCCATTTAATGAGCCCATGCATAAGAAGGCATCTTATGTCTATGGGAGAGTCGTCTTGGCAGCATGTGGGGCATACATGAAATGAAGTCGCACATTTAGTGGCACACAAAGGTAGCAACGAGATGGAATTACCGAATTAGTATGAAGTTTGGTTTGATAGACCGCCGGTATATATTGTTGACCAGTTATTGTTGGACAACGTAACCGTTTTCACTCGTTAATAAATTATCTCGCAGGTTTCCGATAAAAAAAAGCTGAACTTCTAATCGACGCCCTAAATTTTTAAAATTATCGCCCTAAGCTGTTCTGAACGGACGATATTGCCCCTAACAATCACAGCCCTAACCCGCCAGCCCCTCCTCCTACTTTCGCTTCCCCGCCGCCCTTTCCCCCGGCAATCACCGCCGCCCTTACCCCCAGCAGTTCCGTGCCTCCTTGCTCTGCTTCCGACGAAAAGCTGCCGCCGCCCTTCGATTCCATTCTCTGCCCAGCCAGGCGGCGGCTCCAAGGCAAGAGAATCAAACCGGAAGCCCTCGGCGCACCCAGCCACCGCGAGAAGAACGAAGGCCGAACCTGTGCCGCCGAGACTCTGCTGCCTAGCCGAGGAGGAAGGAGAAGGTCGCATCCGCCGGATTCAGTTTCGTCTTCGTCACGGCCAACCTCTGTTTCTGGCGAGCTCGAGGAGGGAGAAGGAATCCCATCACCGTATCCCTGCTACTACCAATCCCGTCGCCCGTCGCCGGGCAAGTCGTCCGCTTGGCCACGATCTGCAATTGGGCTAGGGGCAAAGATGTGCATTCTTCTTCGTTTTTGAGTGGATTGGCGAAGGAAAATTAGGGCGTGGGTGGAGAACTCCTCCGGTGAATTTCATGAGCTGGAGTTTTCCTTCCGTCGGCGACGAGCTTAGCAGAATTAGAGATTAGGGCGATGGATTGGCGATGTGTTTGGGCATTGGTGGTGACCGTTTTAGAAAATGGGGTAGAATCGTCTATTTGATTAATTTAGGGCGACAATTTTAAAAAGTTAGGGCGTTAATTAGTACCTCCCAAAAAAAGAGCCCATGCATTCTAAGAGTGGCGTCGCGATGACATAGGTGTGCAAAGGGGTTCGGCTTTCCTTAAGTAGAGTATTTTTTTAATAATCCTTAAGCAGAGTAGCAGCAACCATTTTAGTAATCGTCAATCTCCGTACAAACACAGTAGTAACTGAGACATCAGTAGCCGAAGAGCCTTCTAGGCCCTAGCTCTTTCGGGGAATAGTTCCGGATTTTCAAGAATACCATGTAAATCCGATTGTCTTGTCATTTCATTATTTTTACGTATTGTTTGATTGTTCGTCATAACTAGCTAGCACCAGGGCCCTCATATCATGCGTTACATATCTTGTCGTCTCTACTCTCTACGAGAACGTCTTAGAAATCGTATCCCAATAGCTGGTTAGGCAGAAAATATCGGTTATTCGAGCAATATAAAGTGATTAAATCACGCTTTCAGTACATACTACTAACCACTGATTCGTTATAACTTCCAACACAATTTTACAATCGCTCCTTCATAGTTGTCACTTACAGTGAAACACCTACGCTGATTATTTATTTTACACAACCCTAAATCTACATGGTCCATCTTAATTATTTCAGAGATAAGGACCATATGGCTAATTGCCCTGAAGGCTTGTGGTGTGACCCACGGTTCAGAGACTGCATCAAGTTATTGCCCCATGCAGTGTGTTGGTACATCCGGTTGGAGAGAAACAATAGGATTTTCAAGGATGTGGAGTCCTCTCCAAAAGAGATTGGACAGAAGATTGTTCTTATAGTTGGACGATGGTTACGAGCTTTTAGTCGCATCTCAGATAGACGCTTCCACCAGTGGATGGCGATTGGGACGAAGCACCTCATTTGACCCTCACGTTCTTTCTTCTTTTTATTCTCGAGTTGGTTGTTTTTTTTTCTTCTTTTGCTTAATTTTCTTTTGTTTTTTTTTTTCATTGCTTGCTTGCTCTATTACTGGTTGAGCTGCTGACTTGTTATTTTTTACCTTTGTACTTTCATGGATTGGTTAGTTTCTTATAATATTCTCATTATTCATAAAAAAAACTGGCTTAAGCTGAGCTGGCAGCTAGCACACTCCTTGATGATCGAGTTGAATTGGAGAGGTGGCCCTTCCTAAATTCGTGTTTTCCCCCAACTACACAAGGGGCAGCCACTAGTCCACTACTACCCAAAGCCCAAAGGGTGAGTACTTATCCAAAACCTGCAACGTAACATTCCCCAACCCCCCAACCAACAAGATAACGTAGCAGCAGTAAACCCAACCCTACCACAGGTTTCCAAGCATACCCAACCCCACAACGTGCCGACAGTGGCGCCGATCGAACCCATGTGCCCTCTCCAACTGCGACCCTAAAAAACGGAGTCCAGCAACACAGACTTGCGAAGAAGAAGAAGAAGAAGAAGAAGAAGAAAGGAAAATTAACAGAGCTTGCATATTTGCATAATCGAATTCATCGATAACTCCTCGTATATACAGATTACAGCTTGCCAAAGAGCCCAGCAGCAGAAACAATTATAAAATCAGCTGCCGGTAATTGCGTATAATAGAATTCTCATCATCGGAGCCTTTAATTTCGCGACAAATTCGACTCAATTGACTCTCAACTCCAAACAGTGACCTCCCTCCTCCGACCTCCTTCCGCCGCCGACGGAGCCTTGCTGCCCTTCCAGCTCTCCGCCACCGAATACCTGTCGGGAGTGGCCGGCAGCCTGGCGGCGAAGCCGCTGAGCGCCAGCTCGTCCTCCCGGTGAGCCTCGTCCTCGAAATTCAACGAGTAACTCGCCGGATCGTACCTGAAATCCTCGGATCTGTAGCGCCTACGGTTGCGTCCGCCGCCGGATCTCCTCCCCGCGAACCCGCGGCGGCACATTTCCCGGATCTCGAGGTCACAGCTCGACCTCACTGCCGGCTTATCTGTATAATCGTCATCCCCTTCGGGGTCGAGGATCTCGTGGGGGTGGTGGCCCACGGGGGTGAAGCAGCAGATGGAGGACTTGAGCATGTGCCTGAACGACGACGGAGGAGAGTAGTGCCCGCCGCCGCCGCCGCCGCATCCTTCCCTGCTAATCATTGGCATCGCCATTCCAATTGAGCTTCTCTCTGGTTTTTCTCTTCTCTGGTTTTCTCTTCTTGTTGAGTGATGAATGAATAGTAGTGTGGAAGCAAGTGCGAGTAGTGGGGGGGATGGGATAGAAATAGAGGGGGCAAAACCGTGGGGCGGGCGTGGCCCCCGCGGGCGCCGGTCGTTTTCCGTTACAGGATGGGAGGTTGGAACTTGGAAGCCGCGGGAAGGCAATTAATGATAATTGTTATTAATTTAATTACTTTCAATTTGGACGGCTATCTTCTCTTCTTCCTGTCGACAGACATTTTTAGCGTTTTAGCGACTCCAGATCCTGGAATTATTGTAAAGGGAAAAGGGCCGGTGGTGGTGGTGACTGGGGAAAGAAGACAAAAGAAGGGACGGGAATCTATCTATCTATCGACGACGTTGATTAGAGTAGATTAGGATGTGCCACCCTCCCGCCATTAAAGTGGTCGAGTCGACGACTGCGGGTTTTGCTGCTTAGATATTATTATTGTGTAAGATTATAATATCTGGGGTGGGGTGGGCATCTTCAGTCACCGTCCATCAGATTAGATTGGAATATATATAAACACTAATTAACTAACTCCGTTATTTTATAATATAATTTTGTATACCGGAATACGTTGGTTGTTGACAAAGAGTACTCCTCGGAGTCGGTACACTAATGAGTGGTGAGAGTGAGTAAACGAGCCGCATATTGCTTTGTATTGAATTTGTAGCATGACAATCAGTCGAATGATCGTAGTGTGCCAAGTGTGTGTATAAGATTTTCTTTTTCAGTGACAGGAAGATCAGGACGATTGATCACAAAAAGTTGATATGATAAAGATAAACTTGGATTATGCAGACAAATGCACCAAGCAACCTGCCTCGTAGTCCAAGTTATGTAAAATTGCACAATATTTTCGAAATTTTCAAGGAGACACGAGTCTCTTTATTGGGTTAATTGCATGGTTGGTCACTGAGATTATAAAAAACGTTCATATTTTGTCACTGGAAATATTTAAATCCAATCTTGGTCACTCAAATTAGTTAAATGGTTCAAGTTTGGTCACTCTCCGTCCAACTCTGTTAATTTTTGCTTACATGGCAGTCAACTCTTACAGTTGACCGTTAAATATGTGACATGGCAATTAAAAAATAATAAAATAAATAAAATTTAATTATTTAAAATTGACACGTCATTAGTACACTATTATAAAAAAAATCTTTTAGTTGTGGCCATCGTCACCGACGCTGGACGTGCCTCAGCAGCGTGGGGATCTGGGTTCGTTGCCACGACGGTAGAATTGACCGCCGAGAAATGGCTCACCGATCTCAAATCCATTCACCGGAGCAAGCGGGGAGGAAACATACAACGTCTCCGGCAAAGACCCTAGAGTTAATACTAACAATAAATTTACCTTAACGTCCTCGATCTCTGACGGTGAAACGGGTGGGCTGTCGGTGAGTGAACCGTTGAGTGGGTCTCTGCTGTGTGAAAGCCTGCCGGAAGTTCTCGGAGACACCTCTTGCTGGGTGCCGGAAAAACAATTTATCAAGAACAAAACAGGGCAATGGACATTAGTCGGAAGGATTGATTAAATGGAATAATTTATTAATTTAATAAATAAATGGCAACTGAAATGTGTGGCATAGGTACTCTGTTTTTCTTCTTCTTATTCTTCTCTACTGTACGTTACAAAGGAGAGCAGAAAGGGGAAAAGAAGCTCACCGTCACCGAGTGGGACAAGATACGGTCCATGACCATCCAGGTGGTCTCGGAGGAAGCGAAGGAGGAAGCAAACAACGGCGGCACTGCATCCTCTCGTCCACCAGAGCCTTCATCGCCGGGCTAGACACCACCACTCTACTTCTCTTTACCGTCACCGATAGCCTATATATCAACCCAATCGATCTAATTTCTTGTTTCCTCCAATTCGAAGAGATGAAAATGAGAGGTAATTTTTGGGCGGGACGAAATCCCTAGAGAGGGTTTGTGGCGGAGAGATGCATGAATGGAGGAAGTTGTTGTGATGAAATCGACCACCGCCACACAATTTCTTCTTCCCCGAATGCCTGACATCCTCTCCCTAGCACTCTCGACCGATCCGGACTCACCGAGAGCTGCTACGCCAAACATTGACCATCTTCGCTCAACCTTCCTCGCCATTTGGTTACGCCGCCGTTGAAAGCTGCAGAAATTAAGTTATTGGTTTGCTCAGCAATAGACGGCGGAGGAGGCAAATGACAAAGTTCCTGTTCATTCTCCCTTGCCCAGTCCCCACCGGCGATTCTCCTGGAAGAAGAAAAGATGGGATTCTTTGGTATTCGACTCCTCCCATCAATTCACAGAAACACAGATCCACCACTCTACTTTCGTCGGTGACAATTAAAAGAATTTATTTTATTTTTCTATTATTTAATACTTGTAATAATGAGGTGGAAAATTAAAAAAATAAATTAAATTTATTTATTATTTTTTAATTGCCACGTCACATATTTAACGGTCAATTTTAAGAGTTGACTGCCACATAAGCAAAAGTTAACGGAGTTGGACGGAGAGTGACCAAACTTGGAATGTTTAACTAATTTGAGTGACCATGATTGAATTTAAATATTTCCAGTGACCAAATATGAACGTTTTTTGTAATCTCAGTGACCAACCATACAATTAACCCTCTCTTTATTATTTTATTTTCTGTAGTCTCTTGATTTAGGGCTTTGGCCCATTAAAGGCGCCACCAAAAAGCCCATCACTAATTTGGGACACTTTTTTGTTTGTTCGAGCACTCTATCTAAACATTTACATTTGACATGTCTTCATGTCAATTTTAACCCTAGAGTTGGGGCTTAACCCGAATAATCACACCCGTTTTAAACCGGTCATACCTAACAAACCCGATCGGGTCGACCCACAGCAGCGGGTTCCGGATTGGTAAAAAGTAAAAACGTTCGCTTTTGACTTTTTCACAGTTTTGAGTTTTCCCTTCGGTTTGCAATTTTGCTTCTCTAACCCTCTGTTCTCTTTGTCCTCGCGAGCAGAGTCGCGGGCCTGGTGAGTTGACCAGTCCACCGAGTCAGAGTTAAGCGGCGCCGTTTGGCATGAGCAGGGGGAAGAGTAAAACCCTTGACTCAACGACGTCAACGTCGTTCACTCCATCTCCCTCCCGTTCACCGTTCCGCCTCTCTCTCTCCGCCGTCCCCGCCGTGTCTCCCATCCACCGGGTAGTTATCATAAATGATAACAAAACTATTCATTTTGTACAAAACAGTAACAAATCTTTAATTTTGCACGTTTCAGTAACATATCTTTTGACTAATAACAAAAAGGTAATTCCGTCCATCTCCATCAAAATTCTGTTAGTTTGGTCCAGTCAGCTATCCCGTCAGCATCCACCTCAGTAAAATAATTAATAAAAAATAAAATAAAAACAAATTAAACCCTAACCAACCCACCACCCCACCACCCCAATCGAGCCCAACCCATTCCTCTCTATCTCCTCTTCTTCTCCGCCGGAAGACAAAGAACAACAGGGAGAGAGACCACGGCGAGGCTGAAGTTGAATAAGGAGTCGCTTCGGTGGAGGCGGAAGTTCTTGACCTCTACTCTCAAGTGGAAGCGAGTCAATTTGCAGATATCGCTGGTCGACAACGTCCTCTTCAAGGTCGCCTCGGTTCTCTAGGCGATTGTGCTGGTAGCCACCCTTTCTTTCTTCTACCTCTGTTGCGGCTGCCACTTTTGATCATCGATTTCAAGAAAGAACTGGAAAATTGGAGTTCCCTCTCAAGATTCGACCTTTTTGTTTTCTTTTTACGGGGATGGAAATATGGATTCTTTCTTCTTTTTCTTCTAATCTTTTTGATAATTGTATAATTGAGTTGTACAGTCCTTCTTCTAGCCATAGAATTATGAGAACTCCATCTTTTTATTCTTTCCTCGTCTTTCCCCTCATTCTCTGTTTTGCTTCCCTGCCGGCCTATCATTGACCGGCTGCCGCCGCTGTCTGTAATTCATCTTTGATCTGTACCCAATTTGCAAACTTTAGCATTCCCACATCTGGGTTTCCAGTTCCTTTTCCTTTTCTCCTTCCCATGCATCCTATGTATCTTTTCTCCCCCAATTCACCTAGTCTCTGCCTCTGTCACAAGGGAGTCCAGAAACAGGGGATTTCCTCCAATTGCATTCTCTAAAGTCAATCCGAATAGTTCTCTAACGGGTTGTTTCGGGTTTTCCATGATTATGCAATTGAACGTTAAGTTTGCACTTTTTTTTAAGCTTTCATCGTGTTCTTCGTCTTCCGGCGGAGAGGGAGAAGAGACAGAGAGGAATGGGCTGGGTTGGATTGGGGTGGTGGCCTGGTGGGTTGGTTAGGGTTTAATTTATTTTTATTAATTATTTTGCTGATGTGGATGCTGACGGGATAACTGATTTGACCAAACTAACAGAATTTTGGATGGAGATGGACGGAACTACCTTTTTATTATTAGTTAAAAGATATGTTACTGAAACGTGCAAAATTAAAGATTTGTGACCGTTTTGTACAAAATAAATAGTTTTGTTATCATTTATGATAACTACCCCATCCACCAACTGACCCGACCCGGAAATTACAACACTTCTCTCTAATCTCCGGGTGAACGCTAGAACCCTCCAAAAGACACTAAAACCTCACAAGCCTTCTTCCGAACTTCACAGTCACACAGCTCAATTCGGAACGCAAGCTAATTTCAGCTAAAAACCCTGCAGTTTTTTCGAGGCCATGGTTAGCTTAAGCTACTCCTATGTTCCTCCCTTTCCGATACATTCTTCGATTGTTTGCGTCAACTAGCTCAATCTTCCTGGTTTGCAGGAACAAGCTCAATCACCCTCAATCGGCGACTGCTTGAAGCTGCTGAAAGGCGAAAGAGACGAGCAGCTCCTCGCCGGGTTGCTTCTAGTCACCAAAGTTTGCCAAAGAGACGACCTAGCCTCGCTTCGTGCGGTTTATGATGCCGTGGACGTTCGGTTTCTCGACAGGCTCTTCAAGACTGGTGCTGCTTTCTTTGCCCTATACCTGCATGGTTGCTTAGAAAGTTCACAGAGAATGAATTGGAACTTTGTGATTGCTAGTCCAGTTTTCTGGGGGTTCTTATTTTTTTTGTCGATTTTGGTAATCTGAAGTGTATGAACTGCCGGTTTTTCTTTTTTAAAACTAGGGATGGGTAAAGGAGCTGCAGCAGGCAGTGGTTTGGATAACCGAGATGCGTATTTGCAGCTATCAGTCACGATTGTTGCTGCGTTTTGTCGCATTCCAGAAATTGCTGCTTCCATGGACATGGTATCCAAGGTTCCCATGGTCCTGAAGATAATGACGGAGTAAGCTTCTTGTTTTGAGCTTGGATACTAATTTGCTAAACCGTTCTATTTGCTCATGATCAATGTTTATTTAACACTGCTAGATTCCATTTGTTAAGCTGTAACTGTTTAACCCAGTTATTTGCTCACTACCTGTATTGCAATTTTAGTTACGTTACGTGTATAGCCATTAGCTTCATCACTTTGAATTGCAGATCAAATGATGCTGTTCTTGAAGAATGCTGTGAAATTCTATATCTGGTAGCAACTTCTTCAGAAGATGGAGTAAGCACGTTTTGTGAATCTGAGGGTCTTAAAGTCATAGCTTCGAGAATGCATACTATGTCTGATGGTAACTTTCTTCTCATTTGCTGTGTGCTGACTTAAGCTTTAAAGATTTTCATTCCTGAAAAATCATTTCAGTGCTGATATCCCACAGGTTCTCGTACCATGGAACTGTCAATTAAGATATTGCAATACGTGCTTAGTAAGCTCCCTCGAGACTTCATCACAAGCAGCCATCTACTGGACCTTGCAACTGTGGTGAGTTTGATGTTTTGAAGTCGTCATGACGCTGATATCGTTTCCTTAATTGCTTTCATCAAAAGGCATGCAGGAGTTCCAACATTTTGATGCTATATCTACTGAAGTTAATGTTTTGTTAAACTAAGTATGCAATTTAAGTTCTGAAGTTCCGAACTCTGTTGAGACTGTGGTTTCTGTCGCAGGTGGAATCATTAGCAAGACAGTTTGCTGTATTGCACAGTCCTCTGAAATTTGAAGCACTTCATTTACTTTCAGTGATTTTCTCTTCGAAGTATTTGGTACGTGAACACTTTTTTATGGGTTCTTTTGATGGACAAGTGTTTCAAATTTTATCTTCATAGCTTACTTTTTGCTCAGTGTACACTTGAGGGGATGAAATAATACCTCAACTGGGGGTTAATCAAGGGAAGAAACTTAAACTTTGACTTATGAAGGATGTAGGACATCACTGAGAGAGCATCTTTTTTCTACCTAGAATAAGTGGCAGTATATTAGGTTTTGAAGGCAAGAATGCCAGAGATATTAGGACTTTCCGTTTGCTTCTCAATTTTGGATTGGGTTGCAAGTACAAAGTATATGAGGACACTGTTGAAAGGAAGAGAGTAATTAGGGGAGATAACCTTATATGAGGAGCAATCCCTATTTGCGCTGCTGAGTCTTATACCACTTACTTGCTGGGAGTCCTAAGACCAAGATTTTGAAATTCACGTGGTTGCTAACTTGCTATTTCAGGAATCACTTCGTGAAACCTTGCGTGTAATGGGAGGCAGCAAGTGGTCTGACTATATCCACATTGGTGTTATGGACATTTTACAAAATCGAGTTGGTAAAATTCAACTAATATAAGATCCAAGTTATTATTATTATTTTTAAGATTGAGTCAGATAAAACATGGATTCTTTTTTCCCCATTTCATTTTTTCGGGACTCTTTTGTAATCTCACTATTGCATGTGTTTTGGTGTGCAGCTCCTGCTGATAAGGTTCACGCCCTTGTTCTGGCTGAGTCAATGTTGTCTATATCAGGGGAATCCTGGCTGCTTCGCCAGCCAAACTTGACAGATTGCAAGGCGTCTGTGCCCGTTGATAGGTAACTCTCTGTTTTAGTTCTGGTTTGCTTGAGCCATTATAGATCTTTTTGGTTATTTTCTTGTTGATCTATTTAGGTGTCTATTGCTTGTCTTGGAGTCTGCAAGAGTAGAAGTGGCTGTTTTGCTGAATGAACTGGCTTATCTCAAGTATGAAGCTTCAAAGTATACCTCAAATAGTGACACTGCTCTCTCAACAAAGCAGCAGCACCTAACTGTTGCATTTTCCTTGGTTGAAGGAATAATCAAACTAATATCAACCGTGGGTGAAAATGAAGGTATTTTACTCAATACTGAAGTCTGAGTGCTGTAGTGATACTCAAGCTATTGGGGTGAAAAATTCTGTGATATGCTTTAAATGTTTCCATCTTTCCTTCCCATATTATGGAAAATTTACTCTTGGTTCTCGTTCTTTTGGAGTTATTTGTAGTGTTGACAAGCTATGAACCCCATATACTATGATAGTCTGCTGATTGCTTGTTAAAGCCATTTAGACGTTTCAGTTTTAGGTCTCACTTTATCGGAGTAATACCCATCTTCTTTGGGTTGCAGTTTGCTTGTTGGTCAATTCTTTCATCAGATTTATATTTGCTTGTGAACTATGTTACACTTGTGTGGTTGGCTGAATTTGATTCAAGGGCCTAATAGCTGTTGCCTGTTTTGTGTACAACAGAAGTCATTAGTGAAGCAACCATCATAAAGGTGATCAATGGGCTTAACGAGACAGTTAATGTAGTATTGGAGTACTTGCAGGATGCAAAGGTAAAAAGTTACTGACATGAAGCTGCTGCATTTCTTCGAAATTAGAAGCTCCTTAAATCGCTGTTCTATTCTACAGGAGCATGGACAAAAGAAAGGAAATGACCTGATTGCTTCAGTAAGACTTGTTGGGAGGTAGTTTCCTGTGACATTTCTCATATAAACGAGTCTCCTTATTGATGTTCCACTACAATTTGGCCTGCATCAGTTACAGATGCTTGGAGGAAATGACCTGTTTTTTCCCCCTGTTTTCGGATGGAACAAGTAAAGCAAATTGGTAAACTGTATGCTTGATAGCTCTAAGCCTCTAACCAAATAGCAGCCTTTCTAAACTTCTTGCTTTGTTAAACTGGTTTCAATGTGGTTGACAAATCTTTGTGTTGGTAAAGTTACCTCGCAGAAACACCCTATGCATCAAGTGACAAAGTCAGAGAACTTTTGGAGTACATGTTGTCAATTGAAGGTGAAGATGAAACAAGGTTTTGTATTTGTGATATGGGTTTTGCAAGATATTGTTAGTTGAGTATGTCTCTTCTATATGGTACATTGAACTTGAAGAATGGCTTCCCACATTGCCTCTTTCAAACTCTGCAGCCCTTTCTATTCCATATGCTTCTTACTTCCAATGCTGTGCCAAATGACAATGGAGATTCAAGGGTGCAAAACTTTGATTTCATCCAGAGGTCACAAGGCTGTAAGTTGGTAGCATTTAAGGTTTCCTTACAGCTCTTTGGCTGTATTCTTCTATTATTTGGTTCATCTTGCGAATTGTTTCGCTGTTACTTACTGTATTCTGAAAGAGCCAGCTGACTGCAGTTTGTCTGAATATACCAAATAGTGGACAAATCTGATTTCTGTGTCTCATATCTAACAATTGACAATTTTTGCAGGTGGTTGAGTTTCTTGTAAAGTTGCTCTGTAATCCCGTGACCGAAGACATGGATCGCATCTTTTTGGCATGCGACACAATAATGAACCTTCTTTTGAAGGTCTGCTTACCTCTAGTTATATGGCGATGTCGTATTTTTTGCTTTGCCTGAAGTAAGATTTCAGAAGCTTACTTTCTTTCACTTTTCCTGTCGATAGCAAGAGGAGGTACACTTTCAGATGGAAGAATCAAGCTGCATTAGTCTCTTGAATGCATTGGCATTTTGGGCAGGTAGCTGTCTGGTGTATTAGCATTTATCATCTGTGATTTCTGTTCATTTCCTGCTCTTTTATCAAAAGCTTCTGCAGGCATCCAGAACCTTACTAGTATTCCATGGCTTTAAAATTTTGCAGAGAAGTCAGATGATCCATCTGTGCTAATGATGGCTGCAAGTATATGTGCACTGGGATTAGATTTCACATCAGAAGCAGCCCTTCTAAAGCATCCTAATTTCGACTCGAGATCACTTACTCGTCTTTGCCACCTCATCTCAAGAAGCTTCGCTTTTGCTACTCAGGTAACCATGACAGTGGTTCACTCACCCACCTACTCACGAAAAATCTTCTCATACAGCCAACTGAAAATCCCTTGTTCAAATTTTGGTTTCATCGCAGGGCATGGCAGATGCTGTTCGATCAGAAACAGACCTTATTGAGATTATTACTTCAGGTCTAGGCATTAGCTTCTTCCAGAAACTACAACTTACGTGCAACCTAGAATGCCTTCATTTGTCTTAAATTCATGAAATGTGTCGGTTTCGTTTCTCTTTAATCTAAAGTTTTCGTATCTATCAACGTGTTACAGGTTTTTCACGGTGGGCTGATCGGTTCCCTAGCATAAAAGCAGCAGTTTTGGGAGTTTGAGTATGTTGCCTTACGAACGATCGGTTTAGGATTGCATCCGGCTGCTAACTGATAATCCATAGCAATACAAAAGCGCTTCAGATGTTTCTATCAGGCGAAGAGCTCTGTACTGCTTGTTCTGTACGAATGGAGTCAATGACTTGTACATTACGACCTATCTACAAGACCTCAATTAGGAACTATGTAGTGCACAATGTCCTTAATCCTCTACATGTATAAGTGGAACAGTGTAGCTTTAGCCAGTGTTGAACACTATTAGCAATATATTATGAAACCATAAACATCATTTTAGCCCTGCGTACAGCTCTCGTCCTTGCTTCCTTGAGACCCCGCCTAACTTCTCCTCGACAACTTTCTCTGCCTTCTCTGTCACGAATGTCATATGTGGGAGCTCTTCTCCACGCTTCAGGATCTTGACGCTGCCTGTGGCTAGTTCTCTTGCGGCAGAAAACCAAGGGTTTCCACGTTAGGCACTGGATCAGTCGCCGCCAGGCCATGCCTTCGATTCCTACCGTTTTGTTTGCAGTGGTGCAGCTGTTAGGACCATTTGGAGTTGCGTGGTGTAAGAAGCAAGCCTCGGCGAGATGACCATTCAACTATGGAGTGTCGGGGATTTGCAACTGCTACGGCCATTGCTGTGGAAAACTTGTAGAAGGAGCTTTCTCCTTTCCTTTGATATAGGGTGCGGCCAATGGATGGTGTAATGGTGTTTCCCTTTTCAATTCTGGGAACTGACAATTTGCGCTTCCTTTCCTGACTCAATTCGGATTAATCGTCGTAAAAGCTTGAATATTGGGGCCGATTGGGAGTCGCCGTTGTTTTTACTAGGCCCACAAATGGCCTTTCATGGGCTACTATGTTTACAGGAGCTTCTGGCCCAAATAAGCTTCTGTAGTCTCGCCAGTCGCCAAATTGATGCAGTTGCATAAATTGGATCTCTTGACTGTGTCAAGTGAATCGTTATTCTAGGATTAGGGTTTTCTCCTCACTCGCTCGCTCGGCGGCCTCGGCGTCTTAGCTCTCTCGCTGCACACCGTCGATCGGCACTCCCACAATCCCGCCGCAACCATGGCCGAGCAGGTTCGGTGCCTCTCAATCTCGCTTTCGTTTTGGCCTTGCAGTGGCTGTTATTCTGATGGCGTTTCTTGTTGTGCTTGATCTGTGTTGTGCCAGACTGAGAAGGCTTTCCTGAAGCAGCCCAAGGTGTTCCTCAGGTAAGCTTTTCGCTTATATTCTGCATCGTTCGTCGGAGTTTTGGTGCTAGTGTTCTTTGGGGATTCTCATTGGTGATTCTAATTCGGCTTGTTTTGTAGCTCTAAGAAGACAGGGAAAGGAAAGAGGCCTGGGAAGGGAGGAAACCGTTTCTGGAAGAGCATTGGATTGGGATTTAAGACTCCCAGAGAAGCAATTGAAGGTCTGTTTTTGTGGTTTCTTTACCATGTTGTAGCGTTCTTTTAGTATTTCCTGTTTCCCTTAGATTGGTTTTATACATTTGTGAACTCGAGATTGCCGATACAACTAGCGATTTGATACCAGTCAAATGCCGGCTATGCTTTGGATTTTATCAAGTGTGAGCTAGCTTTTCATTCCTAGTTCCATTTGGGTTAAGCATTCATTATGCAATTACGAGCCATGATGCTCTTTTGTAGCTAGATGTATATATATTTAGAGTTGCTGCTCTGTTCTATGTGAATTCATCTGATAACTTACGTCCGAATTTACTAAGGCCGGGAATGGAAGTTGTGGCTAGGGGGCGGATGAAGTGTTCAAGTGTTGTGTGTAATTATATTGGATATCATCATAGCGACTGGCTGATTTTCGAGCTGATTCAATTATGTGTGCAGGCACATACATTGATAAGAAATGCCCATTCACTGGTACGGTTTCCATCAGAGGCCGAATCATCGCCGGTACTTGCCACAGTGCAAAGATGATGAGAACAATCATTGTCAGGCGCAATTACCTTCATTATGTGAAGAAGTACCAGAGGTGAGAGTGTGCACCTAATAAAGTCGAACTGTTCTTGTGTGAGGTTTCTGTTCGTGTTAATTCATACTATTCATGTATTCGATCAGATATGAGAAGAGGCACTCCAACATTCCAGCGCATGTATCGCCATGCTTCCGTGTGAAGGAGGGCGATCATGTTACTATTGGTCAATGCAGGTTAGGGAGTTTCTTCATGCTGATGAGTTATTAGAATGAAGCCTTTTCCTTCCAAACAAAATATCGAATTATGTTTATGTTGATTCTTGCTGCAGGCCTCTGTCCAAGACTGTGAGGTTCAATGTCTTGAAAGTGATTCCTGCTGGTTCTTCTGGTGGCGGCAAGAAAGCTTTCACTGGCATGTAATTTCTTATTTGAAGAGTTTTGAAGGCTTTGCTGGGTAGAGTTAATGATTGAAGTTGCAAATTTTCATTTTGGTTTAAGTGGTTGAACTGAATTGTAATACAGAGACATCTGTTTGATGCTAAAGTGATCGTGAAGTTTTGCCTGTTTTTATGCTTTGGTGAATTTTCTTTTTCTCTGCATCCACCTCTGTTCTGGCCAAGGCTTGCGGACAGTTGATGTTGGGCTTGTGTTAAGTCCGTAATAGGGCGCTGTTATGGTGTTGTAATCCCATCGTAGGCCGTGTTCCGCAAACTCGACCAAGGCTGATGCTCGTAAAATAGGCATGGTTCGACTCGCGCTGGGCTAGGTTTCGTTGTTGGGGCTCCAGAACTGAGCCCAGAATTTAGATCAAGCATACCAAGCTATCTAAGTTGAGATACGAGCACCGGGACGTTGAAATATTCAAAATTTAAACGGGAAGAAATAAGCAAAAATATTAAAACACCATGACAAATGGCGTAGTTAGAATTAGAAGTTAAAGGTGGGTCTATCATAAAAAAAATTTAGTGTAACTTCACTTGTATTAATTACTTTACAATTATCCAATGTAAAACTGAAAAAATCAATACGGGTAAATGCCACATTTGGTCACTGAAATTACTAAATTGTGTTATGTTTAGTCACTATAAAAAATTAATATCAATTTTGTCACTCGAATTACTAAAAATGTCACATTTAGTCACTCTCCCGTTATCCTTCGTCCAACTCTGGTCACTCGAATTACTTTTTTTTTATGAATGTCACTCGAATTACAGAAACTTGTCACATTTGGTAACTAAATGTGACATGTTTTAGTAATTCGAGTGACCAAAATTGATGTTAATTTTTTTTAGTGACTAAACATGATATGATTTAGTAATCTCAATGACCAAATGTGACATTTACTCATATATACCTATAGATTTGAAGACACCCTTCTTGATTTTCAAAATTTGATTGTGGCTTTCATTAGACTGTTAGGCGTTAGCCACTGCCAATGCGGTGCAAACGATCCACCTTTGTGTGAACTAGCTCCACCACTGATTACAACTAATTGAAATAATATGAGTAAGCAAATGAATTCATAATCTTCACCACCATTACATATCTATATACTGTTGGTCTAATTTGTCACTTGACTCATGACTGACCTAGGTCCAAATCTCAATAATAATATTTTTATCTTGAAAAATTATATCATAAACCTGTTGTTTGAGCCAGCCAGTTTCAAGAATTAATCGCCCAAACGAGCCAGGGCCCGTCAATGCAGTATGAACCCCTTTCGAAGCCGTCTAAACTAGATATGTACTTGGATTAGGTTTTTTGGTCAAACCAACAGATGTGATTTTTACAATAATAGGAGAAAATGCAATTCCTACGATTACTAGAGAAATTTTAGAATGTTATATAGCATTGGTGTTATAGGTTTTTGCTTTTATGGTACAACTTAAAGTTATACCTTTAACGTTATGGTACACCTTCAAATTGTATCTATACTCTAATGTACCTTTTTTTTGTACAACTTGGACTTGTACTTTTATATAAAGTTGTACCATAACATAAGAGTATAAATTCTTTTCTGGTACAATCTGAACTTATATATTTAACATTATGGTACAATTTCAAATTATACATTAAATCACCATTACTATAGTAGAAGTGCCATAACTTCCTACCTCACATTGAATTTTTTCCTTTTTTACTTTACTAAGTGTAGATGTATTAATCCCGTAACTTTTCTTTATGGGTTATATGTATAATATGCCCCTCTACTATGACGTTTTATCAAACATGTCCCTCTACTATTTTTTTACATCAAATATGCCCATGTATTTTGAAAAAATTATCAAACATGTCCTTCTGTTAAAATTTTCCATTGAAAAAATCGTCAATCATGGTTGAACCGAGATTTAGACGACCCGACATTGGCAAATGGGAGGAAAAATGTCAGTTTTGTCCCCTGTTTTATTTCTCTGGGTCTTTTCAAAGTGAAATTATTTGAATGATTTGATTATACAAAAGAACCAAAAAAAATTTAAAGTGAATTTATTAGAGATATTTTAGTAATTTGTGTTGCCCAAACTAAAGTTCGGCCTTGGTTAACGATTTTTGGATGAAAATTTTAACAAAAGGGCAGATCATTTTTACAAAGTACATGGGCATATTTGATGTAAAAAATAGTAGAGGGACATGTTAGGGGCATATTATACCTATAATATTTTTTATTAACCCTTTTTGTCAAAACAGAGAATATGTTCTTTATTAATCCATTTTTGTAAATACGAAGAAATTCCAAGACTGAAAAAGTCCGCCTTCTATTAGTCAACGAACAATCTCGTGGAAATTTACGTAGAATACCTACTAGCTAGTAGCTACTGTAGATTTATATATCAAATCAAAAGAATATATAATGGTGGAGTTTTACAGAATTTTCAGCATTCAAATTTTTCTGGCCTCTCCTTAATTTCCGGAAGGGTGTTTTAGTCCATCACAGCCTCTTAATTTCCTGTTTTCCCGCCCAAATGATACTGATTAAGTTAGTTAATCCAACTCTTGTCCTAGCCCGCAAGACGACTATGTAGTTGGGCCAGCTTTAAAGCCCAAAGCTACCCCAACTCCCACTACTGTCTACTGCTGCACTTATTTATGTGGAGATAAAGCAACCGTAATTACATTAACTTTTTATTTGCCCAAGTATTTTGGTTACCAAATATGAGTTGTATTTAAGTGATTTCTTTTCTGTTACACTCTTCACAAATTACTGTAAGCTAATAACTAATTTCTTAATAATTTTGAATTTCTTAGTTTTTTAATTAAGCCATGAACTTAGCACAACTTATTGAATACCAATATTTGGATGTTATGTATTTAGAGATTGGTGCATTACTCTCTCGCTGAGATTTAAAGGTTAAATGATAGAGGTTAAAGTTTGTTGATCTTTTAGTGTTTATAGTACTATATATAACTTATGTGTGTTACTGCCATAAATGAACAAAGCTTATGCATGTGACTTAAATATTGTCAAATTATGATTTTTACATAATAAAATGATGACTAATTTGAAATCAAAGAAAATCCAGTTGTATAGTTTCTAGATTATGTGTATAATATTTCAACATAAAATTATGCTTAATTTAATCACACATTAAATGAGTAGATCAAGTATAGAGAATATGTAACAACCTGTTGAATATCAAGATTGAGAATAATCTCATACATTATGATGAAAATTTTAGAAAAAATCATTATTTTTGTGAATACTATTATTACATTACATTGTGAATCCTTGACAAAAATCTAAAATTTATTAAAGAAAAGATATAAAACTATTCTTATCTTATAAATCTTAAATGTATTCCGGCCAACTGGCCGGGTCCAAGCTAGTAATTATAAAAGAGTTCTTTAAGACTGAAAATTACATAGAACACCATACCGAATACAAGAGTTACATGGCAAGAGATATAATAAATTAATAACTACAGTCAAGGAAGACATTGGAAATAAGATGTTGACATAGTCGCACAGAGATGAAGCAATATATGTACTCACGAAGAGATGTGGGTTGAGCGTTCTCAAATTAACCTTCGCGTTTATTAACCACTCACATGCTCATTCCTACTCATAAAAATAGTTAGTTAAATGTATTAACGCGTTCAGAACTTATATAATGTTCATATAAATATTATATGAATTGAAAATCTAGTTCTATATTAGTTCTGAACCATCTCAACTTTTTTTCCTGCTGGTTCGATATCTCTTCTAGTGAACATGTATCAAGTATGTCTAATACTTTTAAATTTTGAATGAAAACATCCCTCTAGCGTAATTTACTCATAATACTGTTTACCAACACCGTTTCAAATCCTACCAAAACACAGAAATAAAATGGAATAATACTGAAGGATATAATGGAGTCCGAAAAAAGGGTAATAGCTAACCAGTAACCAGCCAGGATTATAACCATTGATGGACTCTGTCCGTTCCTATTTGGCTAAAGCTAACAGACTCGGACTCGGGCTCGAACTCGGAAAGTTCGGGTTACTTAATCAGCGATTAATTCGAAAGTTAGGATACTTAATTGACACTTTTTCCGATTAATTAAATTCAATTAGGAATTATTAACCGAAACCAACACCTCCAATCGCCAAGATTTTATTCCCCTCTATAAATACTGTACCATTCTCCCACCGTTTCTCCCACCTGCAAATCTTTCATCGTTCCCCCAAAACCCCCAAAAACACCAAGAAACCCCAAGAATCCAAATCAACTCGCCGCCACAATGTACCGAGTCGCGAAAGCGTCGGAGTACCTGGCGATCACCGGCGTCGGGATCAAGGACATCAAGCTCGCCAAGAAGTCATGGATCTTCCCCGGCCAATCCTGCACCAAGTTCGACATCTCCCCGGTCAACTACACCTTCGAGGTCCAGGCCATGTCCGCCGAGAAGCTCCCCTTCATCCTCCCCGCCGTCTTCACGATCGGCCCCCGCTACGACGACGACGACGCCCTGCTCAAGTACGCGAAGCTGATCTGCCCCCACGACAAGCACTCCCAGCACGTGAACCAGCTGGTCCAGGGCGTAATCGAAGGCGAGACCCGCGTCCTCGCCGCCTCCATGACCATGGAGGAGATCTTCAAGGGGACCAAGGAGTTCAAGCACGAGGTCTTCGGCAAGGTCCAGCTCGAGCTCAACCAGTTCGGCCTCTACATCTACAACGCCAACGTCAAGCAGCTCGTCGACGTCCGCGGCCACGAGTACTTCTCTTACCTAGGTCAGAAGACGCAGATGGAGGCCGCCAATCAGGCCAAGGTCGACGTCGCCGAGGCCAGGATGAAGGGGGAAATTGGGGCTAAGGACCGCGACGGGCTCACGAAGCAGAACGCGGCCAAGATCGACGCCGAGACGAAGATTATTGCGATTCAGAGGGAGGGGGAAGGTAAGAAGGAGGAGATCAATGTGAAGGCCAAGGTCAAGATCTACGAGAATCTGAGGGAGGCAGAGGTCGCCGAGGCGAACGCCGAGTTGGCTCAGAAGAAGGCCGGCTGGACTCAGGCTTCCCGAGTCGCGGAGGTCGAATCGGAGAAGGCGGTGGCCCTCCGCGACGCCGAGCTGCAGAGGGAGGTCGAGCGGATGAACGCCCTCGCCACTACCGAAAAGCTCAAGGCCGAGCTCCTCACCAAAGCCAGCGTCGAGTACGACACCAAGGTATGCAATCTCAATTGTTCCTCTCAATTGGGCGAATCAATTTCTAATTTCAATCTAGGTTTTGTTGATTTTCATCTGGAAATTGATTGGTTGATGAATGCTATTGATTGATTGAAGATTGTGGGTGAGAATTAAGCGATTGATGATTCTGTGTGTTGTTTCCAGGTTCAAGAGGCGAATTGGGACCTGTACAACAAGCAGAAGGCGGCGGAGGGAGTGCTGTACGGGAGAGAGAAGGAGGCGGAGGCGCAGATGGCGGCGGCGAAGTCGGCGTTCTTCGCGCGGCAGCAGGCGGCGGACGCGGAGCTGTATGGGAAGCAGAAGGAGGCGGAAGGGATGATGGCGCTGGCCAAGGCGCAGGGGTTTTACGTGAAGACTCTGCTGGAGGCGCTGGGAGGGGACTACGGTTCGTTGAGGGATTACCTGATGATCAACGGCGGCATGTTTCAGCAGCTGGCGAAGATCAATGCGGACGCCGTCCGGGGGCTGCAGCCGAAGCTGAGCATCTGGACCGGCGGGGATGTCGCCGGCGGCGGAGGCGGGAATGGGGATGGGCTTGGCGGTGGGGCGATGAAGGAGATTGCCGGGGTGTACAAGATGCTGCCGCCGTTGCTGCAGACTGTTGAGGACCAGACTGGGATGACACCGCCGGCGTGGCTCGCTACTCTGCCGAAGAATTGAATTGGTTGACTAATTAGTAATTACTCTTGTGTTTCGTCGGTCTTTGTCGTTGATTAGTCGGAATAAACGGGTGTTTAAAGTTTGGTAAAGGGTAATTGCTTGTAGATTTGCACAGACTTAATCGTTAGTGTGGAATAGTTGGTTTACGTACAATGAGCTGAGGGTAATTAGTAATATTGGGGTTTGACTTTCCAGTTTCTTAGTAAGTTGTTTAATATTGCGTTGACTTTCAAGTGTCAAGTCTTCTTCTCTTGGTGGAGTTTTTTTCTTTCCTCTGTTTTATTTTGGTGAAGAGTTGGTATTTTTTTTCTTCTTTCCTCTGTTTTAGTTTATTGTGTTCCACTTCCACCCTTCTAAGCTACAATTCATCTTTAATATTTAATTAGCTATCATAAAAATTAGTATGATAGTCAATTACTTTCTAGAGATATTTGTTAAACCTCGATAATATTGGATCACGAAATTCATTTATGTTAGAATTATTAATTAGTTTCAATCATTAACTATGTTCCAAAGTATTGGTGATTTCATATATATATTTAGTGGTTGAATCAATTTGCTAGCTTTAGTGGTCGAATCTCTCTCCGAAATAACGAAGTAACTTGACCGAAGGAATGAAGTTGCTTATTGGAACACTAAACTTTTAAATATTTGCATGTCAGCTATCGGTTTTTTGTATGAACAACTATGTATTCAAGTTTCTACAATGACAGACTTGAATTATGTGTACAATTTTGTATTAGTATATGACCTTTATTCGTTTTGTTTTTTAGTTAATTAAGGTTACATATAGTTTGATTCGCTTTTATTCAATGTTTTGCTTTGATAACAACCCGTATGAAATTTCATAAGAAATTGAGTATATATACTTTGCAGAGATGGGACGACCTAAGTTGTATTATATGACATTATTTGACTCTGGAAGTGGAAATTGGTTAGGTAATAATAACTAGTAACAGAGATATATAATTAAATTAGGAAATGAGGAGTGCTTCCTCGAATTTTCCTTTTGATAAATATAGTAGTAGAGTGTTGCACCATCTTTCCATCCGTTACTAGAATTAGGGTAAAGATGAGGCCTGCTCTGGGGAAGGTGCAAAGCCCAATCAAGTCTCCCTTCTTTATTGGCTTAATTGTAAGTTTGGTCACTCGAATTGCTATAAAATTTCATGTTTGCCACTCAAATTAATTTATTCCATTTATAGTCACTCGAATTAGTTGAACAGTTCAAGTTCGGTCACTCTCCGTTAACCTACGTTAACTTTGACTGACGTGGCGGTCAACTCTGACAGTTGACCGTTAAATGTGTGACGTGGCAAATAAAAAATAATTAAAAAATAAAAATTAAATTTTTAGAAATTAACTTCAGAACCACTTGGAATCTTCAGCTCCTGGACCAACCACAACAACTCTTCCTCTTCTTCTTCACTCCATTTCTGCAAATGGGCAGGGGTCACCTGCGACAACGACGAAAGAGTCACCTGGCTCGACCTCGGCAATCGTCTCCTCCAGGGCACAATTTCCCCATCCATCGCCAATCTCACTTCTCTCCGGCAACTCCTGCTCCACCACAACAGCTTCACCGGCGAAATCCCGCCCGGAATCGGCAGCTTGGCAAGCCTCCAGGTGCTCCATCTGAACACCAATTTCCTCACAGGCGAAATCCCGCGGAATGTCTCCGCCTGGTCTGAACTCATCTACCTTGACCTCGGAATCAACAAGCTGGTCGGGAAGATTCCCGACCGGCTCGATACTACGAAGCTCCGGTATCTGAACCTCGAATCGAACAATCTCACCGGCGGCATCCCGCCGTCGCTCGGCAACATTTCCTCTCTGGAAACAATCGGAATGGGTTTCAACAGCCTCGGAGAAACGATCCCCGAATCGCTCGGCCGCCTCGAGAGGCTATCTGTACTCTCAATGGGAGGCAACTCTTTGACGGGAATCTTCCCGCTTTCCATCTACAACATTTCTTCGATCGTCTATCTCTCTGTTCCCCTGAATCAGCTTCAGGGGACGCTCCCCGCTGAATTGGGGAACGTTTGGCCGAATCTCGCAGAGCTCAACATCGGAGAAAATCAGTTCACCGGGATGATCCCTGCTTCGTTGGCCAATGCTTCCAACTTGGAGAGGTTAACTATTACTGATAACGGAATCTCTGGAACTCTGCCGTCCTTTGAGAAGCTGCAAAAGCTTTGGTGGCTGAGCATTTCGTATAACTTGCTTGGAACCGGTGAAGCGGGTGATCACGATTTCATTTCCAGTGTCAGCAATCTGTCGAGTTTACAGTTGGTTTCTCTGGGTTTCAACAATTTCGGCGGATCGCTGCCGGAATCGGTCGTTAATTTTACAGAGGTTTCGAGTCTGCGGATGAAGGGTAACAAGATAACAGGGAGAATACCGCGAGGGATGTCGAATTTGAAGAAATTGGAATGTTTGGAGTTGAGCAACAATCAGTTTTCGGGCTCTGTTCCAGAAGAGATTGGGGAATTGGGGGATTTGAAAAGATTGTATCTTCAGGGGAACAGATTCGCCGAAGGGAGAATTCCTTCTTATTGCTAATTACCATCACTTTGGTGTTCTGAAGTTAATTTCTAAAAATTTTATTTTTATTTTTTAATTATTTTTTATTTGCCACGTCACACATTTAACGGTCAACTGTCAGAGTTGACCGCCACGTCAGTCAAAGTTAACGGAAGTTAACGGAGAGTGACCGAACTTGAACTGTTCAACTAATTCGAGTGACTATAAATGAAATAAATTAATTTGAGTGGCAAACGTGAAATTTTATAGCAATTCGAGTGACCAAACTTGCAATTAAGCCCCTCTTTATTACACAGCAAATTCTGTGTTGCTACTTCTGGCTAGACTGTGAATGATACATATATGCAGTTTGTAACGCTTATATATATAGATTTACCATTATCCTTGACATTTTCTTTCGCGGATGAACATTGAAAAAGCGATAATCTTTCTCTATTCAGATATTTCGATACAATATTTTTATAAGCTAGTTAAAGCGTGCCATTCTTAATCTTCAAATATTTTTGTGGTATTTTGTTTGTGACAAGATGATTATTCTAGCAGTATTTTAAAGATTATCGCGTCCAAATTAAAACTCGAGTGCATCTTAAATGGACCAAAAAGTATTCATGACACATAAGTTGAAATCGTCAACACCCTTTGTGTGGTGATTTAGCTCGTTAGATGACTTGAGGAATAAAACCAACGATGTTTCTCATTTTTTTTTAATAGTCAAATTACTTCATAATTAAAAAGTGAACGTAAAAGCTGTATTTCATATACTTATGCGGGGAATAATTTTGTGTAGCTTCCCTTTAAAAAATGTTCCATACCTCTAGAATTTTACTACTTATTGAAAAAACTCAGAAGACACACTGAGAATCTTAACAATTGTTTTCCGAGAATTTCGGAATCTGTATAACGCGAGTGCTCACACGATATAACAATCTTGTAATTACTGTTCGATTATTCTATAAAACAGTTAGTCAACGATCAATCATTGAATTACGATAAGCCACCAACTTTTTTTTATTGGTTCTAACCTTCATACTCTTACAAAAACAAAGCTATTTATAGAAAATAAGAGACAAACCTAATTCTTATCTAAACACCGCAGAAAGTTTTGACGGTTACACATAATTAGGCCCAAATTACTCACCCACGATCCGAACTTCACTCACCCCCAAAATCTCCACTACCATCCAACTCCCGCAACTCGTTCGTTCCCCCATATTCACCCTTTTTCTTCTAACATCTCTCAATCCCTTCCCCCAAAAACCAAAAAACCAAAAAAACAACCAACAAACAAACAAAGTCACAAACCAACCAAAAAATGTACAAAGTCGCCAAAGCATCGGAGTACCTGGCCATCACCGGCATCGGGATCACCGACATCAAGCTCGCGAAGAAATCGTTGATCCTCCCCGGCCAATCATGCACCCGGTTCGACATGTCGCCGGTCAACTACACGTTCGAGGTGCAGGCCATGTCGGCAGAGAAGCTCCCCTTCGTCCTCCCGGCCGTCTTCACCATCGGCCCCCGAATCGACGACACCGAGAGCCTCCTGCTCTACGCGAAGCTCCTCTGCTCGCACGACAAGTACTCCAGCCACGTCAACGAGCTGGTGAAGGGGATCATCGAGGGCGAGACACGTGTCCTCGCCGCGTCGATGACCATGGAGGAGATCTTCAGGGGGACCAAGGAGTTCAAGAAGGAGGTGTTTGAGAAGGTCCAGCTCGAGCTCAACCAGTTCGGCCTTATCATCTACAACGCCAACGTCAAGCAGTTGGTCGACGTCCCAGGTACGTAATTCCTGCATGCATGCATGCAATTTACACGCACCACGGTTAAATTAGAACGGAACTTATCATTAATCATAAATAACTTCAAATCGATATCATTAATCACCAAAAGAAATCATGAATATTTTACAGGGTAATAACTAGTAATCAAAATGGCAATTCGGTCGTAATGGACCATATAAAGCCGACAAGGAAACTAGAAAACAGAAATGAAATTAGAAATTGATGTTTGATGGATTTAGTTTACGTTAAAATATTTTTTTTCCCTTAATTTTTATTGTTAAAATAATGAATTAGTGTACCAGTCAAAATGAAGTGGTTCGCGTGGTACGGTTGTGCTTCAAACGAGAATCATGAAACCGTACCAGAACTCCAGAAGTTGTATCAGAAAACTAGCGACATGATATTTTGTTCCGGACATGTGGTCCAATTGCGGTCAACCATTTCATACCGCTAAAAAAAAACATCTACGTGATATGATATTTTACGGTAGCACAGCCGGTACTGCATTGGTTCACATACATTGATATCAAACTGCTAACAACACTCCATCCCTACACTACACGTCCAAGCAAATGAGCCGAATTAAACCGCAATTGATTGGTGGTTCTACTGGTCCAGCCGTCCAATCCGATTCCGTTTCTTAATTATAACAAAACTCATTATTACATATCACCAAATGTATACTCATGTGTTTGTCTGTACATGCACAGGTCACGAGTACTTCTCGTACCTGGGGCAGAAGACGCAGATGGAGGCGGCGAACCAGGCGAAGATCGACGTGGCGGAGGCGAGGATGAAGGGCGAGATCGGCGCCAAGGAGAGGGACGGCCAGACGAAGCAGAACGCCGCCAAGATCGACGCCCAGACCAAGATCGTGTCCACGCAGAGGGCCGGCGACGGCCAGAAGGAGGAGATCGACGTCAGGACCAAGGTGAAGATCTTCGAGAACAAGAGGGAGGCCGAGGTCGCCGAGGCCGACGCCGAGCTGGCCAAGAAGAAGGCCGGGTGGAGCCGGGAGTCCAAGGTGGCGGAGGTGGAAGCCAACAAGGCGGTGGCGCTCAGGGACGCGGAGCTGCAGAAGGAAGTGGAGGTCATGAACGCACTTTCCCGAACCGAGAAGCTCAAGGCCGAGCACCTCACCAAGGCCAGCGTCGAGTATGAAACCAAGGTAAGCGTACCTTCTATACTTCGCTACAAATGAGTCGAATCGAGTTTTAATTTAATATGGGTTCGGACTCATTAATAAATGAGTTGAGCTCGACTGATTTACTAAAATCTCAATTTTGTGTTTGACTCGACCTCAAGTCATTAATGAGATCACGAGTTCATCTATTTGAGCTCAGCTCGTCAATTAATTCACCTCGGCTTGAAATAGTCCATCATATCATTTAGTTCATACTTTGTTTATTGTTCGTATAGATCTTCTTAATGAGGAGTAATTAGAATATAAGCAATCTTTGATATATAATTTTTCTTTTAAATTACAGATGGTAAATATTTGATTATGTGCTCAAATTTTTAAACATTATATGTAATAAATTATATTATCTAACAAGGCAATGGATTCGTATTGTTGAGCCAACTTAATTATAGCTCAAAACGAGCTAGTTCACAAGTTGAAACCAACAAATTATCGAGTCAAGCTAGTACACGAGCCCATCACAAAATTATGTTTAGCTCAAACTCGACTAGTTCGTGTGAACGAGTTTTTCCTGAATCAAATATCGAGCCGCTCGTAAGCAGGTTGATTCATTTGCAACCCTATGACAAGATGTAGGAAAAGTTGCTCATTTCAGGGGCTCTTTCCAAAGAAAAAACTAAGTTGAAGGACTCGCGAATTCTCAAAGTTCCGGAGTCAAAATATATTAGCATTAACATCACCATACTTTCTGTTTGTTATATCAAAGGTGCAAGAGGCGAACTGGGAGCTATACACAAAGCAAAAAGCCGCGGAGGCAGTGCTGTACCAGAAGGAGAAGGAAGCAGAGGCGCAGATGGCGGCGTCGAAGGCGGCGTTCTTCGCGCGGCAGCAGGCGGCAGAGGCGGAGCTCTACTCCAAGCTGAAGGAAGCAGAGGGACTCGTGGCCCTGGCCAAAGCACAGGGCGCGTACCTGAGAACCCTCCTGGACGCGCTGGGAGGCAACTACGCGGCGCTGAGGGATTACCTGATGATCGACGGCGGCATGTTTCAGGCGATGGCTAGGATCAACGCCGAGGCGGTTCGCGGGATGCAGCCCAAGCTCAGCATTTGGACCACCGACGACGGCATGGGAGGCGGCGGCGGCGGTGGTGATGGCGTGAGCGAGAATGGCGGCGGCGGCGGCGGGAGTGGTGGTGGGATGAAGGAGATTGCTGGTGTTTATAAGATGCTGCCGCCGTTGCTTCAGACCGTTGAGGATCAGACTGGGATGCGGCCGCCGGCGTGGCTGGCAACGTTGCCGACTGGGAAGTAGTTATTGCGGACTATATAATCGTGATCTGTCTAAATTAAAGCGGCGGTCTTGTTTATGATTATTTTTAATTTCTTTTTGGTAATTACTGGTACAGTGTGGTTAATTAGCTAATAATTATATGGTGTGGAGGTTGCATGTACAAGTGTAAAGTTTTTTTTGTTAATGAAGTTATAATGAATTCAATAACTAAATTTGAATCTCATTTACAGTCAAAGATGTTAGGGTTAAAATGAGGATTTTGACGACGTCAGCAAATAAGAATTGGTCAAAATATATAGGCCTGAATGAGAAAATTGAGAAAAGGGACCTGGACTTTCAAAATTGGTAATATCCATATCAACAATGTTTGTTTATAGTACAGTAAGATCAAAACACACAACATGGTCATGAGGCAGTAACAGTTCATCAAGTTGCAGAAGAAAGAACAATGGCTATATCAATCAGCAAACAGAGTTTTCTGAATCCCTATTGATCATACATCACTCTAGTGTTTTTGACTCAAGATGAAAGCTTCTGCCGGTGAAATAATGTAATGAGAGATCTCAAGTGATCAAACCATATAGCTACCCTTAAGTCGAAAGGCTGCGAGCTTGAATGAGGTGGAAATCAAAACAGAACAAGGATGTACAGAGGCGCACATGAAATTACCACCATCCTCGGGTGAATCTGCAAGCGGTAAAGGCGCTCCTTTTTACTTTCAGAGAATCGAATGGACCTTCTTCAAAATGGCCTTTCCCGACCTAGGAATCCCAGTTTGGAATGTTTGCTGTAGCTTCATTCACCATTTTCACCAGTGTCACCTGTCCCCAAAAAGTTCATCAACAAATGCAAACAAACATTGCCATACACTATCAACAAAAGTCATGCATACACCATGATCGACCTCCAATCAGGCCATCACCAGCACCAACATTTTTACAGATCCATTTTCAGGCCAGTGGAGGAAAGAAAGGAGTAGGGTGCCCCGCATTATCATAATCGAATTCTTCATGGTATATATTTAACTCGCTACAAAATAGAAGAAACTAAATCCACTTCCATTTCTTACTTTACTTCCAAACCAATGTGATAGTCTTACACAGAGTTCAGAGCATAAGAGTGATAGGACTACCTAGAGAAAGATAAACATACCACACTTTCTGGAACACCAGGGGGAGGCATGGGAAGGTTTCTTGGAGGAGGAACAGTGGTATATGACCTTTTGTCAAACCTCCATTCACCAATTTTGCCATAAGTTAACTTGCCCTGAAGGTAGGAAACATGAGAGCCTTAGGGCAGTTAATTATTGAATCGATGAACTGTTAAGAGCGAAAGGGCTCTTGGAATATTTCAGTTCACATGCCAATGGATGAATCGGATTACCTGCATGTCATAGTCACATCCATAAGTATAATGGATTATGAACTTCATACCAATTTCTGTATCCCATGGAGGCTGAAATCACAGAAAAGGAGAACCCGTGAGAAATATAGCAATAAGAAGACTGCCTCCTTGTGATGATGAAGCACAATGACAATAAGAAGCACATCAAGAATCACAATATTAATCTCCAATTGCATCACGTTCATAGGCAGTATAGTAAACCTGAAGCATGAAGTCCTTGTACAAGATATTGCCAACTCCATGCAAAGCAGATGAAACAGCATAAGCATACCTATAGATGAGAACGGTAAGTTGCTGAGAGTAAAATGATTCATTATCTAATCAACCACACAAATATCTTACATTTCAAGCACCCAGCCAAAGGCTTTATCGGTTTCAGGATCCTTTTTCATTGACAAAGATACATTCATCCAAGTGGGAGCTATCTTCTTGAGAGATTCCTGGAAAAAACAAATAAAGCATAATCAAGAAAAACAATTTCAAGAATTAAAAAAAAAAAAGAAGCAAAATAACAGTAGATAGGAGATCACACACAAACCTTTCCTATGATGACAGGTGAATTCCCTATAGGATCAATATTAGTAACTGGTCCTTTTTCCTCAGGGAAGTACTTCCGCAATACTGTTTCATACTTCTTAGGCTCGATATAGAAGAAAGGAAATGCAGCTCCAAGCCCATCTCTGCTCAAATTCGGTATGGGTTTCACAATAACGTGATCAGGCTCTGCCATCAATATATAGCTGGTGCACATGGCAAAGAATGGCAGGAAAAAAAATGGAGGTCAAACACAGTGAAACCCATATACAACTCCATCACTGAAACTCCAAAGTTAAGTGTTTCCTACTCTTCTTTGATGTCCGCCTTTTCAAGCCATTGTACGAATGCCCATGGTCTGTTGAGTACTATATAACCCTGCACAAAGATCGAACATGAGCTAATACTGGTCTTCCAACACAAGTTTCAACCACAGCAATTTCAACTCCACATCTTCACATTCTCCTGTTTTCCATTACCCTCGAGCACATAACTAAATACAAATTCCAAACATTGCTTAATGCAGAAACGAATATTGACCAAATCAAAGTCTTCCCAGGCTGAATTGATTCTCAGGAGCAAAAGCACAAACAGTTGGTGGACGGTAAGGAAAAAGGAGAAGCACAAATGGGAAGTTGCGAGTGACGACCGTACCTGATCCATGCCAGAAGGAAGCGGCTGGGCAACGAAAGTGGGGATCTCATCCATGAACTCATCGGGCTTACCGGAGTGAAGAATCCTGGTAAAGCCGCCCATATCGGAGTTGGGTCCATCCCGGAACTTCTTGAACCAGTAGTACATCACCCGGCACTGCCAGGTGTTGTAGACGGAATCGGAGGCGGTCACGGCGGTGTGGAAGAGACGCTTCTGGGTGGTGGAAGAGGAAGCACCGAACTTCCTCGATCTGTCCTTGGGCATCCGTATGATTGGATCAATGGAGGAAAGCGTGGACGGACCGGGTAGGTCCTGCTTGAGAGGGGCATTGGCCGCGATTAGAATGTTGTAAGTGATTAGAGCTACCGAGAAACTTATCAGCGCCGTGAAGAACATGTTCCCGCACCCCATTTCTGCCGGCCCTTTTCAATCGGAAAATCAAGCCGGCCAAATTCGTGGGTTTCTGCGAGTTGCAGAGATCGGCAAATGGAGTCGCCGGGCGGAGGGTGGTGGGGCTTGGGCTGGGTGGCGTGAGAAAGTCGTTGAATGATGGAGCTGCTGTTGATGAGTAGTGGCCCATTAGGCAATTAGCTGTTGGATTTTTCGCACCATTTTCAATTATTTTCTCCCCCATTAGTGGATCGTCTTTGCTCATTGGAGCATGTTGGTAATTTGGTTTTAAATGCCTAATACAATTCTACTGTATACTATGTAGGACTGGCTATTTGGTCCGGACTGTTTGGTTTTACCCAAAACCGGACAGTATAATTTGGATCGGGACCGGACTGGGATCGGATAGCAAACAATCCAATCTCATATTTGGGCTTAGATTTGAGGTAAAAAAACCCGGATAAAGACCGGATAAGAGAACCCAACATTGAAATCCCCACAAGTTCAATCTAAAATCAAGATCAAATTGGGACTGGACCAGGTCAAGACCGGACCGGATCAAGACCAGACTGTATCCAATCCAATATTTGGTCCTTATATTCCCGAAACGACCGGACTAGGACCGGATCAATTTGGTCCAATTTAATCGGACCGGACCGTATAGCCACCCCTAATACCATGCCTTAGTGATGGCAATTTGGATTCGTTGATATTACCGATTTATCCGTATTGAGATGATAATATTCAATCTGCAGTAATGTCAAATGTGGGATGGAATATGGGTACTATTTTTGTTCTATCACTTTGTTATGTTTTCGATCTGTTTTATCTCAATTTGTCTCAATGTTTATTTTTATTTATTCTATTTTGACTTATTTTAACTCATAATTTCACCTAATGATACTTTAATAAGTGCAAGATTTCGTCTTTCAACTAATTAAACTTAATTAATCTACTTATTATGTCTATTTTCATTTAAGAACTATTTTCTCTTTGTTTTATCATTTAAAATAGGGTAGATGTCTTGTTAGTAAAACCAGATCGGATTGATCGACTGAACAATGAAATGTCAAACTCACTATGATAGTAAGGTAAATTGTCTAACTCAGACGATTAGTATCCCTGATTATTACCCGACCGGTAAAATCGTTAAACACACTCAAATCCATCTTTTTAGGATTCCCTTTTTCATCTCCCGAATTCAAGCGGAAATCAAGTCGAGGTGGTGGGGACGAGCACTGCATGTAAAAGGGATGTTTGCTGTTTGTGTCGAGAGTCAAACAAAGGCGGACCAAAAAGTGGCTACTTCTTTCTTGGCCAATCCAGTCCTATTTCCTCTCTTCGATGATTATAGTATTGGTCTCCAGACTCCAGTAAATCATCTATTTATTTAAGCGTTCGCATTTGTTCACTGAGATTACTAAATCCTATCATGTTTAGTCACTAGAAAAATTTAATATCAATTTGGGTTAGTCGAATTACTAAAACAAGTTACATTTAGTCACTCTCTCGTTAGCCTCCGTCCAACTCTAGTTACAAGAATTGCTGAAACATGTCTTATTTAGTCACTCTACCGTTAGTTTCCGTCCAACTCCATTTAGTCACTCGAATTAATGGAGTTGGACGGAAACTAACGGCAGAGTGACTAAATGTGACATGTTTCAGTAATTCGAGTGACCAAACTTGATATTAATTGTTTCTAGTGACTAAACATGACATGATTTAGTAATCTCTGTGACCAAATGTGACATTTACCCATTTATTTAAGTATTACATGACAATTTTTAGTGTGTTTTTGTTTTTTTGCAAGATATGTCAACAAGGTACAAATAACGAGAAATAAATTACAAAGTAGATAACAACTCTCGTGTTAGTTCGTATACAATCAACCATAGATGAAAATGTTTTTATTTTTTGTCGATAAGCTGACAATTATATAAAAGCTCGGAGGAACAAAAGACGTGATACATATGCAAATGTCATAAAAAAATAAATAATTCTCATCTAAAGATAGCCCCGCTAGCGAATGAGAAGCTTTACATCAAACCTATAAAAATAGGTTGCACTTCAATCAGTCATTTAGCTAAAGATCGGAGGATGAAACTATGTAGTCGGTTGCTTATTTTATATTCGCTTTGACCTATTGAGTATAGTATTTTTGGTAATGAATGTTAGTTATTGGTTCATAATAGTTGTCTCGATAATGCACTAAACAAAATTTGTAGAATTTGTGCCGTTTGCAAAACTAGTATTATTGTGAGCATCTAATTTTCCCTTTCTTCACACTACGATTTAATAGGATTGCAAAACTAGTATTATTGTGAGCATCTAATTTTCCCTTTCTTCACACTAAGATTTAATGGGACCTAACTCACCAGTAAAATTACTCACAGAAGTTAAGTTCAATATTCTTAGAGACTACTACTTGGCATATTTTTGTGCTTGTAGGACATGGTAGGGATGAGAGGCTCAAGATAGGGTGCATAACCCATGGTTATGCACCCATCAATAACCAAATTTGGACCTTTCATTTAGAAAATCCAGATTTAAGGATGGAAAATTAAATGCTATTTTTATTTTCACTAGCTTTCTTAATTGACTCATATCTTTTTCGTTTTAACTCAGATTTTAATTTTTTTTGCACAGATGGAACGAGTTCACCGTGCTCTACAAAATGAGATCAATTTTCAATATTTTTTTAGGGAAAAAAATTCTGGCCTCTCGATACCAACTGCATACCATATGGTATCTTCTTCGTTTTTAATTCGTTTTTGAAAACGTTTGCACAGCAGGGACGAGTTCATCATGATCTACTGGATCTAAAAATTTCTGGGTGAACAAATTACAGGACCAAAAAATACCACACAATACCATACAATACCACCCTGGTACGGGGTGGTATTGTATGGTATCTTCTTCGTTTTTAATTCGTTTTTGAAAACGTTTGCACAGAAGGGACGAGTTCATCATGATCTATTGGATCTACAAATTTCTGGGTGAACAAATTACAGGACCAAAAAATACCACACAATACCATACAGTACCACCCTGGTACGGGGTGGTATTGTGTGGTATACAATGTTAAAAGTCGTAAATTACAATTAATATATTTCTACTATCATGTATTCAACCATCCTACAGTATTGGTTTGTTCATACCACCATGGTACGTTTTTCAAAACATAGGTATGCTTTTATTTCAATACCAGTCAATACCATATGGTATAGGCTGGTAAAAAATGGCTCAATTTTTTTTGTTCGAAAAATATATTAAAGTGGATATCATTTTGAAGAGCACAATTAATCTGATCTAACTGTGCAAAAAAAAATAATTAAATTTCGACTTAAAATGAGCGAGAAATCGTCCGTCAAAGATTAAAGAGGGAAAAATTAAAGGCTTTCCATGAGAGAGAGGATGCTGATGTCATGCTGATGTGGACGGGTTACTCACCATTCCCGGGATGAGATAGCATGTCTACCCATAAAAGGGTTGGAAAAATGACACCCCCTATTAATTATAGGTTTTTAAGGTAATTAATTTGTGTTGCATTTAATAATCTGTATGAATTAAAAACACATATTAATTATTTTTATTTTTTCAGTGCACTGGTAGTTGTATCAGTGCACTGGTAGTTGTGTACAGGTGCAATGGTAGATGTATCAGTGCAATGGTAGTTCCAAAAAAGGAACGTAATTAATACGAGTTCAGTATACAGGTGCAATGGTAGTTGTATCAGTACAATGGTAGTTAAAAAAAAGGAATGTAATTAAGATGAGTTTTTAATTTCCAAATATTATTAAATGCAACACGAATTTAATACAAAAAATAACTATAATTAATAGGGGTGTTATTTTTCCAACTCCATAGAAGGGTTAGCATGCTAACCGATCCCGGACATGGTATTCTACCCTCCCTCTTTCTTTGGATGTCATTTAACATTCTCAAAGTTAAATACTGTAAGTTTCTTACTATAAACTATAAAGAACTTGGGGAGGTGAAGGTTACTACTGCTGCATAAACAGCATTGAAGGATAGTCATAAAAACCAGCAATGAAAGCATCGTTAGACCCGACCACTAGCGTTAGAAATTCCCTCCCAAAGCTAGCCAAAAAGTCCATATGGAAGACAGTGCAAAAGGCCAGAGGGAGAAGAAAAGGAGGAGATATTAGATTGCTAGAAAGAAAGACCAACGGTTCAGTTACCCACTCTTCACAGTTCAGTGTTCACACTCACTCAATACTACACTCTCTGGCCTCTGCTCACTTACTTCACTACAAGCTTTTGTTTCTCTTCTTTCTTTCTTTCTGTTGGCCCTCTCCGTCTCCACCCTTCCCCTGAAAGTCCTCTTCTTTCCACTTTCCCACTCCCAGAAAAAGCCTTCTGCGAAGGAAAAGAACCCCACTCAGCGGAAATCATGGTCTGCAATGGAAACCCATTTGCTCTGTTCATCACCTTCTTCACCACCTTGTTCCTTTCTCCAGCATTTCTGGCTACCTTCTCCCATGCCTCCTCCCATCTCCACCACCACTCTTTCCCCCCTGCTGGTGAGTTTTTCTCTCTTCTTCTGTTAAGTTTCATCTGTTTGGCATCCAAGAAAATGCGGGGGAGAGACTTGTGAAATTCCACTTTCTTTGTCCTTTCTGTCTCCATTGGAATCCCAGATTTTTTAAAATAAAAGAAACAGAAATGACAAATTAGAGATGGGCAAGAATGAAGATGTCTGTCAGGGCATGCAGTGGGGGAAAAAAAAGGATTTTACCTTTTCCCCTTTTGTTAAACCTTTTAAACATGTTTTCATTATCTCGGTTTTACTTTCAGGGGCGCCGTCTGTGGAGTTTCCATGGCGGACGGCGAGGTCGGCACTGGAGATACCCAGTAGCAATGACCCAGTTGAAACCTCAACACTTGCGTTAGCAGCTGAACGGACTTACAGAAAAGACCCTCTTGACGGCTTCAAGCGTTACGACCGTGGCTGGAATATCAGCGACCGCCATTATTGGGCTGTAAGTGCTTCTCAAAATTCCTCCGTTCTCTGTACTCCGCATTTTCCTCAGATTTTGCTGATTGGTTATGGTGATCTTCCTCCATCGCACAGTCTGTAGGATTCACGGGAGCGCCACTGTTCGTGGTAGCTTTAATCTGGTTTCTGGGTTTTGGACTCTGTTTACTACTTGGATGCCTCTTCCATTACTGCTGCAAAAGGCAGCTCCATGGCTACTCTAGGATCGCTTATGCCCTCTCTCTCATTTTCCTCGTCCTCTTCAGCATTGCTGCTGTGTAAGTATACTCACTACATTTCAAAACTGGAATTCTCAATTCAATTTCTTTTGGCATGAAAACCCTAATGAGGAGTAGGGTTTAATAGAACATCATGTTCCAATTACTTGGCCATGTCAACCAACTAACTTTCATGCTCTATATCTCTAGTGCAAATCGTTTTGTCACGCTAGTTGTTCCACAGAAACTCTTTCCCTGATAAAATTTGGTTGTCTTGTCAGAATTGGGTGTGTTGTGTTGTACAATGCTCAGGGGAAGTTCCACAAGAGCACCACTAAGACATTGGACTATGTTGTAAGCCAGGCGGATTCCACGATCGAGAATTTAAGGAATGTGTCGGACTATCTGGCTTCAGCTAAGCTACTTGGAGTTGATCAAGTTTTCCTGCCTTCGGATGTACAAACTGACATTGACCAGATTGGAGGTAGAATCAACTCTTCTGCTAGTCTTCTCGATGAGAAATCGTCCGAAAATTCCAGTGATATACAAGACCTTCTTGATTCTGTGTAAGTTGGAATTGTCCTCCTTTCTAATCCTATGGCCAGTTCATTATTTTGCTCTCTATGTTCATGCTTAGTTTGTGTATACTAATAGTGACTGGTCAATATTTAGGAGGCTGGCTCTCATTGTTGTAGCTGCAATTATGCTTGTCTTGACATTCCTCGGATTGTGTAAGCTCCTGAAGTTGATCCTGCTTTCCAGTTGAATTATAATGTCGGATCATAGCACAAATTTACTAACGCCTTCTTTATTCCGATGTATCCAGTGTTTTCGATCTTTGGCATGCAATTGCTGGTACACATGTAAGTGATGCTCATGGTGTAAACCCTGTTTTTTTTTTTTTTTTTCTGTCTTTGGACACTAAAGTTTCAATCTTTCGCATTAAAATGTAATTTTGCAGCCTAGTTGTGCTTGGATGGATACTAGTTGCAGGCACATTCATCTTGTGTGGCATATTCCTTCTTCTTCACAAGTAAGTCCCATTCCAATCCCCAAATCCACTTTACCATGCCAGTTGCCAAGCATCCTAATACTCTTCTTTTGATCTTTGTTTTGTCAATCTGCAACCTAGTGTGGCGGGCGATGCTTGCGTTGCAATGGATCAATGGGTGCAAAATCCGGCTGCTCACACAGCACTAGACGAGATCTTGCCCTGTGTAGACACCACAACTGCACTTGAAACCTTGGCAAAGAGCAAGGAAGTGACCTCCCAACTAGCTGAGGTAGTGAACCAGGTGATCACCAACATGTCCAACATCAACTTCTCCCCAAACTTCAAGCCTCTCTACATCAACCAATCCGGACCCTTGGTCCCAATCCTCTGCAACCCATTTCACGCGGACTTGACTGATCGCGCCTGCAGCCCTGGCGAAGTCGACCTCAACAATGCCACACAGGTAAGTAATTAAAACCTCAAACCACCCCAATGCTATGTACCATTACATTACATTGCTTTACAGTACAGTGTGGCCTGTATAGTCTCGAATTTAAGCAAAACCTCGATCCTGACAACATATGTCTCTATCGTTGTGTTCCCCAGGTTTGGAGTGGCTATGTGTGCCAGGTCTCCGCAGCAGGAATATGTGAAACCACGGGTCGATTGACACCGACTATATACAGCCAGATGGAGGCTGCAGTCAACGTGAGCTATGGACTGATCAACTATGCACCATTCTTGGTACAGTTGGAAGACTGCTCATTTGCTAGGCAGACATTCAGTGAGATACACAGGGAGCATTGTCCTGGACTGAGGAAGTACAGCAGGGAGATATATGTAGGGCTGGTGATAGTCTCCACTGCAGTTATGTTGTCTTTGATCTTCTGGGTTATCTACGGCCGAGAAAGGCGGCACCGGACGGGTGGAAAGCAGGAGCATGAGCATCAAGCTGAAGACAGGGCAGCTCATCAGGAGGTGGTGGAAGAAGGTGGAGAGATCAAGGAGCACTGAAGGTTTCTTTCCTTTTGGGAGCTTAATGTGGTGATGTATATTTCAGTAGTAGGGGCAGATTTGGGTTTGAACGATTAGAATTGGGGGAAATGATTTTGATACTTTCCACGGATTTGTTGGTTGTGGACTTGTGCTGCCCCTGTAATCAAATTGGGATTAGGTCCTTTGGATTTTATTTTGCTTGGAATTAGCTTAAACCAACTTTAGTCTTGCTAGGACAAGGAAATAGGGGTGTTCAAACGGTGTAGTTATTATGGTAACCATTTTAACCAGTACTATTTGGATAATTTGGTTTGGTTAATTTAGATAATTGGTTTGGTTTGGTTAAAGTTTTTAGCTTGTTTGGTTTAGGTGATTTGGTTTGGTTTCAGACACTCCTAACCAGTCAAACCAAATTAACCAGATAAATAATTAGCCATATATCTAATATATACACATACTTAATACTTTGAATAACCACTCAAGAGTTAAACGTTTATCCCTTTTAGACTCATAAAATATAAAGCTTGACATTGTTCCTATAATGTATATTTAATTTGTATATGTAGAGTGTAGACCACAACATATGAACGCCTAATTTAGATAAATCTCATACATTATGTTGGATGAAAACTAGAAAGCAAGGTCCTTTTCAGCCTATGAAAATTGCTAAAAAACTAAGTCAATTCAAACAAACACAACAATTCATTAAGTCATACCATTGTGATGAATTTTTGCTAGGTGAATACTTCTATACTAACCGTAAGATAATTGTCTTTGTTGCATGTATTTATGTTAAATGTCAACTATAACCAAGTGTTGATTGTTATGTTTTATTCATTATATAAATTGTGAATTGATAAATTAACCGAAAATTTTCTCATTTAATGATAATGTGATTTTATATTGGTTAATCTGGTTAACCAATTAACCAAACCGATTAAACTTTAGTTTAGTTAATTTGGTTGTTATTTTAGTTTAGACGATTTGGTTATGATATTGTATTTCATGGTTAATAAAATTTAGGCAAAGATAGGAGAAATGAACTTCCTAACTGCAATGGGCCGGTGGCGAGTTAGGTCTTTGAATTCGGCGGAAGAATTGTCATGTCAGCTTAGCTGCCTTGAGAAGGCGGCCCAAGGGAGGGCCCATTGGGTCGGCGATCGTGACCCAATATATATAGGCTACGCCCATTTATTCATGGTGAAGGGTTATTCACAGGATTAATCTCTTTTTTTTTTTTTTTTTTTGATAGCCACAGGATTAATCTCTTGCTTTGGCCATAATCATAATATTAGGTTTGCAAAATTATTTCCAAATAAAATTAGCTCGGATATCTTTGCACGTATGAGCTTAAATAATATCGGTTCCCAACAACTTGCAATAATGCTAGAAATTTCGAATGGAGTGGGAATCAGCTGATTCTCCAATTTATCATGACTTTGCTTGTACACCAAAATAATAGCCATTAAAATCACAACCTCCAGAGAAAATCTTATATATTATACCGAAATATCGAATTAGTGGCATTAAAGAATTGGGGCCTGCGTCAGTTTCCATTTGTCACAGCTGTCATGTTTACATTTAAAAAAAAAAAAACGCATTGTATCTCTACGACATTGAGATTTTAAACCTTGGATTAATCTAAGCTTCAATTTGGTTAATTATCTGTCCACTTGAGCTGTAAATTTTAATACATTCTGGGTTGTGCATGGCATATCCTAAATTCACAAGAATTACTACTTATAATATTGGGGATTTTACATTGGAAGTAACCATGTAGATTAGGATACACATGCATAGGATCACTTTGTGGGATTGTAAAAGTTACTAGGAGTAGATTGCATATGTTAAATGACTAGTCTGTATGGTTTGCAACAGGTTAAGGTTAAGTACGTAGTCTGTCATTCGTGCTAGTGCGAAATGGGAATGGTCTCCCGCCCTTTCTCTCACTCTTTCTTCTTCAGCTGACCTACGTATATAAAATCGATCTCTCTCTCTAGCAAGCTCCTCGGGGTTTTTTGACGGATGCAACCCATAGTACAAAATGCCCTCGAAGGTATGATTTTTCCTATAACCTGCTTAGGGCATTACCAGCAGACTTGGATAAGTTGAGTATGTATAGAAAAAGGAAAAGCAAAGTAAAACCACATTGTTTCAATAGTGGGTATGTGATGGTATGTCTAGTTTACCAAACCCGTAGTCGCGCCTTAGGTGATATAACCATTCAAATAACACGTGATCTCGAATATAACCAATACGACTATGGTCCTTACAATAATTGAGATTGGGATGTCCTAATAGGATCCGATTCACAATAAATGAATAGTGCATTTGCTTTTCACAGGCAGTCAATGATCATGAATCATACAATACGTAATCTAACAAGGTCAATGTATTATGACATTTTAACCCTAATGAACACTCGGACCATAGTCTCATCAACATCGAATTGTGACGAGACAACACTAGTTATTCTCCATATTGACAGGATTAGCAGGAACAAGGCATGTGCAATTACTATGGGAGTGGTAACCCATATGTGTACTATAGTTAGGAATGGCAATGGGGCAGGTCCGGGGCGGGTTTCTTGGTACCCAGACCCGTCCCGTGGCAGGTCGGGTTCAGGTCGGGTAATTGATCACGGGTCGCGGGTCGGGACAGGTCGACCCAATGGGTATGCAATTTATATGAAAACATTAGAAATATTCGTTATTTTTATTATAAGACTAAGAAAACAAACAATATTATGACAATTGTAGTTAAATTATTGGAGAAATTGAGGTTTTTACTAATTTACAACTTTATTATAGCTAAAATATGATGTAATAAAAGGAAAATTCTAAGTAATTTGACTAAGATTACATATAATTTAGACAAGAACGGGTTATGAATGGGGCGGGTCAGGACAGGTCGGGTCGATGAGACTACCCATGCCCGCCCCGCCCCGCCTACGGGGTGGGTCGGACCCGCCCCAAAACAGGTCAAACAGGTCGTGTAAAACGGGTCAGGTCGAAATTGCCATCCCTAACTATAGTCAATAGTAGTAGGGATGCAAATGAACATGATCGCTCAAAAGCATATTGTTATTCAAAATTGGGAAAACTTGTTTGACACCCAACTCGTTAACTAACAACTTTGCTTGCAAGTCAACTCAATAGTAAGTGAGCCAAGTTTGAGTTAGACACGACAACTTGCCAGGCTCGCAAGGTAACTCTATATTTGACACGCGGAGCTTAGCTTGTGATCTAACTTGGTTAGGGCTCGAGCTAGCTTGACTTTGTGCTTTGCGAGTTGGATCCTTTCGAGGTCAAGACTTGGCTTTATAATGTAGTTTATGGAGCTCATCTCAACATAGCTTCCAAATTGCTTGCATTGACTCGTAAGTTGATTAGATTAGAACTCACAACATAACTTGATTTGAGACTATGAATATGTGATGGGTATATTCTCACTAATTATTTACAAAAAGATTGTACACGTAATATAATGTTTTAATCAATATTATACAATATGATGAAAACTTTCATTTGAAGTTAAACTCAAATAGATCGAACTTGTGAGATAATTAATGAACATAACTCAAGTTGAACTAAACTCAAAATGGAACCAATATTTAATAAGTGAAGCGAGTTCGAAATCAACTTATTTTTAATAACCTAAACTTGATCAAAACTTTTGATGATAAATTTATAAAATGATGCAATTTGACATACTTATCTCTTACAATTGCCTCACAAAAACACACATCATATCATTTCACAATATTTACCTCTTTCATGTCAATTCAAAATAAATGCAAAACAAATCAATTCAAATTCTCTCATCCCAAGTCCCAACAATTGGATTCTTTGCCAAATGAAACTATTAAACCGAAATTGCCTTATCCAAACAATAGCTTCTCGCCGGTGAAAAGTGAAAATCCTACGAGAAGAAAAATCCAAACTATAGTTGCGAGGAGATGAGTAGAGAAGAGAGAAGACTTGGAGGGAACAGAGTGTGGCAATTTGTCGTAATAATCTGCACGCAACCGCCTTGTTTGGCAGAATGTCAGATGTGACCATTTCCCGAGAAAAGCAATACACGCGGCACCTCCGAAGAGGTGACCCCAAAAGCTGTCAAACAAACGGCCCTTTTATCCCGTCCCCTTTGTGCCCATCGCTGCCATTCCAGCCGTTGGATCAGAATCGCAACGCCCCATCTGGCCTCTAGTCAAACGGCCAAAACCCGCTCTCCCCACTAACTACAGTTAAACTAACCCACACACATAGTCCACAAAGACAATAATACCCTTGTCACTCCCGTTTTACTACACTCCTGCCATCATCTCTCCAATCTATAAATCCTGCCCTGGAGACTCGCTAGGTTTGCCGAACCAAATAGCCGAATGGGGCTCTAAAGAAAATACCCAAAAAGCCCCTCTCCCATTTCCTCCCCAGCCTTCTCCTTCCTCCTCCTCTCTCTTCTCCTCCCCTTCCTTGGCTTTGAAAAAAATAGGCATGGGCTCGAATTCCAAAAGATCAAGCGGGCCGGTGCTCCGGTCGCTGTCTCCGCGCGGCCGATTCCCGTCATACAACTCCGCCGGTCATCTCTCATCTTCCTCGTCCTCGTCAGCGTTCGCCTCTTCCACGAGTTCGAGCTTTTACTCTCCGCCTTCGGCCTTCTTCCGCACCACCGCTCCGCCACACAGATCCGCCTCTCCGACGCGCGTCAATCTGTACTCCCAGAGTCCTCCGTCGCCGACGTTCCGATTCTCCATCGACAGATCCACATCTCCCAATCGGAACATATCCGTCGCGACGAAGCACACCAATCACATCTCCAGCCTCCCCGCGAGGAAGACGTGTATGTGCTCTCCGACCTCGCATCCCGGATCGTTCCGTTGCAGCCTCCACAAGAACAGCCACCAGAACGGCCACGCCGGAGGGAGCTCGTTCACGCCGAACAGGCTGAACATGAGGAGATCCGCGATGACGAATTCGCTGGTGAGAATCGGCGGCGTGGAAGGTGACTGGGTGAAGAGAGCGCTGTCGGCTTTGATTCGACCGTCGTCGCACCAGCAGAGGAGGAGAGCGGATTTCCAGCACAGGAAGAGCCGGCTCTCCGTCATGTCTAGAGCCGAGGATGGTGATTCTTGAATGGTATTTATGAATCAGAAAAAAGGTTTGGTAAAATTACTTTTTTCTTCCTCTTCTTCTGATCTCCGATTCCGGCGATTCTTGCCTGAATCCGGTGGAGGCGCGGCCACGGCGCGGGGACGGGACGGGCCGAGAAGCGGAAGGAAAGTTCGGTCGGTCGACGGCCGGACGAAGCTTTGTAGACCTGGGAACCTCGGTAGATGAAAAAAAGAAATTTTGTACATGTCTACAAATTGCTATGGAAGGAGATTTTGGGACCAAATAGGATATTTTTCATTTCCAGAAAAATTGACAGATGGTTAAGGATATCGGAATTAAAAGGACATTAAACGGGACTCAATTTAGCCAAATGGAATATTAAGCAAAGTTAACCGGCTTCCATTCCAGCCGGATCCGTCCCGTGACGTTTGCCGTAAGCTTCGGCGTGCGTCCGTTCCCCGTCCACCGTCGTCCGTGTTATTCGTCGTCGTCCGTCCCGTGTGTGCCGTCGTGATTCCCGTCAGCCGTCGTCGTTTCCGTCGTCATCATTTCCAGGTATTTATTATATATTTTCCGTTAATTTCTTTCTGATTATATTTATGATTATTATTATTCCTTTGGCTCCGTTTACTTTTCTTCATTTCTCTGTTGGTTGAAGGTTAGGTTTGGAATCCAGGGAAGGCCAGCTTAGGAGGCTTTGATTAATTAATATAATGATAATTATACTTTTCCCATTGCTTAACAAGTTGGAAAAGCTGGAAACTTCTGCGGGGCTCTCTATATCGTCGTGTGAAGGACCTTCATTAGAGAACGATTTGGAGGAAAAACGAAAGTAACGTGATTAGTGACACTAATTAAAGAAATGGGAATTTGATGATGAAAGGTAGGGGGATTAAAATAAATAAATGGAAAAGAAAAGAAAGTGTCGACACTCGACAGACAGATGGGCTGATTAAAGTGCGACCAACAGCGAACACAAGAAGCTTGGTGGGAAATTAAAGCGGCAAATTCAAGGCTAAGGAAACGGAGAAACCAACCAGGCAACCACCACCTTGGACTAATTAAGTAGAGTAACCGCTAGCTAAGCTAGGTGAACTGCCATGAAACGTATGAACTCTCTTACAAAACTTATTACGACCGGTCTAACACCTACTTTTTACATCTACCGGGGGGGAAAAAAAATTCCATCAAGGCAAGAAAAACAAACGTGATGTTGAATTACTTATAAAAAAGAAGCACGGAACGGTAGTGCTTCTGAAATGACCTATGCCCACAGACATATGGGACTTTTAGACTTTACCTTCAATCTAAACCCTGATTAACACCGAAGGCCTTCTAACAAAACCAAACCATAAAAGAGTTAAAGATGTGATTCTATTGTAGAGAACAAGAGTTGTGTCAAAAATATTAATGATGTGTACTCCTACACGGTGAGAAGTGATCCGGTTGAGCAATGAAATCGATTTGAAGATGATTACGTAACGATCATCTATGAGATGAACTTCTAACTAAGTGTTGAGAACCTGTTTAACGAAGAGAAAACATGTGGATAGATGAGAGTACACCTATATGTGTGACTGTGTGAGTGACAATGAGATATGTGACTTGTAGAAATCAAGTACGGGTCGTAAACGAGGAGTAACTGTGTAAAACAACCTTCTTTGAAAGAGAAATCATGCAAAATTATTACTAGTAGTTTAACTCGAGCATAATGTTCAGATGAGTTAACAACTAGAATTATAATGTCACTCAATGAACGTTAAACTTAACTCAAAGGCGATTCCTCTTCCACCGAACCTAACATCCTTCTCTCCATTTCGCAAGCTCTCCAACCTTATTTTTTCCCGTTTCATTAAAAGGTTGAGCTAGCTTGATAATGAATCATGCTAATTGATTGAAAGCGCCAATTAGTAGGCATAAATAAACAAGGGACAGCACAAAAGGAGGAAAACCGGGGGTGGTCGTTGTAGTAGTGGGGTTAGAGATCGGCTGGGAGGTCGATTATTCCAGTTGGGAGAAAGAGAGGAAGGTTGGAATAATAATGGTGGGAGAGGGATTTTGCTTTTCCAGCACCATATAACCCATTTGCAGCCACCAATCTCTCAAACAAAGAGTCGAGACATGTGCACGAGCCAAGCATGGCGAAAGCTGAAGCACTTTGGTTTGGATTAGCTGTATGCAACCAACCAAACAAGCAACGCATGTGGCTTCAAACTTTGCAAACTGAATCGATTTTGAACCTAATTTGTCAAATCATTAGCGATAACGCCAGTGAAATTGGTTACTGTTGTCGTCGATGGAGCTGGACTCGAAGATGAGGGGCAGAGAGAGCAGAAGAAGGCGGTGGGGGAGACAGTACAGACAACAGAGGGACAGCTGGAGGAGATTGATAATTTATTATTCTGGAAAGTGATGCTGCGGATCGGATCCATCATTTATCATCACTGCCAAAAATGCTTTCTCGTACTTTTCATGATTTTAATTTGGTACCTGCAATATTTTTTTTTTCTTGCACAATCTTACCTGCAGTGGCACTGTTAGTAGTAGCTATTGGGAAATTTAAATTTCATTTCCAGTGCTGATCTTTCTAAAATTTCATAGTTTCAACATTTTCTATACTCTTTTATTTTTTAATAGAAACACTCATTTACTTATTTTGAAAAGTTTCAGTGCACAAAAAGCTAGTCCACCACCTAGGACATTTTGAGGAAGAAATTCTCTACTATGTGTGGTCATTTTGATGACTTTTGGAGTGGTAATTTGATCCGTAACCTATAGGAGTATATGTACTACGATAGAGTTGACTATATTTTTTCGTTCATATATGTTATGCAGTTGTTACAAAAGCAAGTGAATTTACTTGTTGCACTATGTGATGTTATTTTCTTAGTTTGATCAACATTTGTCATCAACGCGAGTTGTTGAAATCTATTTAAAATTTGATGAGCTTTTATGCTCACTTTTACTTCAATTTTTGTCCGATTCATTCTTAAATATTTGCTCTAATTCTTAACCAAATCGGACCATCGGCACCCATAATAATATTCCACCCGATTGGTGTCACGATTTAATTCCGTAGTATCGTATTGATTCTCGGATAAGCCATTATGCAATGCCACCATTCTGCCTGGCGACTTCTGGTTTCCCATCGCCACGGTCGAAATGGCTAGTCGAACTCGTGAGTTCAGCTAACGAACTATCCTCTAAGCTTTACATTTACGCTCGCTAAAACCGCCAAGTCTGTTCTTCCTTTCTCTCACCCAGTTCCTCAACTGCCGCCTCTCATCCTCGCCATGCCTGCCACTTTACCTTCTCTCCGAAGATCGTCGCACTCACTCTTGCTCTCCAGCCTTCATTCTCGCCAACTCTCCAGCTGTCAGGCATCGTCCTCTACCGTATCTACGCTGATTTCGATCGACGCCGCTGGTTCCGGCGCTTCCTCTAACTCTCCGCGCAACTCGAATCCAGGGAGCAGATCTCTGGTTAAGTGGATCTCCGCCGCCGCTGCCGGCGCAAGTTTCGGCGGATTATACTACTGGTCACCGCCGCTTGATACCAATCACACCGATTTTCATCTCTTCAAGAAGCAGCTCTCGTCCTTCTTTGACCGGTCAGCGACTGTCGCGGGCGGCGAAGCTACTTCCGTCGGCGATTGTCGGCGAGAATCGTCCTTGTTTCACAAACTTTCTTTGCCGGAGTACAGATCGAAGTTCCTCTTCGGAGGTGAGTTTTTTTAATTTGCCATTAGCTGATTAAGTGAAGTCCAAAAAAAGTAATGATCGGTTCGGTTTAGATTCGTACAGGCGAAAGGTTTTCTTCAAGTACGAGAAACGAATAAGGCTGCGGAGTCCGCCGGAGAAGGTGCGGTTTCTAGTTTTGCAATTGGTGAACTATTGTACTCCCTATTATCTTAAGATTGAAATTGAGAGAAGCGTTCATATTTCCGGTGAAGGTATTCGAGTACTTTGCGTCGCACAAAGCTCCCAATGGAGAATTGTTCATGACGGCGGCGGATTTGATGCGAGCTGTTGTCCCCGTTTTCCCACCGTCTGAATCGAACCTAATCAGAGAGGGGTATCTGACAGGGGAAAGGAGTCCCGGGGAATTGCGCTGTGCTCCTTCTGAGTTCTTCATGCTTTTTGATGTGAACAATGATGGCCTTATCTCTTTCAAAGAGTGCGTTTCCTCCAATTTCGCAGTGCATTGCTCTATATTGAAATGAGAGTTGCTTCGTAACCTTCTCACACTGCTTTGAAAATGGTGTTTGCTATAATTGTTCCTTGCAACAGGTATATCTTCTTCGTGACGCTGCTCAGTATTCCAGAATCAAGTTTCTCTGTGGCGTTCAAGATGTTCGACATTGACAACAGCGGGTAGGTACATGTTTCCATTCTCTATGTTGTATAGATGGGATTTCGAGAATCGTGTTAGACTAGTGTCCTGAAACTCTGAGAGTTGCCTGATGTAGGGAGATTGATGAGGAAGAGTTTAAGAAAGTGATGGCCCTGATGCGCGCTCATAACAGGCAAGGAGCTGTACATAAGGATGGACTAAGAACAGGGTTTAAGGTTAGTGGCTGTGTGGAAAATGGAGGCTTGGTGGACTACTTCTTTGGCAGTGATGGAACTAAGCGGCTCCAATATGATAGCTTTATGCAATTCATGACGAATTTACAGGATGAGGTAAACTTCAGCCCTTCATTCCCTGCTCCTTAGAACTGAGACTGTCAGAAGTTAGTTCCGGTTTATGGTTTATAACTTTGGTTGCTTCGAGGATATCTTTCTGCTGCCAGGATGAATCATTTTTCTCTGTACTTCTGCATTATTTGTGAGCTCACAAGTGTTAGGATTGAAATCTAGTGCCAAAGTGATAATGAAATGAAGTGAGCAATCTGCGTTATGCTTTCTTCGCGTGATCCTAGTAATCTAGCAATACTTAGTAATTTGGTCTGTGCATTGGTTTTATGTACTGTCCTCATTTAAACAACAAAGAGATTCAATAATGTCGCTATTCAATCTCTTTACTTTCAAACATATTTTCTCGGTTATTCATACGGCTATTCAAAGTGATCATAGACTGTATGTTGCTTACTTCGTCAGATATTGAGACTGGAGTTTGCTCACTATGACTACAAATCACGAGGGACCTTATTGGCAAAGGATTTTGCATTGTCCATGGTGGCTTCTGCTGACTTCGGCCATTTAGATAAGTTACTTGGTCGGGTGGAGGAATTAGACAAGGACATGCACCTTCGGGACATGCAAATAACGTTTGAGGAATTCAACAACTTCGCGGAGTTACGTAAGCAGCTAAGGCCATTCTCTTTGGCTCTTTTCAGTTTCGGGAAAGTAAATGGCCTGTTAACAAAGGAGGATTTCCAACGAGCTGCATCTCAGGTATTTGAAACTTAACTCCATTAACATAGAGAATTTTGCTTCATCTGTTTGAGCTTTCCATCATATGCTAACCTCGACCTGCGATCGGCCAGGTTTGCAACATTCCACTGTCTGATAATGTGGTCGATATCATATTCCATGTGTTTGACATTAACCGTGACGGACATCTATGCTCAAAGGAATTTGTGAGAGTCCTACACAGACGTGAGAGGGACATTGCTCACCCCACAGGAACAGGAATAATGGGACTTCTATCGTGCTTCTTCAGCCGGTCCCCCGACTCCTTTGAACGTCTGGTTTCTTAACATCGATTTGATGATTCTTGAGGCCTTGAGAGGAACGTCTTGCAGATGTGTTTCAGTGTTTGTCACAAGCGCATTTTATGGTAGTAGAATATATATAGCAGGATCCAAACAAGTTCAGCGGTTTCTTGTATAATGTCTAAAGCTGTAGTTGTACTCACTATATTGTATGAACTGTAGACCAAGTTCTACTCCACATTCCAGATTTCCCTTCTGAAGCAGTGTTTTAACAGATTACTAAATATCAAGAAGAATGTGATCACACACGGTCTTCATAGACTACACTTGTGCAAAGTGGCTGAACTTCATTATCAAATTTAGAAAGAATGATACCACTGATTTCTCAAATAGTGTGAACACTTTGAAAGCAGTTGACAAGGGTAATTGGTATTTGAAAAGAGAGCTCCAGGACATACATAGCCTCCCATTTTCACCTTACAAAGCAAATGACGGATGGATTTAGGGCAACCACAACCTAGCAAACTTCCTAGGAACACTCCGTTGAACTGTCAGTAGGAAATTCCTTGAAAGGATGCAAAAAACAGAAGCAAGCACCGGAGTAGTGACAAGGATTTGTACAATTGTCAAGGCCTTCCACATTATCATACTAAAGCTTAGGGTGGCAAGTTGCAGGCATCCAAAATTTGACTATATGAGAGAGGCCTGTTTACGAGCAAAACTAGCCATTGAATCCAAATGCAAACAAGGCTCCCGCGTTCAACACTATTCTAGCACCCACCCGAGTCAAGGGTGATAGACCACACCGATTCCTTCAAGTCGGTCATTTATCTTGAAGAAACCATCACAGAAGATGAGCACTAAATCTCTATGCCGCAAAACAAACCACCAGGCCTAGCTCCTTCAGAAGGAAGCAGGCAACCAAACTGAGCTCATACGAATACAAGGACTCACAAAATGTAGGGCTTGAGCTTACTACAAGTAGTTTATGGATCCGGCAACCTAAGAACGGAAGCAGAATCAACAACCTAGAAGCAGACAAGAAAATAATTCCTACTTGAACTGACCTGAGGGTCTTTTACCTTCCCATGAAAGATCATTAGTGTCCTAAATCAGTACCCGAGTCCAGATCATCCAAATTAAAACCAGTACGCTTGACGACATACACCCAAGACGGAAACCCACTCACTTGAATCCGGACCAGTTGAAAACAATTGACATGGCGTAATATACTGGCGCTCTCCGCAAGCTCTTTTGGCCACAACATCGTTTCAACCTGCAAGAAGCAATCCTTAGGACACACGGGAGTGAAGCTCGATAACCATCGACTCTAGGTTGCAGTTAACAAAGAGCTACAGAAGTTCACATAGAATGACTGAGATATGCCAGAAACTATGGCAATCATGCTTTGATTCTCAAGTAACGCTATTCCAGAGACTATAGAAGGGCAAAGTAATGCAGAGCAAACATTCAGGGCATCATGTAGAGGCAATCACAACATGCAGATGTAACTCCATTTGGTTCTGACCCCCATGCGGCCCTTGTTCCAACTCCTGCTTTCAAAACCACTCTTGCCCATGTATTGTCTAAGAACTAAGGTGATAACATATGATGGAATGCCACCACACTTCGCACTGGAAACAAACAGAATACATCTAAAAAAGGCACCACGGCAAGCATCATAATCAATTCAGCTGTATTATTCCATAAAAGCGACTATCAAGAATAAGCACATCTGCCTCCTACAACTGTAACAGCAGGGTCAACAGAGAACAAGAAGAGACCGAAACCAAGGAAATGGAACCGGTAGTGTAATAGGGTGGCAGAACTGCAATCACTGCTTTTGAGAATCGGAGCAGCAATGTCGAGTAAGAATCAAATGGACTACCCCAACCACAGCCATAACCACCATACTGTGTCTCCACACTGTTAACATCTTATAAAACTGAAGAATTTTTACCCTGCACATACTTCAACCATAAGGAACCACCGAATGAGGTAAATAAAAGGAGGCAAAAGGCACATGTGCCACAAGAGAACTCAATGTTATGGGCCGTATTCAATAGACGGATACCAGAATCTGAAACCCACCTGCATAAAGCATTTTCTCCTGAACACTCCAAAGCATTCTATAGGATTTATCACACTAGTAAAATGTAACCCATCTTATTGTTGATTCATAGAATTGTAGCGAACTTTTCCCATTTAGAACTTGGAAAGGAGAGATCCATCAAAGGCCATAGATCTTCCGATAGAGAAATTTCCAAAACAGACATTGTCACTGCAGGCTAGGAAAGTGGAGCAGGAACCAGAGTGGTACCAGATGTACTACCCCTTTTCTCCAAATTATCACCAGAGGCAAGGAAGGTGAGGTTCTATGCAGTGCAGGAACTGGATTTGAACCATATGTACAAACCTTCCAAATGCAATCACTATAGGCTGAACTGCAAAGCAACATTTCAGGCAACAACCCAACTTACTTCAAACCAAGAAAAGAATCTAACACTGAACTTTCCCGTTAGATTTGTCTCCATAGACATTAATCGAGTCTCTCCAACGTCAAGTTAATATTGCCATGTAGAAAAGAGGAAACACAAGGATCAAGCACTGTTCAGAATTATCCCAAGGCTCACCTGATGAATAAACCTATAAACTCTATTTTGTTCTGGTATTTCAACTGTTGAATCAAGTAAAAGTAGATGAAGCCAGCAGTCGAACTAAATAAATAGCTCACATGAACGCCCTTAATCACAAAAACAAAACTTCTCGTTCAGCTGTTTTCTTGGATCGCATCAATACAACAAGCATATTCTAAGTAGCTGCTGGGTTTGGCACCGTAAATGGAGCAGAGTTATGAGTCTTTCCCTCCCAAGACTCGCAAATGTAAGAAGTTCACACATCGAACAAGCACATTGGTTTTATCATGATAGTTTCCCAGAAAACTTTTTTTTCTTGTTCCAAGAGCTTTTTACTTGCACTGGAGACACTGTAATGCTAAAGAAAAGACCTATATAGTGCAATCTTTTCTAGCCCAACACCTTAGTTGTTAGTCAAGATGGTTATCAAAGTAGAATAGGCTACTTATCATGAGAAGCTCAAAATCAACCAACCCATCCACAGACGAAACCAACTAGAGGAAAAATATTGTAGTGAATCAAGTCACCTACGAGATGAACAGAGAGCTAGAAAGAATATGGTGAGCCTCATCTGCAGCCTGCTTGAACTGCCAAAGGCATCTAGATGGAAATCCATTTGCATCTATGAAGTCCACATTAAACAATACTAATCTCAAGGGTCCTGTTATTCCCTAAATGATTTGATTGTTTGCTTCATCACAAGATTCTTCAATATATAGGTAATTACCCAGCTAAACGCATTGATACTCGGTAAAGGACACTGAACTTGGTTAGAGGACAGAACCAATGGAAGACATGTTAAATACCATCCATCCAGGCAGGAAACCTTTTAGCCACAACTCTTCTTAAAAGATCAAATGATCTCCGGGGAAATATAATTCAGGGAACAAAGCTCGATAACCAACACTTATAAAACTCGCAGCCACCCATTGGACTCAAACTCTATTAAATCAAGTAAAATAACTCATTCCCAGCAGATTCACAGAGGTTACAAACAAAGTCTAAAGCGCATCACTTTAGATTTAGATACCAGTGAGGCACCTAATCACTAAGAACTGGTTGATAACCAATTTACTTCCCCCACTGAAGTTTCATAGTGACAAAGAACGGATCATAGAAAGATGCAGCCTCATTTGCAATAAGGTACTCTTAATCTTCTGCAACCTCTTAGCTATCTGCAAGGCTGCCCAAAACAATGCACAAGGAAAGCTAATAAAGGTAAGATTCATACTCTTTTGCATGTAGTACCTCATGCTTGTATATGAAGAGACATTTGCATATTTAGGACCTTCGGCCTCAACATTCTATTACTTACTCCTTTACACTAGTTGTTGCTGTGTAAACTCATATGTTAGCCATCTATTATGAGCTTCGGGACTAGAGGCAGGACAAGATTGGGAAGTCGTGATAAACAAGGTGATCAAATTTGGACTCGGACTTGAGGATGAATATATTGAACACCAAATTTCCAACATAAGCAACCATTCGGCCAAAAATCCCAATAGGCAACAGAGTACTTCAAGGGCATAATCCCACTGATTGCAACTATTAAAGAGTATAAAACCAGGAAAAAAAAGGATAAAACCCGTCATATCAAACCATAAATCGATATGCTCCAGGAAGAGCATAACAGACAATAAACGCATAGCCAAGTATAGCCTTCCCTTTATTAACCATGGGACTCTATTTCCACAAATGCTTTCAAAACCAATCTTATCCAGCAAATTCAGAAAGGGCAGCTGTTCGAGCAAGAATACTGATATTGAGCAAGAAGAAAAGCCTACTGTTGTAATCATATTGGATACACAACGCCAATACAAAATTCAGAGATACCCAGCTTTCCCGCATGACACTATAGTTTCGGCAACTCAAAAGGGCAACAAATCCATACCAGAATAAAGTTCTCTTCCAATGCTTCTGAATGATCAAGATATCAACATACTACGATAATTCTCCAACTAAACCAACAGGATAATTTGATGCAAACTATTAACTTGAAACGAAGTTTCAAGGCTAATTCTCCATTCCAAAGCGCAAGCCAGCAGTAACCCATACGAGACCAGCAACAAAATTTCCCTCTGAAAGTTCAACCAGCACCCACATCCCAAAAGGACGTTCACTCACACCGTATTTTATTTCTGAAACATTTCATGGCATCACAAGCATATTGTACTAAGACTTCTAATAGTTTAGGAGGATGAGCAAGCGGGACTAGGCACAATTCTCTTTAAGGATCGGAAGTCACATCAGCATCACAAAATACAATGATGCGTTAGGTGGAGCAAAAGGGCAACAAGTCTAATCATGTTCCCTTCTAGGACTCCACCGTAGAATGTGAACTGATATGTTCAAGTGGGCAGAAGGGCAATCCAGAAGTACCCCCTTCTAGGACCCTACTATTTAGCATCATATCCTTAATCAAATTCAAACCACCAGGCACCAACGGACAATTAGAGGACAAGTTAGGACAAATAGGCAACACAGACATTCAAGTTTTTCCCATTTGGTGGAAAAGTTGGACAAGGCTTAATTTCCTTTTAGGATTGAAACTGTGGAGCATAAGGGAACTGTTAGTTCTCATCTAGGACACCTTTAGCATATACTAATAGAGCAGAAAGGCAACTAGACTAGTCTGAGTTCCTTTCTAGGACCCGATTAGCATATACCATGGAGTAGCCACCAAAATTAACTAATAGAGCAAAAAGGCAACTAGACTAGTCTTAGTTCCTTTCTAGGACCCCATTAGCATATACCCCGGAGTAGCCACCAAAATTAATTAATAGAGCAGAAAGGCAACTAGACTAGTTTCAGTTCCTTTCTAGGACCCCATTAACATATACCACGGAACAACCAACAAGATAACAAGCAGAGCATAAGGATTAACTCCCATCGAGTACCCCAGAGAAGCACAGCAACCAAAACGATATGCAGGGCAGAGGAGCAACTCGAAAAAAGTTCTCATCTAGGACCCCACTTGCATACATCTTAAAGAGACAAATTCATAGATGGGCAGAAGAGCACCTGGGACTATCAAAAGAGCCCAACTCACTCCTTGGACCCCATTGCAACTGTTTTTACAGAATTAAAGAAGTAACAATGTCTTAGAATGCCTCTTCACTTTGTCTGAATGTACTATACAACCGTCAGGGCTAACACGTTATTGATCTTGCTTCAGCCGAGAGATCAGAGGCAGGAGCAAGATTTGGAAAACTTTTTTCCTTCGACTGATTATAAAAGGGCTCAATTTTTATAGTGAATTTTTTCTCACTTAAGTTCTCAACAAAAGCAACAATTCAAAAGAATCCCAACAGGCTCTGCATAGTCCAGACACTAGCTAGTGAAATAGACTTAGAATCCTGACTTGTGTGTTATTCGATGTATGTTTATATACAGGGATAGCAGCAACGGTATGCAGCTGAAGAATATCAACAACCACAGCCACTATAGCTGAGGTTCAGGAGGAATGATACAACAGACGTTGCAACTGCTTGTTAAAGTAAAGGAGCAGTAGAGAGTGGGTTTGAATGCGTCAATCAACATAGCTAATTCCTTAACAGCTAGAAACCTTTGCGTACAGGAAACAACATGAAAACCCATCAATAATGTCATTCCAACCACTAATTAGCTTATCCAAACAATTATTGCAACGAACAGAGAGGTTTAAAAAACCACTTCAATTCACGCCCTCTTATGATCAACCAATGGAAAGGGATAAATCCGAAAACATACCTCAACTGGAGAAGTGATGGCATCAGAAAATTCAACCCTCGAAGCTTATTATCATTTGTCGTCTGTCATCGGAGTAACAATTTCACACATAAATTCTACTGTTGATCACAATCGTAAAATCATCGGGGACACCAGCAACTACTTGGAGCATCACACTAATCTGTGAAGGATAGAGAGCGGCGACCGGTAATGGCATCCAGATAAAAAAGAATGATATCTTTCGTACAAAGATTTCATCGATTTCTAGGGCAACCGGGACAAATAGAAAACAAGAAGGGAACTAGGGAAGAGTTTTCTCCCTGTACTTGAACGAGGAGAATATTCTTGAAGCAGACAGGAATAAACAAGGAATAGAGACGGTGAAATGCTTCTCCAAACTCAAGCCTCATAGAAAACCCTAAAAGGAAGAACCAAACTGAGATTGTTTACCTAATTTCCATCGATGCTCGTCCTTGGAGATCCCATGGAAGCTTATTGGGGGCAACGGTAACAATAGGAGGAACACGATGTCTTGTCAGCTATTTATAATTGCAATAGGAGGTTTGAAGTCGGTTCCGGCGTAGCCTCCAAGCTATTTCTAGGTGTACACGTTTACGTGCCACGTGGTGGACGAGTTATACTTTTTGCTGACCTGCCCTGCCAGCTGGACGCATGCATAAATTTCGTGGCCACTTGTATTTTTTTAATAAAAAAGGACGCTCCACGAAACGCTTTTCTGGCTTCTGGGAGCTTAAAGTCGGTTATGTTGCCAACTGGATTACTATTAAAAAAAGCAGAAAAGCCCAATATTTACTCTCCGCTACACAACCCAATTAAAATTGACAAAATTGGCCCACTGAGAATATGCGGTAACGCCACTTTGGGGATTTAATTAGCCCCACTAGTCCACCATTCAAATATAGATTATAGCGATAATATCATATATTGATCGAGTTTTGATTTGAATGATATTTTTCTGCCTAAACTTTCTAATCTAGGCTAAGTTTTGAAAAAATTGACAATTTTTATCTTATTTTTGCATTAATTGTTAATACTAATAGTCAATCATTTTCACTATTTTTTATGTTAGCAATTTTCACCGTTAACGAGTCAACAAAAATAGCTTATGTGGCTGACATGTCCTTAGGTAATTATTTGTCAAAATTAAAATTTTCAATTTCGTAATTCAATTTAGAGAAAAAGATAAAATTGAAATTTGACACAACTCACGATGCCACAAATTTCGATAGACTCTCTCTTCTTCGAAACCCATTCCCAAGAGTCTGTTTGAATCCCACGCAAAGTTCCTGTAGCGGCGAGCAGTTCTTCTGAAGCCATCATTCCCCCTCTTTTCAACTTGTTCCTTACATATGGGGTCAAATCGACGGATTCTAAGCAGCGCAAAAATGGCTCGAGGGCTTGTTAAGGAAGGCGGCAAGAGCCAACGAGGGGGAGGGATAAAGACGTTTTCAGGTCCCATCTGGGCCGAGGGTGCTTGTGTGACGGATCCATAAACTTTATATATTTGGGTTCCCACCAAAAAATAATTTTTAAAATATTTAAAATTCGAAATTTAGAAAATCTTAGATAAGAAAATATCTGATTACTGCAAGTTACCACAAAAAGTTCTTTTAATCTACGTAAGATAACTCATCATTCTTAACAAAATAATAATAATTCTCAAGATCCCATACAAGAAAAGAATCAGATAAGTGATCAAAATGTTTTGGAAATCGTATGCTATATGGTGGGGGTTAAAGGGTAGCCGCGTGTGTTTAATTTTATACTTTGAAAAAGGGCTAATACCACTGGGAAACCCGAACTATTAACTTTGTGCCATTTGTGTCCTAAAGTATTCGATATGACAATTGTGTCCCAACGTTTGGTAGTTTTGTGTCATTTACGTCCTGACAATTTCGTTGACCGTTATAGATAACGGTTGACCAAACGGTCAACCATAAAATGTTGATTGTTGGTTACATGGCACATATGTGGCAGCCACATCTGCGCCACGTCAGCTGCCACATCAGATTATTATTTTTAAATTAAAATTAAATAAAAATTAAAGCTAATCCCTTTCTTCCTCATCTCAGATTCACCATAGCCGCTCAAATTTTGAACAAGCTTGCTCCTCCCTCCGCCAATTCCAAATCGACTGCGCTGGTGGGAGACCCTTCTTCATCCTCTGTGAAAACAACAACACAATCAACAGGGCCTTCCCGGACTCGGAGACCCGCCGGACGACATTGGTGTTGAAGAGACAGGAGGAAGATGGAGCAGCGGCTCCCATCAGGCGATGAAGGCTGCCTATGTATTGAAGACCCGCCGAACACTCTCGATTGCCTTCCTCCCCTACCTCCCTCACTCTCGCCTGCCTAATTGTAGATCTGGATTCGAGTTTCGATTCCGAGCAGCCTATGTGTTGAAGAACACTCTCCCCCGATTTCTGAGCAGCCTAATTGTAGATCTGGGAAATCTCCTCATGATGTTTCGATTCGATTTCAGGTATCAGGCAGCCGATGTACCAGACCTCTCTTCCCGCCGAGAAGCCGTGGCGGAGTTGGAGGTAGAGGGAGCCCTCGTCGAGCTCGAACCGCCACGACACGATGACAGTCTGTTCGGGTTGGGTTTTGCTCAGATGGGGAGGTGGTTCGCCACTCCGACCCGGCGCTCCGGCGGGGTGGCGCGTTCGCCGGGGAAGGCGACGCGTTCATCGGGGAAGGGAGGCATCTAAGTTGTTGTTGATGCCGTGGGGCGAGGATCGAAGGGGGTGAAGAAGGGAGCTTGATGGCCTCGGGAGTCGGTCGGCGATTGATGACGCGAAAATCGTCAATAGATGCAAGAAGAAGAAGAAGAAGAAGAAGAAAGGAAAAGGGGGAAGGAAGTAGAAGAAGGAAAGAAGTCTCGATGGTTAGGGAAAAGTGGTTGGAGGCATTTTTGTTTTCATTCTAATTATTTTTTAAGCAATAAGGATAAATAAATAATAATAAAAATTCCACGTCAGATGCCACATCAGCGCTTACTGGATTTTCTGTTAAAAACTAATGGTCAACACCGGTCAACTCTAACGGATAAATAGTTTAGGATACAATTGTCATATCGAATGCTTTAGGACACAAATGACACAAAGTTAATAGTTCGGGTTTCCTAGTGGTATTAATCCTTTGAAAAATTTGTGATAAGGGCTACACTTTTATACTTACATTTATGTTAATATTATAACAACAAATGAAATGTAGTAAAGTGAAAAATATGTTTACTAACAAAATTATATGGACAAAGTAAGTGGAGTGATGAGCTGAAAAATATTTTTTCAAATTTTTATGTCATCTAGTTAACAATTAAACTTTATAGTTGACTGCCATGTAGGACAAATTTAACAGAGTATAACAATTGTTGACTAACGAAGAAACGACTCTTAAAATTAGTGACGAAACGAAATAAAAACAATTCATATGACAAACGTAAAATATTTGTGTAATTTGACTAAAAAAAAAGTCCGGCTACTTGCAAGTTATAGGAAATGCCGAAATGGGATCAAGTATCAACTATATAGGGAGTTGCCTGAAATAAGGCCCACTCGCCCGCCTGCCCAATGTTGGAAGCCCAAGTTTCGGTCATCCATCTCTACTCGACATCCTCTTGGGCCTTAGTGGCAACATGATACTGACTTGAAAAAGACTCATGAAGGTCAACATTCAAAAAATTTAATATTTTAACTAATAAAAAAATTACAAAATTATTAACGATAATATAAAAATTTCTAATATTTTAATGCATTATGAAAGATTTAGATAATTAATAGAATTTTAATAGGTTTGAATAATACAAAAAAATCTGAAAATATTTAGATAAAAAATAAATAATACCATTTTTCATGGATTAACTTAGAGACATAATCATAGAGATTCTTAAACAACATTTTTTCAGTTTATTCATTTGACCTGCTAGTCGAATATTTGTTTTGAATTACCAATTTAAGGGGATACGCGGATGACTGAATTGATGATTAATAATAGAGATGGTAATACACGTTGAATGTTTTTCAGCCCTTTTCGGCTGCTATGTCTACCTGTGCAGTCCTTTTCCAGGTCGGCTGACCAGTTCTATTTTCTCATCCTGACAAGAAATGGGTCGAGCTTGCTTCAAAGTTGAAATGAGCAGAATCCAAAATCCTGCGATCTGTTACGAGAAATATATCGAGAAATATGTGCCACAAAGAATAAGTGGCAGAACATTGTCGATTTAGTTATTCATGTTTAGCATTAAGGAGAAATATATCGAGAAAATAATATTTGGGGCTCGTTTGCTTGTTGGATTTGAAAATGAAGGTTTTGAGTTTTAAAAACCTTTGGATTTATGATGGATTTGTTGTATTATGGATTTGGAAGAGTACATTGTTTGTTTAGTTGATTTTTTATCATGGATTTGTGATGAATTTGTCTCACATTTTTTCCTTTTATTGTCAAATCCCAAATGAAATGTGGGATTTACAAATCCGTGGGGTCCACGGATTTGGATCTAAAAATGAGGTCCAAATTCGTGGGCCCCACGGATTTGTCTCCCTCAACAAACAAAAGATTTTTTTTTTTGGTAAGCAACAAACAAAAGATTTGTGTTAACTCCATGATGCTTGGGATTTGGGTTCCAAATCCATCACCCAAATCCCACAAGCAAACGACCCCTTGGTTTGGTGGGAGTATTACAATGGAATAGGCCTATGCAGAGGCCCGATAGGGTTCAAAGAGTAGATTGGCCCAACAAGCCATAACGGGGTAGGAAAATAAAGGCCCATAGCGACAAAACCCGCTAGGATCCAAAATAGTACAATGGTCTGCACCTGGGCGCCTAGTTGTTGTCCGAAAAAGCTGGCAAGATGGTTGGGACGCCTAGTCGTTGGATGATACAAAGCATTAAATGCGATGCTGACGTAGGGCGGGAAGGAAGGAGTTCGAATTGATGAGTATAAATAGTGTTGGTAGGTAACATTTATCAGCCTAGTTATTCTGCTAACTAGAAGATTCGTTAGTATATACTAACTAATATCCAAAATGTATGAATTAATATCCAAGTCTGCTGAGTATCTAGATAGCACAGACTAGTATTCAAAACATCACAAACTAGTATCCAAATAGCAGATACCAACTTATATCCACAAACAACCAACTAGTATTCAATATGGATACTTTTATATGTTATCTGGATACTCTTATGTGTTATCTGGATACTAATTATGTACTATATGGATACTATTCTGGGTTGTCTATATATTAGTTTGTGAATTTGGGATAATAGTTGATTCATGGTGGATATCAGTCAGCAAACTTTGAATACTAGTCTGTGCTCTCTAGATACTTTAGTACTTGGATACTAGTTCATGTATTTTGGATATCAGTTAGTATCTGGTAACGAATCTTCAAGTTAGCAGATTAACTTTTCCCAACATTTATATAGATTAGATTCTCTCTCTAGAATTCAGACTAACTTGATCGTTGAAGGATTAACAAGCTTGGGTGTCCTCCTCTGTGCGTGTGGTGTGCAAGTGAGGCGCCTTCAAAGATCCAGGGGAGCCTCAGACGCACGAAGATCCGGGTTCACGGATATCTAGGCTCAAACAGGTTTTAACAAAATTGGAATAAATAATGATCAAAGTATTAAACTTCACTAAAAAAAATTGGGTTAATATTTTCGTATGGCCTGAACTTTGACCAAAATAAACATCCTGGCCAATATTTTCGATCTATAACATCCTGACCCAAACTATACACCAAAATAAACAATTTGGCCAGATCCGACTTTTGACCGTTAACTTGGACGGTCAAACGCGTTGACCGTTAGTCAACGCGCCATGTCATTGTCAAGTCAGCATAAAATATTTAAAATAATTCACAATTTCAACACATTCCCTAATTTTAAATTATTATAAATTAAAAAAATCATCTAATACCTTAGTTAAACCAAAAATAAAAAATGAAAAAAATTAAATATTTATCAGATCTTCTGACTTGACAGTGACGTGGCGCGTTGACCGTTAGTCAACGCATTTGACCGTCCAAGTTAACTGGAGATAGACTCCTATCTATGTTAACTATCTTTGCGGTCAAACATCGGGTTTGGCCAAATTGTTTATTTTGATGTATAGTTTGGGCCAGGATGTTATAGATCGAAAAGATTGGCCAAGATGTTTATTTTGGCCAAGTTCAGACCATACGAAAATATTACAAAAAATTCAAATTCAAACTTATCGTGATGCCAAAGTTCTATCGAAGATATTCATGTCATCATAGAAAGAGTAAAATTCAGATTGCACTGCTACTTACCATATTATAAAATTGAAATGAAATCATTGCGGACCATTATGAAAAAAATCATTGCGGACCAGTTCTTTGATAACGGGATATGACACAAAAGAAGGCCAACGTGCGTTGGATTTGCCTGTAGGCTGTAGCCGTAGCCTGCCAGCAACGGACAAGCTTGCACATTTATACTTCCTGCTTTCAATTCAGCCCCTCGAAATTTTTCATTTACACATTCCAATCCCTTACCATTTTCATGTATTGCCAGAGCTATTTTTTGAAGGCACGGTTCTGCTCGAGGTGGCTCGTCATCTCACTTACATTCTTCTCAACACGACGGTTGAAAGTAGAGATGCTCATTTAGCAACACACAAAACTTTTGATTATGTGGAGTTGTCTAATAACCAACAAATAGATTCTGTCCGAATTGGTCTTTGATTACGTGAATTGAAACTTGAGTTTTATTTTAAGGTCTTTTGTTGTAACTTTTAAGATGTAACGTGGTCAAGAAATATACAAAGCGATACGGGCATACCCGCGAATTGTGATATAGATAGGAAAACACGAAAGGAAAAAAATTGTATTGTAGGGGCGGGAATGTGAAAATGAGAAATTGGGGAGACTAAAATGGTAAGAGAAAAAAGGGAAAGAAAAGACTGGTGTGGTGGGGAGCAAAGGACAAATGCCACCGAACGTTGACCTAAATTCTCAACCGGAAGAGAAGAGGGCAGGCGGCTGGCCTGGCAGGAAAGACGAAACCCTAGAGAGCCGCGAGATACGAATTGAAGCAACCAATCAATACAGAACAAAAAGGAAAGAAATGAAATTCTTAAGCAGGCCGCGTTGTTAAAATGTAAATTCTTTATTATATTCATTGAATGTCTGTCTCTGTAATAAAGCCCTTTGTTCTTCTGTTCTGCAGCTTCTTCCATCGCATTCCTTCATTCCCTGCTTCATTTCATTTCCCTCCTGAAGCCTACCTTTCCATTTCTGCACACCAAGAAATTACCCCCTACCAAATTTGACCTTTCTCCCTGTCAACCTGGATTGGCTCTGTCAATCTCTGTCCTACAGAGACAATTGATTCAGAGTTCTTCCAGAGCGATATAAAAAGGGGCCTTTTTTCTTCCTCTTGTCCCCTCTTTATCTCTCTCTTCTTCTGGGTTTCCCCTGTTTTTCTCCTTTGTTTCTTCTTCTAATTCTTTCTCACCGTTTCCCCTGATTCGTTGAATTTGTAAAGTCGGGAGCTTTATTCATTTTTCCGCACAGTTTCCGTTTCTTCCCGCCCTTTGTTGTCCTGGGTTTCGGCTTTTGTGGCCTCTCGTTTTCCTGATCTTCCGGGGCAGCTGGGGGTTTTGATTGAAATCAAATAGGAGTCGAAAAGCAACTTGTTATTTCTCCTGGGGTTTGTCTTTGATTGCTGGTTTTTGCTGACTCCGTAGATCCCTGAAGAAAAAGTTCCTATCGGGAAATGGGGAAGCCAACGGGGAAGAAGACTACTCCTCAATCCCCCAGAACGCCCAAAACGCCCAGAAGCGATAGCAGCAAGCAGCAGCCCAAGCTATCTTCCGATAAATCTTCCAAGGCCTTTGACGAGGACACAGCAATCTTCATCAGTATGGCACAGGAGCTCAAAGAAGAAGGCAACAGGCTGTTCCAGAAGCATGACCATGAAGGGGCCATGTTGAAGTATGAGAAGGCTGTCAAGCTACTTCCCAAGAACCACATCGATGTTGCTTATCTGCGCAGCAATATGGCCGGTTGCTATATGCAAATGGGTCTTGGTGAGTATCCTCGAGCTATTAACGAGTGTAATTTGGCTTTGGAGGTTTCTCCCAAATACAGTAAGGCCTTGCTGAAGAGAGCTAGATGTTATGAGGCCTTGAATCGATTGGATTTGGCTTGGAGAGATGTTAAGCATGTTTTGGCCATGGAACCCAGTAACTCTGCTGCCCTTGAGAGTCTGGAGAGTATTAAACAGGCTATGGCTGATAAGGGTATGAGTTTTGATGAACAGTCCGTTGTTGCTGAGGAGGCAGAGAAGGTTGCTGGTGCCTCTCGTTTGCGGAAAGTTGTGAAAGAGAAGATAAAGAAGAAGAAGAAGGGTGATAAAATAGAGGAGAAGAAGGCAGATGAGAAGGAGAAAGTTGTTGTGGAGGATAAGAAAGTGACTCCTGTGATTAAGACGAAAGAGGTGATTGTGAAGACTGTTCAGGCTGAGAGAGTGGTGACGAAAGAGGTTAAAGAAGAACAGAAGCCGGTTTCCAAGACCGTGAAGTTGGTCTTAGGGGAAGACATAAGGTGGGCACAGTTGCCTGCGAATTGTTCTGTTGGGTTGCTAAGGGATATAGTTCTAGACAGGTTTCCTGGCTTGAAAGGTGTTCTTGTGAAGTATAGGGACCAAGAGGGTGATTTGGTTACTATTACGTCCACGGATGAGCTGAAGTTGGCAGAAGCATCTATTGGTTCACAGGGATCGCTTAAGTTCTATGTTGTCGAGGTTAGTCTGGATCTAGAGCCAGCTTATGAGCGGACAAAGAAAGAGGAGAATGGAAATGTTGGCAGCCAGGAACAAACCCTTGTTGTTCCTGAGAATGGGAATGGTGGGGGAGGAAGCAATGACCCCAAAAACGAGGCTGCTTCTATCGATGATTGGATTATCCAGTTTGCGCGACTGTTCAAGAACCATGTCGGGTTCGATTCTGATAGTTATTTGGATATTCATGAACTGGGGATGAAGCTTTACTCAGAGGCAATGGAGGATACTGTAACAAGTGAAGAAGCCCAGGAGCTGTTTGATATTGCTGCGGACAAATTTCAAGAGATGGCAGCATTGGCCTTATTCAATTGGGGGAATGTTCACATGTCAAGAGCTAGGAAGAGGGTCTTTTTCCCGGAAGACGGTTCCAGGGAGACCTTACTGGAACTAATTAAGAGTGCCTATGAATGGGGGAAGACTGAATATATGAAGGCTGGAGAGAGATACCGCGAGGCCCTTAAATTGAAACCAGATTTCTATGAAAGTCTTCTGGCACTTGGCCAGCAGCAATTTGAGCAAGCAAAGCTTTGTTGGTATCATGCTATTGGTAGCAAGATCGATTTGGAGAATGGGCCTTCTGAGGAGGTGCTAGACCTGTACAACAAGGCTGAAGACTGCATGGAAAGAGGTATGCAGATGTGGGAGGAGATTGGGGAGCAGCGCCAAAATGGAATCTCCAAATTTGACAAGTATAAATCTCAGCTAGAGAAATTAGGGATGGACAATCTATTGAAAGAACTATCACCTGAAGAAGCTGCAGAGCAGGCGGCAAACATGAGCTCCCAGATAAACCTCTTATGGGGAACTATGCTGTATGAACGTTCTGTTGTGGAGTATAGGCTAGAGCTACCAACTTGGGAAGAATGTCTCGAGGTTGCCGTTGAAAAGTTTGAACTTGCTGGAGCTTCTCCAACAGATATAGCAGTTATGATAAAGAACCACTGTTCCAATGTAACAGCTTTTGACGGTAAGTATACAGATGCTGACTTACAACTTGCTAATTTGTCTCCATTTTTCTTTTTGTTCATGTGCCAGGACTATAGAAATGTTGAGATTTTAAGTAGTTGATCTTTTCTATGGCAGGTTTGAGCTTCAAAATTGATGAGATAGTACAAGCATGGAATGAAATGTATGATGCTAAGAGGTGGGAGATTGGTGTTCCATCTTTTAGGTTAGAGCCATTGTTTCGTCGCCGGGCTCCAAAGCTTCACTATATGTTGGAGTCATTTTGATACTTTATGGGTAGTTGGGCATTCTTGGAGTGTTGTTATACAGATTCTTCAGATTTTTTGGTGGTCCATCTTGCAAAAGGGTTACGTTGTTACCAGTCAAATATAGGTAAGCATTTTATCTGTTCATCTAGTAACTTTGAACTATTGGATTTAAGTCATGCCATATCCTCTTCCTTTGCTTTCTAGTTATCCTGGAAAACTAATTTTTAGGGTCGCGAGCCAAGGCACTAAGATAGAGTTTGGTTGGAATTATGTGCTTGTAGTAGTTCCATCAAAATCCAAAATGAGGATGCTCTGATAAAAATCTGATATCAGTCCATGCATATGCTAACTAGTAGGGTGCCTAGCCTATGTAGTTGATTGTATGTGCATAGAATATGACTTAAAAAAATACTCCAACTAGTTGTGGTTGAAAGTTGAAACATCTTAGGTCAAGAACTCAACTATGAACAAACAGAGATTTATGTGATGAAGTACTAAATCTATCCACTGCAGACAAGCTGTGCTTGTTGCTGACTTCTGAAGGAAAATAGGCTGAAGTTAACTTTGCTGTACATCGGATTGACGATAAGTTTCACTTGATAAATTATTTTCCGATGCTGGGTTGCTTTGAGTATGATTTGAAGCTTCTAGAAATTAGTGTTGTTGGCCAGTGGTTTCTTTAGTTGGTGCTTTGTTTAGTCGACATTTGTATGTTCTGCATTTATAAGCAGCTTTCTGTGGTTTTCGTCGGACTTGTATCCTAGTAATGTCCATAATTTATCTAATATAATTCATTCTGTCAAATTGGACATCTGCTGTCTCTGGATGGTTTCAGCATGTCTATTAACCCTTCTCTAGATAGTCCATAAATGAGAACCAATTTTAATCCAGGTTTCGTTTAGATATCTTGAAGTTGCAGGTATGAATCAAAATTCTTTAATTCCATGCGTTCCTGCATAACAAATTTGAGCTAAAAAACTAGGTTTATATGCATTACCATCTATTGTTCTAGTTTCTACTATTCCTATGGCTCTGGAAATTATCTGAGCTGCTTTTCTATACATGCTTTGAGTGCCCATGGGGAACTGACTCTTGTTTTGTTTGTGATTGCAGGTCTTTTTTCTTTTATTGGATTTGGAACTTGGGTAAGTTTCAGTTTTACAGCTATTGTTTGCTCGTGGAGAGCGAATGATGGTTGGAGAGTTTGGTGTTCTGGGTTTGGAAAGTATTGAGCTTTCGCCCTCCATTTTGGCTTGGAGGGGATTTTGGATTTGGGTTGTGAAGAACCAGCACATGTTGCTCACGTTTACTTCCATACTTTTGGTTGCATTTCCTGTTCTGGGTGGTTTTGGCTTTTTTATTTGTTGTTGTTGGGGGGTTATAGTGTAAGTTAAAGGGGTGGAAATAGAAGAAGAGTATATGCTGTGATTTGTTTCGTTACTGAGAAACAATAAAGAGTGGTGGCAAAGGGCAAAAAGCCACTGCCTTTTGGTCTTTGTTGTATATTTGGGGATTTGATGCTTGTGATATTCCTACTGTTATGAATAGCATTTAATTGTTATTGGTCTTTTCTTATTGTGGATGGAATTCATGGATATGTTCTTTCCGTACTATGGCGATATCTGTAATCTAATAGCAATAGGTTTCAGATGAGGATAGGGAACTAATAGCATCACCATTTAGATTGCAACATTGTTGGATTAACGCCAAAATCTTTCATTTGCTTATTTTACGATAAGTTGAAATGACAATGGAAGTTGTATTGCAACAACCATTCAATTCTCCGCTTCAAAATAGAAACAAGGTCAAAGCAAGTTGCGAACAGATTACTACAATCGAACAAAAAGCACAACATTAAAAGGGCCTTGTACTATTCTATCTTCTTTTCCAATCAAGCCCCTTCATCGCCTCGCTCACCTCAGTTAGCTACGCTCTTCCTTCATTGCAACTTGCATGTTCGTTCTCACAAAGCCTCCCTCAGCCGGAAGGCTTTTGCAATGCGTCGTGCATTGTCGTAGTCATTGAGCTCAACCAGCATCTTCTTCAGCCGTCGAGCAAGCCCATTAGTTTCCCCCTCGCTCACCCCCAAAGCCGCCTGCTTCTTCTCCAGCGTCCTTCCTATTGATACCACAAAGTCCACCAGCAACTGCAACTTGCCACTGCAATACAGATCATGGAGACATATGCTCAGTACACAACCAAAAAAAAAAAAAATGAAACAAATCGGGTGTGCTTATCAGACGGCGGAATAAACATTTCATATCCCATCAAGTCAGGCTTTTTGTAGAATCTTTCCCAGCAACACTTATTTTCTTGAAACTTAAAAAAGAAGACAGCCAAAGCTGAAACAAACAGAGAAAAGACGGCAAGTACCTGCTATCCCCAGTGACATTTCGACCAGTCCAAACCCCAGACAAAGAAGAAACAATCCTCTCAGTTCTAGCAACCGCATCATGAACGTCCGACGAAATGCTTTGAACATGAGGCAGGACCTTCTTGCGTAAGAGCTCATCCAGAGCAAGCTCCTCTAGAACTGGCATCGCTAGGATATCCTTCCACAAGCAGATATTCCTAATCAAACGAACTGAGACTCCAAACCGATATGCTGCAACACGTGATGCATTTGGAACTGCCTTTAGAACGAGTGAGCCCCAGTTAGGAACCTACATTCAAAGCACGTAACAGTTTCAACTTCAGAATCCATACATTTTAAGAAAGGCGTAAACGTCTTTTTAAGAACTCTGACATTTCATAAAAGACATACCACGATGTTGGATACTGTATCAGCCAGTCGAGTGTGGACCGCAACTAATAGTTCTGATAGAGCCCGGCTTGAAGCTGGAACATAATTTATCACCATGCTTGTGGCAGCAACGGCATTTCCAGTTTCCAGTGTACTGAGCGTGTCCCAACAGTGAACAATTTGGTGATGCAATTTTGGGACAGCAATTTTTTCCACCAGTTGAGGAACAAGATTGCTGTCAGAATCCTCTGAATTCAAATCAGATGCTCCCTCTGGTATACCATAGTTGAATAACTGAGAATGCCTGCACAAGAAAAGTACAACTGTTTAGTCCAAAACAAATTTAAGGAATTACCCAAGATGTACCTGCGAGGTAGACTGCTAAAACAAACACACCCAAACAAAAACAAGAAAATCAAACAAAATCAACAACCATTCCAAACGAGAAGTAGATACCAATTCATGTCAAAGAAGTCATCAGATTTGCGTAGAGGGTCCCAGTGAAGAAGCTCCAGTCTCACGTAGGGAGAGAAGATTGCTGGCACACTGAGTGACATGTACGCATCCCGATAGCTCGCTGCATATTCCTTTTTCCATTTCTCTAATTTTTCTTTCACCACCGAAAGCTGGGAAAATTCCTCGGAAGCGTCGCTCAAAATTTGATCCACTGGTTCAAGACACCTATCCCGACTTGACCGGTAAGCTTCACTCTCACTCTCGCTCTCTTCAGTGCTTGACTCCCCTTCTATTTTCCGTTCAGCAGAGCTGTCATCAACTTCCATTGATGATGAAATTCTCTTTGAATCAAACTTAGCTCTCCTACGTTGGCGGGCTTCAGCCCGTCGCTTCATCTCCATGCGCTTATACATGCTCATATCTCTCCCCAGTTCATCTAATTCTGGTTGAGTTGCTGTTTCTTGGATTTTCACGGCCGCCGAAGCAGTCTGTGCAGCACTTGCAGCAGCACTAATCATCAATGGAGAGTTGCCACGTTCCTTAAAGACCAACATTGCTGCTTTGACAGCTGCATCTACTCCCAACATTTCATCATGATCATCGGAAAATCTTCGTTCCAAGATGGCGGCTGCACGCTCCTCTTGAACCTTTTGAATTCTCTCTTCAAGCTCCTCTATATAAGCTGCTTTATCCTGAGAAAAAAGAGAAGGAAAAAGACAACTAATAAGCATATACATATCAAGCAACAGTCCATGCCTACTGATAAAACTGTAACTAGATACAAACAACGGACCAAGCACTAAAAAAATTCAGTTCAATGCAGTGGGAAGTACAAGTTTTAGTGGTAAGAAGTGCTCTTTAAAAGAAAATAATGTTTTCAGACCTTGAGTTCTACTCACAAGTCACATGCCTTGTTACCACTTAAAAGGTGTAATCCTTCACCAAGCATCTTCAGACACTATAAACAAGCTTTGCCCAACAGAATAGAACCTCTCTTTCAACCAAAATTACTTACAGGGCGGAAAAGAAGTCCTAAGAGGCAGAATCCGTTGAAACAGAAGAATAATTTTTGGGACGTTCATGCCTATAATCATTGGTTGAAGTCAAACAAGCCCTCTCCTTTTCTAAATAGTAATATCAGAACTAGAGAACTGGATAAGATGTGACTAAAAAGAGTAATCTGATGATCTCCATTCTCCACTGTGCAGAACAGGTGCATATACAAAATGAATGCGAAAAAAGAGACTACAAAAGAATCCAGTAAGCTAACAAGCTGCTATCTAGAATTATGTTCAACAAGATCAGAATGCAAAAATCATGTATATTCAGCATACACAAAGAATTAGAGAACTCATACCTGCAAAAAGTCACATAAAACAGAAACAAAGTCACGAAGCCTTTGCATAAAGATGAACTTCTCACCAGCAACTGACAAGGACCCTTCAAGAGCAGTAATATTATCCAGCGAGGAAGTTAAGTTCTCGTCAGTTCTCTCTAGTGCTGAAACAGTTCTATCATGGGATTCCTACAGACAGGGAGAAAGATAGGTAAAGTTAGACTACTCATCGGATCATTGCTCTTGCTTGAAACAGAGAACAAAGGTTGCAACTTGTAACTATCATGCCAAGTGAACATAATTGCACAAAAAAACAGAATGATAGCCAAGAAAATAGAGCATACCCGGAGCCTCCTGGCATTATCTTGTAATGCCTTCAAAGCAACATCGGCCTGTTGTGGAATTGTCAAGTTATCCAACCCTTGAGATACCCCAAAACCTCCTCCGATGTCCAGGTACGCACTACTGACCCTATGCTGCTGCTGTGGTAGTGGTGGTGGCGGCATCATCATCGTAGCAGTGTTATGAGAGCTGATACCACCTGCAACAACTCTAGTAGTAGCACTAGCAGAAGCATCATCCATTCTCTTCCCCAAGGCCTTCCCTAACTGCTCTTCTTCCCAAATTTTGTCTTCATCTTCATCATCACCACCTTCGTTAGCAACATCTTCAACCACGTTCGTATATCTGGCCGAAACAGCAGCAGCCGGGGGAAGATGCTCAACATCTTCAAAAACGCCAAGAGTGTTGGCCTCTTTCTTGCCCACCAAAGCAACACGGGTTCTAAGCTCAAGCTCGTCGTCGTCGTCACTCGACCCTTGAGCATCATTAGAAGGTCCATTGAGAGGGATGAAGTCAGGGGCAGAAGCCCTGGATTGCCTCTTCTTCTCCCTCTCTGCCTTAATCTTCCTGATTCTTTCCTCGTCGGGGATGAATCCGGAATTGGATTTCCCCAAACCCATTGACGCCAACCGGTCTTCAAATGGATCGTCATCATCGTCTGCGTTGTTGCTGTTGAGATTATCAGAATCATGGCGGGCTCCCAGGGTTTGGTGGGTGGAGGGAGGAGCGGGCTTGAGAAGGCCCTTCAGAATGATCTTAGGCTCAGAGGAGGCAGGAGAGGGCTTGGAGGAAGGTTTGGCAAGAGTGCGCGTATTCTTTTGGAGCTCGAGAAGGGCTTCCTTTGTGTAAGTCCCGGCCTGGGGAAGGACATTGGAGGCAGTAGCCGGGGAGCTAAGAGGAACTCGGTCCTTGGAGGCGGTGAGCTTGTGGGAGGAACTAGTTTTTCCGAGTCGAGAAGAAGAAGAAGCCGAAGAGGAAGGAGGCTTACGCCTACCAGAAGAGCGGGAAGAAAGATTCAGAGGTGTGACAGCGGCGGAATCGTCGTCTTCCCCTTCGTCGTCGGCGAAACTAAGAAGCTTCTTCGGCTTGGAAGAAGCAGAAGCAGATGAAGGTGCCGGTGGCGCGGGTTTGCGGGATGGAGGCGGTGAAGGGGCGACCGCGGCGGCTTCGTTGGGATTGGAGTCGTCGTGGTCTAGTCGGCGGCGGAAGTTCCTCGATTTGTTGCTAGAGGAGCTCATGATACAGTTGATACTTACCGTCAAGACGGCCGGCGAGGCGAACGGAGAGCTCCCACCTCTCGCTGTGATTTGGTCCAATTCGAATCCGAATGGAGTTTATTGCAGAAAAGAAAAGATCAAAAGAACAAAGAGGGAAGAAATCGCTGAAGAAGAAAGAGAAAGGGAAATGAATTGAGAATGTAGATGGGAAAGAAAGATGGTCAGGGTGGGCTCGTCGTCTTGGGCCTCGGATTCTTTTGTCGGTTTAAAATAATTATGCGGCCTACATCTTGGGCTGTTATCACTGGTCAGGCCTTTACGAATCTGAGCCCTGCTCCATGAAAGATCTATTCGAGTATTTGTTCATCCAGAAGGGTTACACCAAAAAAATCTAGATGGTAAGTGTAACATTTTAAACAAATTTAAGTCGGATAGATAGAATTCCATAAGTTTTGTGGAATTTATTTTGAAATAAAATATTTTTGTGTTTGGTATTTAATAATTTATTTTCAATTCTAAATTTTGAATTCTATAGAATTTGAACTAGTTATAGCAATTCCGATGAATTGAGATGGAATTTCCAAATGAATTACACAAGTATTTACTAATTATAATAGAATGATATAATTATCCTCTTTTATTAACTAAATTACTTATACATATGACATACCAAACACAGAAATTCATTTGACAATGAAAAGGATTTGAATATGACATACCAAACACAAGATTTCATATGACAATGAATTCTACAAGGTAATTCATTTTGAAATAAAATGAATTCTTGATTCATTTAGTACCAAACGATCCGTAAGAAACAATTCAATATTAATTGACAATATTTATTTTGGGAGCAGTACAGGGTTGGGTTACCTCTTAAAAAGTTATTATGATACAACCAAAAATTAGAAAAAGAGTTAGGATGTTACAAATAGTACAAGAGATTTTTTGCATCCTTCTTAATCAATTGCGGAGCAACGAAGTGAGCCTCAATAAGAATGTTAAGTATAAAAAAATTGTGTAATGTGATATTTTAGACAAATTTTAAGTCGATAGACCATAAAAAAGTCCATAAATAATAATAAACTATTCAACTTTAATGGAATACGAGATTATACGAGTCCAATCTTCATTATTCCTAAAACAACCTTGTCTATTCTGAATTTATTATCCTTAAATCAGTTAAAATCAATATAATAGCTTAAAGTGGAAAAAATCCCAAGTTACACATGTTTTTAAAAAAATTCTCAAAATACAAACGTTATGAAAATAATTCCCAATCTACGTTAGTTTGGGCCATCACCGCTGTCGACGAAGACAGTGATTGCATCACTGTTGTCGACGAAGACAGTGATTGCATCACCGCTGTCGACGAAGACAGTGATTGCATCACTGCAGTACACGGCCGCGGTGAAGGCCTGACCTGCGTCGAAACTTTAAACAAACGTAACTTTGTGCTCGGTTATCCGATCGTAGCAAAAATTTTTTTGATTCCGCATAATTTTTCGAGATCTTGCAAGCCGCAAATTACAGTAGGCGGTTTGGTCCCGCCTTCGTCTCGAAAATATGTCGTTTGCTACCCCGAACGAGTCTTTTTTCGATTTCGTCAAACTTTGAACGACCATAACTTTGTGCTCCACAATCCGAAAATCATGATTTTTTTTTATTTCGCATAACTTTTTAAGGACTACAATTTTTATCATAGACATATTTTCGGAATGTACTTGGATTCCTGAAAAGGAAGGTAAAGTTATTCCCAAAATCCCTTATATCCATAAATAATTCATTTTTTGAAAATTCTCTCCTACTAAATATTGTAGTCCTTAAAAATTTATGCGAAATCAAAAAAAAATTCATGATTTTCGGATTGTGGAGCACAAAGTTATGGTCATTCAAAGTTTGACGAAATCGAAAAAAGGCTCGTTCGAAGTAGCAAACGACATATTTTCGAGACGAAGGCGGGATCAGACCGCCTACGGCAATTTGCGGCTTGCAAGATCTCGAAAAATTATGCGGAATCAAAAAAAATTTCGCTACGATCGGATAACCGAGCACAAAGTTACGTTTGTTTAAAGTTTCGACGCAGGTCAGGCCTTCACCGCGGCCGTCGACAGCGGTGATGCAATCACTCTCTTCGTCGACAGCGGTGATGCAATCACTGTCTTCGCCGACAGCGGTGATGACCCAAACTAACGTAGATTGGGAATTATTTTCATAACGTTTGTATTTTGAGAATTTTTTTTAAAAACATGTGTAACTTGGGATTTTTTCCGCTTAAAAGTCAAATTCTTTGCCTTTATTCGGATTTCGGACACTCCATTGGACGCTTCAAAAGCTTCCTATACTATAAAAGGCAGTTGTTGAAGAAGAGCAAGTCTGAAGTTCTTTCTCTGATCATTAACAATTTAACACTCAACAAGAGCTAACCTACAAAGATTCTTTCCTTCCAGAATTAGGGTTCCCTATTGGATCGAATCGAACTTACAGCAATTGTTGGTACAATAATGGAGGTCATCAGAAGGGCATCTCATGCTGGCTCATGGTACACCGATAATCGTAAGTTTTAAGCCACTCCTCTTCCCTTTCCACAATCGCTATCTGGTCCAACTCTGCAATCTGTGGAACTAAAGGTTGAATTTAGGGGTTTAGGGGAAACTTGAATGTGGAAGCTTAATCGAATTGTTATCATGTTGCTATTATGGAGGGTTCTGTTGCAGTTGATCGAGCAATGAAATGTAGATGTCGAAACTTGGAAAGCCGTCTAATTTGTGATTCTATGTCACCCCAGCTCCCTTAACAAAGGGCAGTAATTGACGAATTGTGATATTGTTTTCATGTTACATCCGCAGCTAGAAAGCTCGAAGAAGAACTCGATGGGTGGCTGAATGCTGCTGGATTGCCAAAGTCATCTGATGTTCGTGGAGTCATTGCTCCGTATGTTTATTCTTCAACCTTTTCTTTTCAATTGTCCCTTTGGGTTGGCCAATTTTCCTTGAATTCTATGGCTCTGGCTCTCACAGGCACGCAGGTTACTCGTATTCTGGCCGCGCAGCAGCTTATGCATTTGGAAATATCGACCCTACTAACATGTGCGTTGCCCTTCTTCTTACTTTGTATCTTCGTTTCTTTGGGCACGTTTCGTAGCATGCAGCGAGTGAATGCTATTCTGGCAAGATTGGTTTGGTTGCTTAATCTTAAGACTCTGATGGTTTGATGCTGATACGTGGGTGTTTCAGTTCTCGGGTATTCCTTCTTGGTCCATCTCATCACTATTATACTCCCAAATGTGCTTTGTCAACTGCGACGGTTTACAAAACTCCAATTGGGGACTTACCTATTGATCAGGAAGGTAATTCAGATATGTGTTGGATCACACATTCAGTAGTGCCATGTTTGATGTGCATAGGGGTTACTGCAGAATTGTTAGGTTGTTGGGATATAGAAGAATCTATATAAGCTAGGAATTTCGATAGAAAATGGGGTAGGAAGAAATGCCACACTAGTTGGTGATAAGGCCTGATAGATATTAGGGCTCAAATACTTTTTCTAGAGTTCAAAATATTCTAAGAAATCTCATACTTTCAAAGAGATTCTAAATAATTAAAGAAGCACTCTCACCTGCATAGGAATCAATCCTAAAGGCAATATGAAATCAAATGCAAAATCATGGCTCTTCTGCCACTTGTTTACGGAGGATTGTAGTAGAAAGTGCCGATTGCTGAACACGCTTTTGAAGATGCGGTTTGGTTCCCCATTGCATGTGCAATGATGTGTGCAATTCTGCTAAGTATCTTACTAATCAAATGATGCTCTTGTGTCCCACCCTTTCAGTGATTGAGGAGCTTAAAGCTACAGGAAAATTCGAGTTGATGGATCTTCGTGTCGACGAGGCAGAACATAGCATGGAGATGCACTTACCTTATTTGGCCAAAGTATTTAAAGGGTAATTGTCTTCTGATCTGGATGTGCCTTTGCCGCTTTCCCTTTGTTGCTTTTGTAGCTTGGTAATTAACCTACACTTCCGCTGCAGGCACCAAGTGAAGGTTGTACCGATTCTGGTTGGTGCTTTAAATGCCGAGAGTGAAGCCAAGTACGGGAAGTTGCTGGAAAAATACATCGATGATCCCAAAAACTTCTTTTCTGTGTCCTCAGATTTCTGCCACTGGGGCACACGGTACATATCATCCACATCTTACTTGGTTGACTACTTTCCTTTCAGCATTATTTCTTCCTTTAAGGTATGGTTTTTTATTTGAAGCTGCTTTGGGGCACTTACCATAGTTGGTTAACTTTGGGGATAACCCTAGCATATAAAACGACTCTTTGGTGATACTGACCATCTCCTTACGTTGAAGCTCGTTCACGAATATTTGTTCCTTACTTAACTGTGCATTGCTGCTTAGGTTCAATTACACACACTATGACAACAAACATGGTGCGATATACAAGTCCATTGAGGCCCTGGATAAGATGGGCATGGACATTATCGAGACAGGAGACCCAGATTCATTCAAAAAGTATTTGCTGGAGTTTGAGAATACCATCTGTGGACGCCATCCCATCGGTGTTTTCCTCCATGTAAGTGCCTCCTAACATCAGCCAAAACCTTTGTCCAAATTCCACTATGATTGATCTAGAGTGAAGTTGTTCATTCCTTTGACGTGGCTTCGGTGAACTGGAAGGACTGTAGTATCTATTAGTCAGCTAATCACTTCTGTAGGATGGCTAGCATCTCACCATGTATATCATTGAACTGTGATTCAGATGACAAAGATCTGCTCAACTAAGATAAAGATACAGTTCCTTCGATACGAGCAATCGAGTCGGTGCAAAACCATGAGAGAGAGCAGCGTCAGCTACGCATCTGCAGTAGCAAAGGTGGATGGCGAGTGAAAGATGGTGCAGAACAGTAGAAGTGTGGTCTGTAATTTGTGTGGAAATATGTTCCTGCGAATTTGGAAAGACGAAAGACGAGCATTAATTGCATATTAATAGTGGGCCGGCAACGCAAGAACGAAGTTGTGACTTTTGTCCATTACATACATGCCACAATTCCAGTGTCAATTATGCAAATGATCACTAAACCTTAACTTTTAACAGAATGATCACTCAATTTTACACCTTGAATCACATTGGTTACTCAATTTCGACGGGATGGCAACGAGGTTTGATATACTATTGCTTTTCAAAAGTTTGAATCCCTCGACGACACTGTCTTGTTTGCGCGTGCTTATTTTATCTACAAACGTTGGTTCGCCCCAGTCTTCAACTAGAGGAGAAGAAGAAGAAGAAATCAACTAACGCAAATCCGCCTAAGCAAATGAAGGAAGTTGGGACCAAAATGACCACAAGATATGGTTACAAAGCTCAAATCATCACCCTCCGTGGGTTATACCAAGCAAGCCAAATAACCAAGATAACTGATCTCTTGTCTAACACATTAAAGGGAGAGTTCTACGAAGTTGGCTTCTTTCTCAAACCGCATCATCTGAACAATCCACCCACCATTCAGTACCTGGACCTGGAGGCTCAATCACCACGACTTCACCACTTGTTAGTCCCACTACAAACTGGTCTGGCTTTTGCGGGTGAGCTGCAATGGAGGCAGGATAAACATCCAAGCTGCAGATCCCAAAGCAAAAACGAGCAAACACCTTTAGGTATCCATGGCAGATGAATGATACTCGGTTCCAACATTCAAAAAATTAGAAAATATGACATTTGAGGCTTGGAGACTATTGATTGAGAACATTTGCTGCATCAGGCGTACCTTGAACTAGAAGGAAGAATAGTGTGAAGAGCAATCTGACAAAACAACTGGAGAGATGATGAAGCAAATATGCCCACAGTCCCATCCATAAAGCCAGCGTATACTTTGTGGCCGTCACATGAAAATGTAGCCCCAGAAATTGGGGTGGAATCTCCAGGAATCCACTGCAAGTATATAACAGAAGATGTTGATGCTCATCAATCATCATCCTTTTTTGACGTAATAGTACAAACTACAAAGAATAAAATGGGTACCTTCGCATCACATTCTAAGTTGTGGGCCGACAGGACTCCCATATAGGACTTGTGTACTACAAGGAGTTGTGTCTGGTCAGGGTGAAATTGGACACTGGTATCTGACTCCACTCCATCTGGAAACTCCAGCAATCTTCTGCTTCCTTGTCTTGCAAAGTTTTCAGCATCCCATACAATAATCTACAAATCAAACAAACGTGATTCGTATAGCAGGCAGCAGAAGATGCAAATAGAGATCAAATTCGACTTTTAATCACCAGAACACAATGTTGAAGAAATAAACGAGCAGAAACATGGAAAAGAGAGGGTGATTCGATGTAGATGCTATGAAACAAGAATGCTAACCTGAGCATCTGCTGCAGTAGACACCAGCATGTTCAGAGTGTTTGAAAAGGCAAGCCCAGAGATCCTTCCAGTATGACCAGACAGTACACTAACAGTCTGCATAAAAATCCTTCAGGAATTAGGAAAGGCTTGCCTGGCCTTTTCCTGTTCTGGATGTCATTCATGGCAGGAGGAAGACATACCTTGTTGAGACGGACGTTGTAGGTAAGAATTGTGGAATCAGCCCTCCCTATGGCAACAATGTTGTTATCTATGGGGTGGAAAGCAAGACATGTAGCTGCCGAGGACGGAGGCGTGATAGACACCATAGTCTTTGGATATCGCCCAAGGGTGTTAACAGCAAGAAAAGAAGCCCAGATTTGATGAAGTCGATGCAAAGTGCAAAATAATTGGTTTTGCATGTTTTAAATTCTACCAGTGAGTGAATACAATGTGGTTTTGGTTATGGTTTCTTTTTTTTACCTTGAATGTTAGCACGTTGAAAAGGGAAATTTTCCCTCCTGATGATGATATGAGATAGCAATCATTCTTTGACAAAGCAAAACATGGGATAGCCTCAGGGTTTGCAGTAAGTTCGTTTTTCATCAGTGTTGTTGAGGAGTTCCTTCGTTTCACTAGTTCAGGAGGAACTTTGGCAGTTGCCTGCATTAAACATTGACCCAGATAACGAGACTAAAGCAGAAATTTTCAAACAGAGAATGAAATTGTTCAGATGTGTTGTCTATCTCACCTGCCCGGTCAAATTGAGAACATTAACTGGCCATTTCCATAACAAATGAATCCCATTTGATGCTAATGCCAAAACAGCATTACCTGCACTCCCGTAAATCAACCTTGATATCTGCATTAGTCCCAGAGAAACAATGTCAATGTTATTTTAACCATCTCATTCACATTTGTAACACGAGCAATACGGAAAATGGATGGAGGACCACATGTTATCCCCAGTTCTCGAGACAGAGGTACCACAGGTGCACATGGACAAAACTGACAACAATTTGAAATCATAAGAGGATCAAACAAAGGATGAGTGTAATGGGGGCTATAACTATATATCGAAATGGATAAACAGTAATCTTATGATATATCAGTGCTTAAAACATTAAGTCAATAATTAATTGCGGGGTCAAAAGACTTACAAAGCAAATAAAAAAATTTGAAAACGCTGACACTACTGGAAGATCTAACCTTCTCTACATTCACATGAGAAGGCAGTAACAAGCTTTGGCATTGAGAACGTCTGTAGGATTCAAAAGGTTTCCTACTTTTTCCTGTATTATCTTCCTCAGTAAGGTTCAAATTCAAAGCCTCCCTGTTTACTGTGTCTCCTTCCTGCAAAAAAAAAAAATACTTAACTTGGCTCATAGTAACTACAGAAGCAGTTTCTAGTTCTTAAAACTTGCCAGGAAAAAATCTATCAACATCATCTCCTGCATATCAACCATTCAAAATGCTATTTGCAATATGCATGATGTCACAACACGGGAAGTGTATTGTATAAAATTAAGATAAGTTACTGTGTTAAGCTTAACAAAGATGAGGAAGAATGTGCTGACCTCCCCAACCACTCTGGAAGACCCTTGAGAACCACTTCCACATATACCAAGCAACTGAAGACCACTATCACTTGCCAAGACCTTGATTTTGTTTTCTTTTGCATAAACAGCCAAGAGGGTTCCATCCTTATTGAATCGTATTTGTGGGTTTTCCTTAATCATAGCAGAGAATTGTCAGAGTATGATCAAACTCAGGTTTGGTTGTTTAGTACTTGTATCAGCAAATTAGGCCAACAAAACGAACCATGCAAAAACTTACAGGTAAGCCTCCCTCGGCATCAATAGTTGTCAAAACATCATCATTGTCCAAATTCCAAACCTTGATTACATTTTCTTCCCCAGCAGCCACAAACTGGTTCTTCAATATATCAAACTTAACTGCACCTGCAGAACTCTTCTGCAATCCTCGGTAGCTTCTTTTGATAGCTCCTTCACTTTCATCCCATTCAACAAGGAATGACTCTCCAGAACTACTGGTTCCACAAGAAAGAAGCCTACAAAAAATTTACTACAACATTAACTCCATAACTTAAAATCAAGTCATTGGAAGAAAGTATAGTCCAAGAGAGCTTTGGCAACCTTTGACCATCAGAAGTGTAAGCCATTGATGTCCTAGCCCGACCAGGGGCATCATAATCGACTCTAGGTCCCAAATCATCATAGAGCCATGCTTTTATGTTTCCATCCACTGAAGTGGAAAAGAAGAACTGAAAATACAAAATAAAAATGATCTTATAGAAGATATCCAAATGAATGAAACCAGAATGATTCATATCACTAACACTGGAAAACTACCAAATACATTTAAGTGTTACTATTACATGAATGTTGTTCTTGGTGCGGGGGCAGAGTGAATAAACTGATGCATTGTGGCCTTCAAATTTATAGATTCTACCACCAGTGGTCATGTCCCATGCCTACAACAAAAATGAGTTACATAAATGAGTTTCTTCAGATTCCAATAATTCAATTCTAGGTTACCAGTGAACTAACCTGAATTGCTCCATCGTCACCACATGTTATGACTAAAAGTTGTTTATGAGGGGCAGCAAATGCAAGATCATTGACACCACCAACATGAGCATCGATCTTAATAAAGAAATCAACAATGAAAAAGTTATTGAGCTTATAATAATGACCGTCATTGTTAGAGAAGGACAATAGAGAATTGTGTGAAACTTACTTCCAGTTTCTGCCGCACGTCGTTGCCACCATGGTAAGCATACATCTGTACTATGTGTTTTGAATATGCAACACCTATTTAAACAAATGGAAACCAAGTTTAAACTTGTGAATTGAAAAAAAGCCAAATTCAAAACGGTTGTTCCATTATCCATAGACATACCAAAAATAGAGCCATCAGGACTCCAAGCAGCGCGGTTGACAGACATTCGCGGATCTTTAAGCAGAGCAGTCTGGAAAATATGACGAAACTGGTTTAGTCCATTGAAGTACTTTCCTGCTAAGGAAGATAATGCTTCATGTATAAACAAACCTTGAATGCCATTGTGCATGCACTTATATCCCAAACCTTGAAATTCCCTCCAAACAACTTTTGACCAGAAGCGACCTCCCACAAACTTATGTCTCCCGTGCTAGTTCCAACTGCAGTTCCAGAATAAAAACTTGTTTAAGTAACATCAAGTCCAATCAAAGTACTTCTCCAAGAGCATTTCTAATAGCCAAACCTAGTAGAAGAGTATGCTGAGCAGGATGGAAGTCCATGCTTGTTTGAGATGAGTCCTCAGTCAATATTTTCACGACCTTCTTTGGAAAGTCAGTGATGCTTGTCAGTCGATGACTCCCAAGCACAGAGTTTCCTGTATGATTCTCACGCAAATCAACAGGAGAAACCACAGAACTTTGACCAGAGGGAGTAACGTTTTGTGTGTCCTACAAATCATTTGAAATCAGTAAAAGCAAAGAAAACGTTAATAATGAGCACTGGTCATCAAAATGGAAATTGATCCCGTTGTACCCTATCAGCTGTGAGATATGATGATTTTTGGGATGCAGCGTCTGTCTCAAGATGATCCGTGGTGGCCACTGGCAAGCAGTAAATAATTGGTATTAAAATGAACATTAACTCACATATTAAAAGAACGAAGCTTAATCAAAAGAAACACAAAAAGTCCAAGACAAGAAGGTCAGTACCAGGGCAAAGGGTGGCACCAGAGATCCCAGAGTTAGTAACAGTTGAAGTCACACTGGCAGATGCACACTAAATTCGAACAATAAAAAGAAAAAACAATTGAAAACTATTAGCCAGATGCGAAAATTGAATTCACTGTGAACCATAGTTCGTCCACTCTGAAATAAGAAAGCCATCAACTATGATTCTATGACTAGCATATCATACCTTAGGAATAACAGCATTCAACAAGAAAGGAATATGTTCATGCGGAGGTGTACAAACATGATCCACAAAAAGGGTTCTTATATCAGGATTTGGCTGGGGATCTTTACATTGTAAATGCTGCCAATTCAAGCTGTCAAACCAACTTTCAACTATCAGTTACCTCTCAATTTGAAACCAGTATGCAGCAATCATGAAAATTAAACTATGATTCTGCAAACTAGTTACAGATTCCACAAAGCAATGTGACAGCGAGAAACTATTAGCCCATTATATGCACATGTACCATCACACAGTCCAAATAAATATTCTATTTATCTCACTTGTATGTAGCAGAGAATCTAACCTTTGGTTAATAAGACGCCGTAACCTTTGAGTTCTGATGCTGGGAAAATCCACTTTTCCATGAAAAATGGGATTCGCCCTGATGATTTTCTTGAGTTCTTGCACCACAATTGTTCTTGCAGTTTCAGTATCACCATACATTGAGAGTGACCCATGTTCCCTATCCAAGCATCAAATGTAAAAAATTCTAGCTACCTTAGAAAGTCTACAGCCACTTGCATCCATTTTCAATATTTTGAAAGGAGAAAGAAAATGAATAGGAACTCACACCTTATATTGTTTAAGGTCAAGAGCTGTGTCATCTCGTTGTACAATTCCTTGTTATCCGAGGAAAAAACTTTCAAATCATTGAAGAGGATGTCTAATGCCTTGGCTCTATCATTGCTGTAAAGAAAACAACAAACCTGATGATGATCCCATTATCTTCCTAAAGGAAATCATAACAGTAATAAAAAATAAAAAATAAAAACGAAGACCATTGGGTGCTTACTTATCTAATGACTCGAGGAAATTCTGCTTCCTCATTTCAAAATAGATCTTGGTTGAGTACTTATTATCCTCAAACTTAGTGAACCCAGAAAGATACTTCTCAGCCCCAACCCAGTCCCCCTTTAGAACCAATTCCTCAAAATGCTCCATATTGAAGAAATAACCGCTACTCCGCTCGAGCCTACCATAACATACCATTAAAATTTTGGAATTCACAATCCATGTAAGACATTTACAGAAACAGTGTGGATCTGGAAGAGAGGTAATCAATGAAAAGAAAATTCAACATACACTCGAGCAGCCTCTTTAAAACCTTCTTCCTCAAGGAACTGCAGGATCAAGAAGACCAGCTCCTTACCGAGAGTCGTCATCCTCCCCAAACGGAGACCCTAAAATTCATATAAGAAAACATCAAATTAGAGAAAATCAATCCAATAACCATCCAATCGTCAAACTCTCAGCTTATACTAGTTTTTTTTCTTCCATCCTCCTTCCTTTAATCATCGGGGAAGAAGAGAAGTCCAGACAGTAGAATTCAGTCGTCCGACTCATCGACGAACGGAAAGAATTCGATCAGTTGCGTTCAGTCAGAGCGATAACACTAAGCAACTGAATTCCGATCAACGGAGACGAAGGATTAACGAGAAATGAAATCGCCAGATACGCAAAGAGAAAAAGGATCGACAATTGGTTACCTGATTATTGACCGATTCCGCGCTGATGAAGTGAGGCTGGCAGGAACTGAAGAGCTCTGCGATTGCCGTTTCGATTTCTGCTTCGGAAACAAAAAAAAAACGGAAGCGCAAACACAGTGTTGCTCTCGTGGCTCTGCTTCTTTAGTCTTTACTTTCTCGGACCAGCACTTTCTCTCTCTCTCTCTCCAGTGTGGCGGAGTGTGTGATGGTATTTATATATGAGCTGATGCACGCTACACGATAAGCGAACATGATAAGCAAGGTGACTTTTGATAAGAGCTCCTCAGCGGATACCACGCTCAGGTTTTTCCACTCGAGGGTAACGACGAAAATGCGGGCCCACTTGGTTTTACCCGCCTTTTAATAGGGAAAAATCCAAACTAGTCCCTCTTCTCATCTAAAATTGCTTCCCAAGTCCCCACTTCCCGGCCTAGAAGTTGGTCAGTTACCGCCTTCCTTTTTGTGGGCCTTAGATCACGCAACCTTCCCTTGAATTCCAGCTAGGCTGGACCATGACCGAAGCCCAAACAAAACACACCTAAAATGAAGTGGCTGCTGGGCCCTCAACTTTAATCGGATAAAAATGGACAACAGTAGGCCCGCTAGTCGTATTTATGAAAGCTAAGTGATGAAGTTTGTGTAAATTTATCGAATTTTTTTGTTATTATACTTCTAATATATTTTGAATAGTTAGTCTCACCAAATTGATCGCTGATGCAATTTCACAAAAAAAAAAAAGGATTTGTTTGCTGCTCCGCTGTGATTTCGATTATCAACGTTAGAGAAGTGTGATTCGTTGGTGATTTGGAAATGACAAAACATTGGGGACTAAATGATTGAATAAGTAAAGGAGGTTAAACGCCAAAAAGTCAAATTGTAGTGTGCAGACAAGACAGACAGACAATACCTGGGGGGAGCTCTCTCTGTCTTCTGACCTGTCCAGCTGCCTAATCCCAACCTGCCGTACTGGCAAATTAGGACTTGCAAGGATTTAGAATTGGGATTAAGAAGGCTAATCAATTATTAGTTAACAAGTTGATTTTCCTAGGTGGAACTATTAGTATAGTTGAACCCATTATTACACTGATTCAACCTATATGGCTATATCTATATAAATGTTATGTTGACGCACACTCTCTTTGGAACGAAATGTTCACATCTTCAGTGTGTATCGTGAGGACAAATTAGCAGTTGATTGCCTTGACTTTTAGGAACCGTCATCGATCATTAAAATTTTAATATCATTGATAGCTAGTCTAGATGTTTAACTTATTGACTTATGTATGATACTATTCGACATGTCTAATTTTATTTATCCGTTTGAACTTGTGTTTGTATAATCTTATTGCACTCTCATTACTTGCTTGTGTGTCTTGTTTGTCCCCTTCTCTCATTCTGTTTCTTTTCAACTTGCAATGAAATTCTTTTGATAGTAAGAACGACAAAGAAACCACAAAGCTTACAATATTAATAATAAAAAAACAGTATGTAGATCTAACTTGATAGTCTGATTGGACCACACATTTATAAATATATTTTAGTGTTAATGTGAGATCTTCCAACAGAGTCTTCACCTCCACTTCAATGAGGTGAAACAAAGGAATGTATCGACTCGTCCATCACATACATATTCACATTGATTAACGTCCATAACACTATAAACCTTTTTGAACGATACACCATAAACCACCTGCTGAAACTCGCTTCATAACTTGAAAAAAAAAAAAAAAACAACTAAGAGGGGATTATTAACAGCAGAAAATAATATATTGAAACAATTGTCGCATTACCAGAAAAGGATGGCCGCAGAGATATTTTAGTCAAATGATTCCCATATGCATAATGATAATAATTTCTATCTCAATTAGACAACCACCATGTCTCTACCACTCCCTCTAATCATCCAAAAAATTGAAGCTTACGTTTATATATAACAGCAACCTACGGTCCAAAAGAGCAAGGAAAAAGAAATCTCAGTTGCTAGTACATTTTTTTTTTCATGATCATAAATAATATGGGTGGTTCATCTTCCTCGACCGGGCTCTGCCTGCTGCTGAGTTTGCTGATTCACAGCTCCATCTTCTTCTTCGTGGCTTCGCAGAGCACGACAGCGGCGGTTGAAGGGACGGTGTTCATCAATGGAAGCTCGAGAATCGGGAGGACGAACCCAAATTTCATATGTGCAACTCTCGACTGGTGGCCGCCGGAGAAATGTGACTATGGAACTTGCAGCTGGGGAAGAGCTTCTCTTCTTAACCTGGTCAGCCTTTGATTCTCTTTGACCTTCTTTTGTGAGTTTATTCATTTGTTGAATCGGGTTGGATTTGTTGTTGGATGGTGGCAGGTGTATGCACTGCACCATACTTTTAAGCGTTTTTTTTATTATTCGAATATCGTTTTCGGATAATTGCGGTGTATGCGAGATGCAAGAAAAAAATATGAGTGATTGTAGTGTTTCTGCGTACTATACACGTACCATAATCCTATTTGATTGAAAACCCTGATGGCCGAGAAGACATAAACACCTGTTTATATTTAATCCATTAAAAAAATAAAGTGTAGTGCTCTACGATTTGATTAGCATGTTAAATGAGTATGTGTGAGTATTGTCTAGCATCTTCGAATAGCGTGGTTAATCAATGTCCATCGCTAGATTTATACAACAATCTGAATGATGTCAACATGTACATACACTCAACACTTAATAATTAGACTATGCAATATAATAGCGTCAAATTGTCATTAATTACATGGAAGTACAGTTTCGAAGAGCATCATTCATATATTTCCTTCTTCTGACTATTTCCTCCGAATCTCAACTCTCTGCAGGATCTTACCAACCCTCTGTTACTCAACGCCATTAAAGGTACACAAGGAATAAGAACAGAGCATAACAGGCTGTGCCTTGATTCCTTTCTTTTTATAATTTTTTTATTTGTTCAACGTTTCCAGCCTTCTCTCCTCTGAAGATCAGATTGGGGGGTACCCTACAAGATAAGGTCATATACGAGACTCAACAACAGGCTTGCCCTGCTTCATTCATCAAGAGCTCTTCAGAAATGTTTGGTTTCTCCCAGGGCTGCTTGCCCATGTCGAGATGGGACGAACTCAACTCTTTCTTCAGGAAAGCTGGGTACAATACAGTAACCATACACTTCCCCCTTTCTGCAAGTTAACATTGTCAACGAAGTCATTTGCACGACTCAGATCGTTCAACTTGGTGCTGCATTTTTGAGAATGCAGGGCAGCGGTTGTATTCGGGTTAAACGCGCTGAACGGTAGGACAATAGCTTCTGATGGTTCAGCAGCAGGAGCGTGGAACTCGAGCAATGCGGAGGCTCTGATAAGATATACAGTGAAGAAAAATTTCGCCATCTTTGGTTGGGAGCTCGGGAATGAGCTTAGTGGGAGCGGAATTGGGACCAGTGTGGCCCCAGACCAGTACGCATCTGATATAACCAACCTGCACGATATCGTGAGGAGAACTTATGCGAGGTTCGGGAAGAGGATGAAGAAGCCACTGGTTTTGGCGCCTGGAGGGTTTTACGACGCGAATTGGCTCACACAGTTCATAAATAAAACACCTAAGAACTCCCTTCAGGTTGTCACTCATCATATCTATAACCTGGGACCAGGTATTGTTGGAACAGAAGAGTTGACCATCCCTGAGCCTAGTTATTTGATTTCATTCGTCTTTTACTCCACATACAGTATTTTTCTGAAAGTTCACTATGGAAATCAGGTGTTGATACTCACTTGGTTGACAAGATTCTGGATCCATCGTACCTCGATGGTGGCTCGTCGCCTTTCAGTGGACTGCAAGGAATCTTGAAGACCACAGGGAGTTCAGCTGTTGCTTGGGTTGGTGAGGCCGGTGGTGCCTACAACAGCGGTCATAATCTAGTCACGAATGCATTTGTGTTCAGTTTCTGGTACTAAGCCTATAACACAGTTGCCAGAGTTCCCTTTCATCTTCACACTATCAGATCCTTGAAATATTGATGCCGTACTCTGCTGCACCTGACAGGTACCTGGATCAGCTAGGAATGGCGGCATCCTACAACACCAAAACTTACTGTAGGCAGTCACTGATCGGAGGGAATTATGGCCTGCTCAACACTACCAACTTCGTTCCGAACCCAGATTACTACAGGTGAGAATTCCTGAAACCATGGAATAGAAAAAAAATAGTACCCAGTTTTTTTCCCCTGCGGCAATCTAAGACCTTATCTATCAATCTCTGCTGTTTAAAGTGCACTGCTGTGGCACCGTTTGATGGGAACAAAGGTGCTTTCCACGAGCTTCTCTGGAACCAAGAAAATACGTGCTTATGCTCACTGTTCAAAGGAATCTGTAAGTGAAGTTTAACCCTGAAACTAAACGTAGAAAGGAATCACAGTGGTTCATATCAAGCTGACTAATTTATACTGGAAATATATGAATGCAGCAAGGAATCACATTACTTTTGATCAACCTTGACAGTAACACGACAGCTAATGTGCGTGTTTCGACTGAAAATGCCATCACTGTTCGGACAGCTCGGCGACATCACCAAAATCGAAGATCAAAATTCACTAGGATGTCAAGCGGTTCCAAAGCTAATGCACATGCAAGAGAGGAATACCACTTGACCGCTAATGGTAATGATTTACACAGTCAGACAGTACTTCTGAACGGGAAAGTACTTGCAGTGAATAATACATCTGGATCTATACCTCTTCTGGAACCGGTTCAGGCCAGACTTTCGGACCCAATAACCATTGCACCTTTCTCTATTGTATTTGCTCACATTGCCAATGTAACCGTTCCAGCCTGTAAGTAAAAAGGAGAAAACAGATAGATTGGTTAGTTGAATAAGACTGAAATTGTTCTGTTTAACAGTTGTATCTCTTCCTGAAATGTCAATTCAAAGCCTGGAAGAACTTTCCCAAGTCTTATGATGAAGACAACTAAAAAAGGATGCATAAATTAGAGGAGAAAGAATACCTAATCGGAATCAAGAAGATGTGTAGTTAATCTTTAAGAGTTCAATACCGAGAAGGAAACATCAAGGTGTGCCAATTTCCAGCTCTTGCAACGCGAGTGGGACAGCCGGTCTCCAGGTAGTCCCATCTGGATTATCCATAAGAGCAATTCCAACAGTAGATAACTCTTTTCTGATGGCATCTGATTTTTCATAGTCTTTGTTCTTTCTTGCTTCAGTCCTTTCGTGAATCTTCTGAATAACCTGGTCTTCTGTTAACTTGGCACGCCTCAATGCCTTTTCCTTTAACTGCTGAAGAACCTGCATGAGAAACAGTTTGCAGTAAGGAGAGAGTAAGTCAGAGGTTTCTTAGCGCAGAAGAACTACACCCAAAAAAATTCAGGAAACAAAGTGGTTGAGAAGGCATAATAAATTGAAGGACGGAAAAGTAGAAATAAAAGGAAAAATTCTAAAGTAAAATGGAAGAAGACGCATGGGATAAATACACAGAACAAGCGAACTCAATGATTCTCGCTACTTAATAATGCAAACTGGTTACAAGAACAGCCTCACTACTACCAAGATGGTAGGCTTACCTCTGAATAAGTTGTTGGCATCAGCCCCAGGATGGTTAGGACTTTCTGGACTATCTTTCCTAGTCCAGAGAGTGATTCTATTCTCTTTGCTTGCTTCTTTCCCTGCATTGATCAATTAAAATAATGTTACAATCACCAGGGAGGTTGACAGCATAACATGCTCTCTCCTAAATTTTCACTTTTACTAATGCTTGGGATATAGAGGCCAAATACAACAAACTTCAGTGGAAACTACAAACGAATATTTTTATGTTTACAAAGTGACAAAGTCGGGTCAATTCTGCAGCATTGATTTCCTGAAAATTGATGTCATGTCAAAGTAGGCTGAGATATTTATGGCACAGTCTGGACTCAATTACCTTGCGTGTGTGCAGCATATCGTTGATGATTTTCAATGGGTCAGATATAGCAGCTAAAACAACAGGGGTATGGAGATCATCAGACATTGAGGCTGCAAACAGATCATTGAATTTCACTATACAATTCATCGTATCAGGAGGAATTGCACTGTCCTCAGAACCTGCATCTTGCTCTCCGATTACATTCTCACAATCATATAATGTCTGCAACCAAATGAACAACCCAAGTCAGATTAAAGTAACATTTAGAAACATGGTAGTCTCTAATATCCCATCAATAACATGGGATTAAATAGAAAAAAATTCCCGAATCAAACTAAGAAAAGGGTCATTATCAACATCACGGCCATAGAACCAGATAACGCGTGAATCCAGGGCACAAATCCAGGACATAACGGATATAATAGAGAGAGAAATTTGTATGTTCAAGCACCTGATAAATGTAAAAGATACGGTCAGAAGCATTCTCAAGCAGTGCATCGGAATAATTTATTGGAGATCTGTAATGGGTACCCAACAAGAAAAGCCTCACTGCTAAGGGATGGTATAGATCTATAACCTGGGAAACAAAAATATATATGCATAGGCATTAGCAGCATGATTATTCAAAATCACTATAATCATAAGTTCACTAGGAGCCAAAAGTTCAAATCATTTAAAAGGAAATTCACTACCTGCCTAATTGTGAAAAAATTTCCTAGAGATTTTGACATTTTCTCTGAATCAACTGTGACGAATCCATTGTGAACCCAATAGCTTATATTACTATCTCCACAAGCAGCACAGCTCTGAGCAATCTCATTTTCATGGTGCGGAAACACAAGATCCATTCCTCCACCGTGTATGTCGAAGGAATGACCCAGATAAGCAGCACTCATGGCACTGCACTCAATATGCCATCCAGGTCTTCCAGGGCCCCAAGGACTCTGCCAAGATGGCTCACCCTCCTTCGCGGACTGAGAATGTCAAAAAGGCATAATGCAGCAAAATGTCGATTGAGAAAACCAGTTTTGAGGGAAAGCATAGATATATTATCATGTACAAATTATTAAACTTGGAATATTATACTAACCATCAACTAAAGAATATTGCACAAATAATGAGCATCATAAAGACAGAAATTTAGGTGCACACATTTGAATAAAAAAAGTGCCCAGCATGATCTCTTACAAGATAAAATTACAAAGGCACATCTAAATACATCCTGTCAATACCAAGAGAAGGATATATTACAAAGTAACACGTTTACTAGAAAACTATTACCTTCCACAAAGCAAAATCAGCAGGATTCCTTTTTCTTGTGTCAACAGCTACCCGCTCACCTGCTCGGTTATCTTCTAGTTTTCTTCCAGACAAACGTCCATACTGTGGGAACTTGTCCACAGAGAAGTAGACGTCTCCGTCAATTCTGTAGGCACACCCATTATCAAGAATCTGATAAGATAACAAGTCAAGAAATAGTTACTATACATAAAAAAAAACACTGGCAGATGATGTGTAACTGATAGAAAAAAAGGAGTCCGCTGTTGGAAAGGAAGTTAACTTACTACCGTAAGTAAAGCACAAGTCTTTATGAATGACAAATTTCTCGCTTAGAAAGGTGTGGGTGCAGAGATGTGTACATTTCAAAGTGCAGAAAGAATAAGCGATTGAAAGCTAATACTGTTGCTCATAAATGGTAATACACAATCGATTCACATAAAAAGGAACCCGCATTCTGAAAATTCACTGCTGAGGTACCTTATTGATCATGTCAACAATTTGAGGCATGTGATCTGATACTCGGGGCTCAACAGAAGGAGGCAGGCAATGAAGAGAAACCATATCCTGGTGGAATTCCTCACAGTATCTTCTACTCAAACTGATTGGATCCTCCCCCACTTCATTCGCTCGTGCAATTATCTACATAGTTTGAAAATCAAATTCAGTAGCCAGCCAAGCTGAAGCCTGAAAAATTCACAATTTCACTGCTTAGAAAGTTTGGTCTAGGAATCGAAGTTTCGGTGAACTTACCTTATCATCAACATCCGTGAAATTGCGAACATAGGACACATCATATCCCAAATGCCTTAGATATCTGCCTAATTCCCAACCACAAAGCCAAAGACCTAATCAATCACCAGCTTCAAAATTCACAGGGAACTTACAATTGAACGGAGATAGCGGTAAGGAGGACCTGTAGAGCACATCGAAGGTGACATAAACCCGGGCATGGCCGATATGGCTGAGATCGTAGGCGGTGACGCCGCAGACGTACATTCCAACTTTACCGTCCAATTTCGACTTGAACAACTCCTTTTTCCTCGTCATTGTGTTGTAAAGCCACAGCTCCGATGGAGGACTCGCTGCGCCGTCGCCACTGGTTGGACCGGAGTTGTTCTCGTTGAGTACCGGAAGGGATGAAGTGAGCGAACTGAAGAAGGAAAAGAATTGCCTTCTCTTTCCGGTGACCGGAACGGTCCGGGGAGGACGAGTGCGGTTAGGAGCATAACGGAACGGTGGGATTGTGAACGGCGAGGTGAATCGGATAGAGGAGCAGAGGGGTTTGTAGTACTTGAACAGAGTAGCCATGTTTATTTTCGGTTCGCGGTGGTTTGCGAGCCAAGCGGCTCTCATAGTCTCATATCGTCTTCTCGCTTAGGTAGTTAGGTAAGTTTATCAAGGTTGTAAAACCGGTTCGATTTAAGTAAGTGGTATTGTCTGATCGAGGTACAACTAGTTTAAATACTAAATTATTTATGTCAGTTGTAACTTCTAACAATACTTGTGAGGATATTTCAAGACAATCTTTCACTAATTTTACATTCATATTTAAATATAACATCGTATATAAATTAAATGACAAATCATCGTATTTAAATTCAAGATTCAAACGTTTATATTTGAATCCAACGAATAACATTAACATCTAATATCCATAATCGAATACAATAAAAAAAAATTCTTTTTGTTTATTTACTCCACCGAATCATTTCAACCATATCACTATGTTTTTCGATTTTGACTATTGCTTCATACTGATATTCTTCCCGCTAGTTTCATACCCGGGCCAATTAAATTCAATTGTACCAACCGACATACAAGTAGGTCGACAACTATGATTTTACCCCTTTATTTTTCCCGACTTCCAGGTTCATTCAGCCTTAATATGTGTTGTTTGGGTTTGGGATTCTCTAAGATAAGGACTAATATAAGATTTAATATATAAATGTTTCAATTTCTACAAAATAATTAACATTTGAAAACTTACCTTTTGATCACTTAGCGATTTTTAGGCCATAATCCCCGCCAATTTAGCGCGGTTAGTTGGCTATAATTCAAGCTATCGGGTTGGTTTTTATCATTGCTTCGATTTAGCAAGTAGTATGGTTGGATTATAAATGATTAGTATTTAAACCATATGTGATTCATAGTTTATCTTTTCAATTATAAATGAAATCTATTTGCTAATGTACTTAACATCTTGAAGATTATATAATATATGTAGTTAGGTACATATTTTGACAAATTATGAATTATCAACAAACCAACTCATAAGTTATAAATCGATCCACTTTAAAGTCGCTAGTCAATACGGCTAGCTAGCCACACTTTCTTGCCAGCTCATTGCTCAAACGAGACACCTCACGAATTGAGCTAAAAAAACCACACAGTGTAGTATCTCACGAGCCTTGCAAATCGAACTAGACTTAACTCAAGTTCAGCTCGTATAATGAGCCAAGTGGTCGAACTAGTTTTTCGGAACCGAACATCAAGCCACTTACGAACAGGTTGACTCATTTATAACCTTAATGATGGACAACTACGACGGTAAGGGAGAGTTTTTATAACATACCTATTAAGCGAGCCTGAATAAGAGGAGGCTCGAAGACAAGTGATAGATTTAGGACCTATTATGACATATTCGCGAGGTGCTCAACGGACATCCCGAGCTTTGAATAGAAGAAAACCCCATATATTGTGCAACCTAGTAAACGCCCATCTCGTTAGCAGCCTTGTGACTGTGATTGACGAGTTTAATGTGAATAGGATTAAAGGGCCTTCTAAGCTCTGAGCAGAAAGCCCAAGCCGGGACCTGCGTGTTTCCCAGTCACATATGATGATTGGCAAGCGTAACTAGGGGAGTTATAAATTCTAACTCATTGTCATTCCCCTGTACATTTACATTTACATTGCATAGCTGTCCGATGATACATTTACAACCGAAGTCAAAACTGATAAAACTAGAAACCAAAAGAAGCCTCATCGACACACAAAGAACAACTCTACTCTTTAGGATTCTGCTCAAAGAGCAACCAACCCTCTATTGTAAGTTCAATCCGCCACGTTATAACTGCATCAATCGACACACTGGATTTATACAAAAAAATCTAGTTAGCCTGTTGTTTACCGTTGAAGAATCTGCAGCTGGCGAATGTTAAAAGAATCAGTCTGAAATCCACGGTCCTGATCGGAGGTGGATCCATTGATTAGATGTTGTCAAGAAGTAATTCCGAGAACAGCTTCTTTCAGTATGTCGAAGCAAATGAATCACGAGACAGGAGGAAGCCAGTTCCTCTAATCAAGCTAGGGAACAGACCTTGTCTGCAAATCAAAACAGTTGGATTTGGTCAACTTGGTAATAACAGAATGGCAAAGAGAAACAAAACACAAAAAGAAACAACATTCACCTTGCTTTATGCTCGAGCAGCAAAGGCGATTGTCATCAATGTACGTTGCTTGGATACCCATCATCCAAGATCCGATCGATGTATCATCATGAGCGTAGGTCTTCAGAGATGCGCTGTTTCCAGAAGTATTGGGACTTAGATACATCTTGAAGGTACAAGAAAAAGGAAGTTTCAAGTGCAAGTGAATAACGCAAGTCTAACGTTGCAGTTGACTTCAAAGTTCAAACTGCAGCTTCTATCCTGTCGTTGGTTCAGTTTTTGCCCTACTAACTTCTACTAGCAACATAAAAATAGATCAAACTGAGGCCCAACTAAAATTGGAGTTGATTATCTCACACAACATTTGTTCTGAAGCTTCTAATCATCAGTCATGCAACGTAAGAACTCTTTGTGCAATCTAGGTTTATCAACCAACACCAGGGCAACATGAAACCCAGCAGTAGCATCCAAACTAACCTGTTAATGTTAATGTATTGAGCCAAATTTTTTGAGAGTATGATAAGTGGAGCAGCTGCATGCCGGAAGTACCTGAAACGACAGAAGGTCAGTCATAACCAATCTAGCTCCCTAATGCCATATTCGAGCAGCAATTGAAACTCAATTTTCTAAATCCAAAACGTGTGTTGAAGGTTCGAGCATTTTGGACTAGGGAAGGTGGAGTTGCTAATAAATATCCATTCAGAAGTGGGAATGAATGCTTACGATTTCTCGTCCCCAAATTTCCACCAGTCTGGCTCATACCACTGTCTCCCCCTGAAAATACAATAAAATAATACTTTAAAGCTGGATTCATTAGCTTGAGTTGAAGAAACGTTTGGTCTAATCTAGAAGTAACCATCAATGAAATGTGAAAATCAGAGGACTAATAATAATGATCAACCAGTAAAAGTCGCACCAAGGAAGGTTATTGGCCAAAATAAAAATTAATCCGAACAGGCAAGATGAAAGAGCTGAGCTTAGGTAGAGAAAATGGTAGGCAAGACTACTGTCACATATTCTAACAAGGGAATAAAATGCAGAGAGAGAGGCTCGTAGCTTCAGCTAAGTTTCCATCCACCCATATACGAACAGAATAGAGCAGTTAAAATAAGCTATTGGTTGTTAAAACGATGCAAGCAACAACAATTATATATAGACTCATATTCTCTAAACCACATACTCTTCTGTTACAACGTTTCCTGACTTCATGCATCCAATATAAGCACTGCCTTGATCGCGGCGACGTTCTAGGAGTCCAATTAACCCCTCTGTCAGAAATGAAGGTGCAAACCAATTAAGAAAAGACAAGTCTAGAGTAATGAGAGTGGAGCTCTAGCACACAACATATTGAAACTATACCGAGATCAAGGTTAATTTGGTCGTCAACTTTGACATAAAAATCTGCATCCCAGTTCTGCACAGCAGTACTGAAGAAGAACTTTGCTTTCTTAGGCAATTCTTCTTGAGCCTCCTCGTGACCTTCCTGATAAATCAACCACAAATAATAAAACATGATTTCATCTTTCCCCGGTGAATCACACCCATATCCTCGTCGATCATTATCCTCAGAGCAGGACCAAAAAAAAAAAAAACTGACAAAAACCATGAAACACCATCACCTACAAGAATTAAGAAATCCCTTGTTGAGCGATTTTCCCCATCAATGTTTCGATCTAAGCTATCACCTCGATTAGCACTGCATGTATTGAAATAAATGGTTATATGTAAAACATTCGACCAAGAAAAGGCAAACATACGGATACTAAAATGAGGATTAGGTACGATCTAAAACCTCCGACCAATGACGAATCTTATCACTATTCCTCTTTCTTCCAGCTTCTTTAAGGCATCACCTGCAAATCAACCAAAATTTATTTGTTATAGGCATCAGGACCAGAAGTAGTAACTGATGAAGAATTTAGCGACTTGTAAAGGCAACAACATTTCCATTTCGCTCTACAGTTGACGTGCATAATATAGGAAAACACCGACAGACCACGAATCGCAACAAGAACGAGGAAGGAAAATGACCATACAAAGAACATGGAAAGTATATGGATTGTGCAATTCACATCACTCATGTACCTTTCGGCATCCAAGACCCTCGAAAGACGTTTCTGTTGAGGCGACTACCGAATCCAGTATAAACTCCAATAACAGCCAGAAGCTTTTTGCCAGAAGCCGACTCGGACTGTGGCAGCTGGTTCTTGAGGTATCCTTGACTTTTGGCCAATGTCAATTCCATCTCAGCCTCCACAATCCTCCTCTCCAGGTCTCTACAATCCAATAACCATTATTATCATTATCAGCAATTGGAGACAAACAAAAATCTCTCCAGCCTATTTGGAAAACTGGTCTTGAACGTACTTGCATCCAAGGACAGCTAGCTTATCTTCCACCGAAAGCACCTTCGGCCTCTAATCCAAACAAGAAACAACAGAAACAAAATATGAGATCACCAAAAAAACTACAGCGAGCGAGACGAGGCTAAACCGAGACTCTGAATCTAACAAAAGATGGAAAGAAACCTGTGCGGAATTCGTCTTAAGAAGATTAGTGAGCAATGTTCTATTCTCCGCATCTTGCCACAACCTGATTGAATTCCAATGGAAGGAAGCCATGAATCAAAAAGCAAATACATGATTGGCTATTCAAGAGCGAGCGTGCCATTGGAAGAATCAAATTCAATATTTCCAATGAACGCTCGTTAGCTCACACATCGGCGAGCACTTTGAAACATTTCAGAGCAGACTCCATGCCCTATTCCTGTGAAATGCCATAATTTTCTCTACATAATGAAGTCGGGAAGGGGGGAACTAACCTGCCTGCAACGTAGAGCCAAGCGAGGCAAGAGAAGAAGGCCATTACTAGAGAAGGCTTGGAGGTCTGAATATTCTTTGACCTCCATCGGCGGTCAGATTTCGTCGTCGTCGGCAAGCTATCCATTGTCGGATCTTGCCGGCTCCGCTCACGGACTGACTTCCGCGCTCAAAAAAATGAATTGAAGGTGTTAACTGAGAGATCTGAAGAGGCAAAAATTTTCTTTTTAAAAAAGCTGGAAGTTGTTGGATGGTTGATTGAGCCGGTGGAGTGAAGAACAAATAAGAGAGAGCCACCAATTATTCCTCCCAATTCGTAGAAATCAATTTGGTTCAGTTTTGGACGAAAGCGGACAGTAGAGTAGAGGCCTAGAGGGGACGGGACAGCTAACCTTGGGCCAACACAAATCTAGCCCATCAAGTTAGGCAGCGCAGCTTGCATCTGGCCCAACCCAGCCTTCTCCTTTTCTGTTAAGAAGGTCCAAGCCTAACAAATAATGTAATGATCTCGTGACTGGTATATGTTTGTTTACAAAAAAGTATGCATTCGGAGCATAGTTAGTAAAATACAGTACGAGAAAGTTACGTTTAAAATACGTACGGGTATTATATTTCGTCTCTTAGCTAATGTTACGTTTAATAGTATGTTAATAGTCTTAAATATATAAAATTAATTATTTTTATAAATAAATAAATATCTAAAAAATAGCAAAGTTAATAATTTATTTCATGAAATACAAAATTGACACCTCTAATCGGTATCCTAGCTTGACTCGTCGATAAAAAAAACATGGGCATTTCAAATGTTTCTCTCGTAATTAGCTTTACCACCACTTTCAAATCTACTTGCACTTTGAAATTACTGGCTCCAAACTGCTCTTGCATGTCGTAGTCCCTCCAAAATGCCTCTCAACTTTGCTAGCGTAATCATACATACCTCATAATTTGGTATAAAAATCCGATCTATGAATTGACTTCATTGTTGTGCGTCGATTTAAGAGCCTAGTACCTTTGTGTAACAACTAACAATGGTGGTTAATCGTTTTGTACTTTTGTTCCTTTAAGTTTTAACCATGAAGAGGAAAGTTCATATCTATCAACCCGTAAGAGTAGAGAACTAGAGATATTAATTACCGTTGTGTGCAAACATCCGTGATGAAAATTAGTTCGCACTATTAACAAGAAAATTTAGACTTCGTAAGTAAATGATCATTTCATTATATAGAGAAAAAGTCTGGAGTGATTAGAAGTGGCAATTAGGATCCAAATCCATGAATCAAATCCAATCCATCCACCAAATTATTCACCTGATTCAATTCATTTAAATCCAATCCATTTGATCCAAATCATATTGGATTGATGGATCAATCCATGGAGCCAAATGACAAATTACGATTTGGTACCTATATTTTTTATATTTTACATTTTGGTACCTAAATTTTTTTATACAAAAAATATCATTGAAAAATTACATTTTGATACCTAAAATTTTTTATTATACCATTTTAGTACCTAAACTTTTCAAAATTTACATTTTGGTCCAAGCCTTGGATGCCATTTGGATTCATGGATCAATCCATCAATCCATTTGATCCAATCCATGAATCCACCAATCCATTGAATCTATGGATCCACCAATCCAATCCACGAATCCGATCCAATTGCCAACTCTATGAGCGATGGAATTCAATCACCTTCAACTTTCTACTGTACCCAACCAACATGCCACCATTATACTCAACTTTCTTACACTAAATCTCTCTCGTGCAACATTAGAATAGGGGCTGGTATTCCTTACAGAAACAGAACACTCATTTGAAGATGAGAACTACGCTATTCTATAGTTTCTTGCATTCCCAGTGACTATGAAATTTTCGCAACGCTATGGGATACATACTTTTCGTACAATAGTTGACTTTGGGATCAACCAGGGCCGAATTGGAACATAAATTATTGAAATCAGTAAATAGTAACTAAAATCTCTAACCACTCCTAGCAGTAGCAGCTGGCTGCAAAAAGTTCGCCAGAGAGGGAACGCCTTGGCTCCTCATTTCCTCTTGTGCTCGCTGCATTTCTTCAGGATCTGTTTCAAGATGCAAGAAAACGTCAGGTTCAGCTCTATATAGATGTCGTTGTAGCAATTGCCATCTACTACAGCCAAATCACTCGGAGATATTCGAAACAATCTACTAACAAGTTTCAATGAAGTCAGTCAAGTGTGTTTAGTAGAACAGTCAGTTCCGTTAACGTTAAAAAGGCAATCTCAGGGGAAGTTGGAACTGAAAATTGGGAGCAAGTACTTACCCATGTTCTCCATCAATTTGGGCATCAAGAACACCACAACAAGCATAAATCCTATCATGAGTCCCATGGGGCTTTTGACTAGTGACATTATGGAGAAGGGTTCTCTAATCTGCAATAAGTTGAAGAAAATGGATAATCAGCGAATAGTCTAGAAAACAAATGTAAAGAGTCAGAAAGGCCAAGGCAGAGAGCAACCTCGTAGTAATATTCTTCCCTCAATGGCTCCAACACCAACTCAGTCAGACCTCTTCTGTTCTCAGTCAATGCTGCCTGAACCTTGCCCGGGAATCTGGCACTAACATCAACTCGGACCTGAACATTGCCAGGGAAGTCTCACCATCCATCATAACAATGATTAAAAACAAACCTCAACCTGCAGATGGGAATTCTCACCGGAGAAAAGAAATAGCCAGTTGCTGAAACTTCAATCAAATGTGTTCCTGCTGGAACATTATGGCTATACAGAAGGAAGAAGTGTCATTGGCATAAATTCCAAAGTTAACAATACATAAGGGTACTTTTTAAATATAACGATACTAAAAGTTAAATAGGTGAATGATATTGCTTGAGAAAACTGGAAGGTATCAAAATTGAACGGATGACAATATTTCACAACAACAACAACAACAACAAAAAAGAAAAAAGAATATTGATGAAAATAAAGCATAGACGCAAACAAAAGAAAGTAGAGAGCCATACAATGAGAAGTATCCGTCAGGTCTCAGAAAGGTAACATTTTGTCCACCATTCAATATCACTTTGACATTTGATATTTTCCCAAGAGCACCAATTGCTACTGCACATATGAAACAGAAACATCATCTCCAATTCAGTTACATGTGAAATAGAGGCCCAGTAAACTAAAGTAAGGGATTGACATGTTAAAGAGGGATTCAAGTACCCTACTTCCGTATATTCTGCATCCTATCATTCAAAAAACTAAACTTAGTAATAACGACAAACCTGCCTTCACTCTCATTCTCACAACTCATCTTATCCAACCTCATTCTTACGACTAGCTCAGTTACCTACTAGATGCATTAACACTTCTTGTACTTGGAGTATCCAAATTTACACTATATTTCTCTCCTTTTACAATTCTTGAACAGTTTAGCAGTTATCAGTACATCAATTACCTTACGACCACAATTCAGAAACCATGATTGAAAAGAAAATCTCACGCCACTATGGAAATGTGATCTTAGAAGTATCGGTATATCATTCACATTGCAACCATACCTAAAGCCGTGATTCAGCATCGGAACAGAGAAACTACAGCAACTCATCAGCATTTTACCCAGCTAATTCAGACTAAACTCATCGAGACACTAAGTTCAGGCGACCACTCTGCCCTGTTTACTGTTTAGGCAGTGCTCCCCATTGGCATGTGCCCTACACTACTCGTTGACACGTTTATGCACGTAATAAGTTCGTAAAATTCACAGCACATAGTGCTCCCACTGAACTTTGAGCTATACAAATCAACAAATATTGGTACTGTGTCATTGGAAAAAGAGGGGCGAAAAAGAATCAACAACGTACCTGGGATCTTAATTCGGCCATTGATGGTGTAACCATCGACTGACCTGGAAGAGAAACGAAGACAAGGTCATCAATTACTATCACTCCAAGTCTAAACCCTAAATTTCATTCTTCAATCGGCAAGAGCCAATGCTAGAACCTGGCGACGACATCGCCATTGCAGATTGTCAAACTCGAATTGGAAACCTAACATTTTTTTTAGGCTGTGGTATTGATAAAGTAGATCGAATACAATGAAGCAATTCAGAGATAGGGAACGAAGACGAGAGAGAGAAGCCTACCCAGTTGAGATCGCAAGCGCAGGAGATAGAACCGAGAGACAGAATTGCAGTAAAAGTAGAAGAAAAGCTGGCCTCAATCTTGCGATCGACGACATGGCGGCGCAACCGGAGATTCGCGGATTCAGCAGCAGCAGCAACCGGGAGTTGGGAGAAAGCCGATTCAAGGAGAAGAGGACGAACTTTTCCGTTTGCCCGTCTATGCGTGGAGATTGGAGAACCTGGCGGCTAATGGTGCAGCTGGCCTGCGCGCTACTGTTACAAACTTTCTTTTTTAGAGAAAAAAGCTTATACATATTATGACGTCAGTCCATTTGTGGTCGTTATATTAACCGGACCTGACATTGTGGCGTTGATGAAATTCACTAGTTTGAGCTGATTATTCCTAAATTCAATGCGAGTCAAGTTTGTATCAATTAAACAGTCATTGGGATTCTCAAATTGATACAAAGAGTAGTATATTCTTCTAATTGATCAATGATCATTACAATTATCAGGTAAACACCAGACTTTGGGACAATGCTTTACTTTTAGATGTCCATTCAACTGTTTAGTCATAACACATTTCAACGAGAATCAACCAGTTCTAAATTCGAGTTAGCCTAAAAATATATAGATTATTAAAAATACTATAACCGTCTTCATACTCATGTGTTAACATTCTTTTTTGTTAGGAGGCGAAATGTCTAAATGATGGACAAATTTTTATTCTTGTAAATCCTGTAAATTTTGTTGTTGAATTGTCTCACTTTTTTTTTTGCCGTTTGATAACACTATTAGTCAACACTAACTTAATACTCTTACCGTACTCGTCTGTACTATATCATAATTTAGCATATCTTAATATACTATGTCTGTTGTTAATAATAGCTTTATATTCTTGTTGTTGTCGAAAACAAAAGATAATTTATTATTTTCTTTTTTAATAATGGTAATAATTAACGGTTTGCTTTTTCATTTAGCATATGTGAAGCAATGCAATTACCAAAAAATGAAATGACAAATGAACAAGGCGTACGATGAGCATCCAAGCCGAGTTTCAGTCATTCTCAGGAGCATCTCCATTGCCAATAAATGAAAAGGCTGTATATTAAACAGAAACGTCCACCGAGAGCTAAAGAATAACCTCCAGCTGAACAGCTGAACCAATTCATCACCAAGAATCTACCACTACAACATATGACTTTCTCTTCCTCCCTAATCTCTTTTCCCATATTTCACCAAACATTGTGTATTACATCTGGGAACAATAATCCAACAAGACCTGCCCCTCCCTGAATCATCACAACGTGAAGTCAGTTAGTTTGTTCATTTACATATTGGACTCCATCTCACTCACAACTAGGGTTGTTAATGATCCAACCCGAAATTTTCTATAGTTTGGCCTCGTCTCGTTAAAATATTTTCAAGTTCGAGCTCGGCTCGTTTATTAATATGAAAGCTCGAGTTTGGCTTGCCAAACAAGCTTAGCGAGCCCAAAATCGAGTTCAACTCATTAAATGTTCATGATAGCTCAAGATTGAGTTTGAACTGAACACAAAATTACATTCAAACCTGTAGTAAAATCTTTAACAAAATAAAATACAATATTTATTCCAATTTCAATACATAAAGTCCATGGGGGTTGCAAGAGTGAGAACTCGTCTCTCTGGGAGGGACCTCTCTCTTGCTTTTCAAATTCTCTCCCTTTTATCTAACAACTTTGGTCAGGCTTTCATGGGGGCTGCTGCCGGCGCTCCTCCGGCGGCCGGCGGCAGCCCTCCGCCCCTCTAAGTTTCCTTTTCGCTTTCCTTTTCTTTTTTTCTTGTTCTCGAGCTCTGTTTTCCTGCCTTTGTTTGACATCTTTCCCCCTGTGTGGGTTCTGTTCTTGCCCCCTCTGTGGGATGATGTTTTGTCCTTCGATTTGGTTTCCAGATCTGAAGATGTGTTGCCCGGTTCTTGATGCGATGAGGTCTGATCTGACGCAGACCAGACTTGTCTTCTCCTCCCCCCTCCTTTGGTCTACCTCCTTGTCTTTGCCTTGCAGATATTGGCTAGTCGGAGATGCAGCCCTTGGCGTGGATCCGGTTGGGAGAGCTTGAAGACAGTGGTATTCTAACTCTCTGTCTCTTCTGCCGACCGTCCGATTGTTCTGTTTCCCTTGGCGTTGCGGTGGGTTGCAGGCGGTGGTCGGCTTGGGGTGTGCTGGCCGGAGGTGTTTTCCTCATCCTCTCGTCTTCTGGGTTGGTTGAGGTCCTGGCCGCGATGTGCTCTTCGATGGGTGGGTGGCGCGTCGGTGTGGTGGGGGTTCTCGGCCGCGGCGGTGGAGGTTGACAGAGAGGGCGCTGACGGCTAGGGTTTGGGGGGCTCAGCCTTTGTTTTGGCCATGGGCCTGGGGCCCTATTGGGCTTTTGGGTTTTTCTGTTAGTCTGTTTTGTGTTGAGGTTCTTCCAGCCCTTTGCTTGGTTGGTTCGCTTGTACCACTCTTTTGTGGGCTTAGCCTAGTCGTATTAATGAACATCATCTTTCAAAAAAAAAAAAAAGTCCATGAATTCCAATCCTTTATGATGCCAAACAATTAATTGAGCTTGTTTGTGAGCTTTCGAGTTGAACATGGTATGACTCGAATTTGGCTCGTTTAGTTAACGAGCTTGTTCGCGAGCCAGCTCGATTAAGACGAATCGAATGTTGAACAAATTTTTCTCGAGTCGGACGCTGAGTCATTCATGAGCGGCTTGCTTGATTCATTAACAGTGCTACTCACAACACTCCATTTCACCTGTATGTACTTACACTTCCGGATCAAAGCTACTTATTCATATAAGATCTGGGAGATTAAAGAGATTCCCAAACAAAGAATTTTCCAATGCGTAAGAAACCCAAAAGTCCGAAGAACACCTATGTTACAAGCCTATCGTTTTGGACAGACGGTCTGAAAGATTAGCAATCACAAATCCAGCAAACACCTGCAGGCAAATCATTAACAATCCCATATATATTAAGTTGCGGCCATTTGAAGAAGAAAAGCAAGTGCTGTTCGACGTCTTAAAGTGTAGTTTGATGAAGAAGAACAGCATAGCACCATACCTGAACCGAGCCAAGTATGTAGATTGCTGAATAATGACGACCGTGGACCACCATGTCCGCCACCATGGCGAGGGGGATTGTCAGTGACATGCCCAAGGTGGCTACCAACGGGGTTGTCCATACAACGCACAGTGCCCTAAAAAAGGAAAGATATATGAATTCAGCACTACATGCGAATGAAACAATGGTGTTCTTTGATCCATAATGAGCTGAAAGGCTTGCCAAAGGTGTACCAGAAGTAGTCAGAGAGGACACTCCCAATGAAGCCATTAGCAAGAACAATTTCATCAAGTTTCGCGGAATGTGGGATCGTAAACTTGGGCTCTATTCCCAAGGCGGTCAATGGCCACACTAAGAAAGCCAAAACAATAAAAAAGAAAAAAATTGGTTAGAATGGACTATATTTAATTCATGGAATGTAGAATGCATGAAAAATAAGAATGTGGAAAATGCCCGTTAATCCAAAGCCTAGCAAAGGGATGTAGAATCCAAGTGGTCGCCCCATGAAATTTATATTTCATCTACCTACAAATTGTGAATCTCATCTTGCCAACATTGTTTCCCCTTAGAAGACAACACAAACACAGGAATCTCCCGTATTCCACCGGATTTTAAACCAGATTCCATGGCCTCGTCGACATAATGACCCCCTAGTTTTTTTAACTACATAGGGCTCTATGCTTCAGAGTCAATAACTTGAAGTGCTTTCAGATACTGATGCCACTTACCAAGCCACCACAGGGCTACAAGGGTAAACAACCCTATGTATCCAAACAACTTTTGCACATCAACTCTTTCTCCTTCTTCACCAGCAAACTTTTTGAGAAGTACTGCAGCATTATAATGAAATACAGTTAATCATTAACAACTAGAGGATGAAGATTAAGGAAAGCGAGTAATGAAAAATCATCTCTAACCTGTGAATAGTGCATAACACACTGCAGAGAGAAGGCCAAATAAATCACCAACAAGAGTGCGTTCTCCATCGCTAAATGCAAAATGCAAGAGTTAACATCAAACAAAGGCAAATGGAAGCAATCACAACTTAGAAAAGCACGCAGATGCTAAGACAGTCGTTGCAAAAAATATAGCAATGAAGGTCTACTGATACCAGCAACAATCACTAGTAAGCACGGTCTACAACCAACTTAGGGCATCCATAATTACTTGATGGTTTTTATTTAAGGTAAGTAAGAAAAATAACAAATAGGAGAGGAGGTCTTACTTAGAGGCACTTAGTTGTGACTCATCAGCAGCCCATGTTTTTCCAAAAGTAGTCATAACAACACCAGCCATACTCACCAGCACAGCTATGACTTTCGATAAATTCAAAGAATCTTCGCCTAGGAAAGCACCAACGAAGAGGGTGAAAAGTCCTGAAGTTGATGACAGAACTGTTGTACTTGCAACACTTGTGCGTGCCAGAGCAGCATTTGATAGATACTGAGTAGGAGCAAATGGGCAACCATTAAAGTAAAACATACCCGAGACTGGTTTAGTGCATAATTTATGAGGAAAAGTACCAAGTCTAAGGAAAGAATTTCATGCATTAATCAGCTAATCAATCACAAATCTTGCACTGAGAACGAAAGAAATAAAGGTCCAATTTTCACCCGCAAGAGACACCAATTTGATAACATGCGGAGTTTCTGTTCCACACTAGGTGGTACGGATGTCCATCCAACACGGAGCTAAATCCCTTACAATTGTCAGCATTTCACTTCATCAGTTATTTCTCAGTCCGAGGAAGTGGAATGAAAGATTATGATTCACTAGTTCATGGGATAAGCTAACTCTGAAAGTAATGGCCAGTGAAATTTACAACCTATTTGCTACCTACCAGAAAGCATGATAAGAAATTGGAGAACGATCATAGACCTAAAACAATCAGACAGTTCTGAAGGTTCTATGAACTTACACACTGCTCCTTATCAAACCATTCTCACTACCATAAACAGACCCAGTTGATATTTTTCCAGTATTTGGTCACCGTTCACTTGTCCAGGAACAAAGATGGACAATGCAATTGAGTGTTTGAAAAGCAAGCTCACCTCCGTGACGAACCAAAGTGGTGCAATATAAAACCCGTACTTTGCAACTTGTTTGTTGCTGAGTTCTTTCTCAATTCTCAGCACATTGAGGTCATCTTTGCCTCTCGGGACTAACGGCTTGTCCTCATCTTGCAATGAAAGAGCTGAGTCACTATCTTTCTTACTCAAAGTTCCCTGAA